CAGACCCCAGGTGTGGGGTGGCAGCAGGCAGACCCAGCAAGGCCCACAAGGCGGCTGGCTGACTGGGCGGTCACACATTTGCCTGCAGATAAACCAGGTGAAACTGGGGAGCGAGAAAGACCTCACAACGCACTGCTCCAGTGCAGGGAAATAAAGCCTCAAAACACTGATTGAAAATACCTGTTGGGATTGAAGTGCCAGGAGAAACTCCCAGCCTCACAGGAGAGTTTACTGGAGAGACCCACAGGGTCCTAGAACGTACACAAGAAAGCCCACTCACACAGAAATCAGCACCAGAAGGACCCAGTTTGCTTGGGGGAAGTGGCAGAAAGGACTGAAATCTGGTAGAGAGAAGAGCAAGTGCCACTGTTTCCTCTTGGACCCTCCCCCTCATACAGCGTCACAACCCAGCGACAAGGTTGACCAGCCCTAGTGAACACCTAAGGCGCTGCCCCTCACTACATAATAGGTGAGATAAGACCCCCCCCAAAAAAGACCCAAACGAAAGAACAGATCAAAGCTCCAGAACAAATACGACTAAGCAACGAAGAGATAGCCAACCTGTCAGATGCACAGTTCAAAGCACTGGTGATCAGGAAGCTCACAGAATTGGTTGAATTTGGTCGCAAATTAGATGAAAAAATGAAGGCTATGATAAGTGAAATGAAGGAAAATGTACAGGGAACCAATAGTGATGGGAGGAAAACTGGGACTCAAATCAATGTAGTGGACCGGAAGGAAGAAAGAAACAACCAAACAGAAAAGAAGGAAGAAACAAGAATTAAAAAAAAAAATGAGTAGAAGCTAAGGAACCTCCAGGACATCTTTAAACATCCCAACATACCCCCAAATTATAGGGGTACCAGAAGGGGAAGAGGAAGAGCAACAAGTGGAAAACTTACTTGAACAAATAATAAAGGAGAACTTCCCCATTCTGGCAAAGGAAATAGACTTCCAGGAAGTCCAGGAAGCTCAGAGAGTCCTAAAGAAGTTGGACCCAAGGAGGAACACACCAAGGCACAACATAATTACATTACCCAAGATTAAAATGAAGGAGAGAATCCTAGAAGCAGCAAGAGATAAGGGGACAGTCAACTACAAAGGAGTTCCCATCAGACTGTCAGCTGCTTTCTCAAAAGAGACTTTGCAGGCAAGAAGGGGCTGGAAAGAAGTATTCCAAGTCATGAAAGGCAAGGACCTACACCCCAGATTGCTCTATCCAGCAAAGCTTTCCTTTAGAATGGAAGGACAGATAAAGTGCTTCCCAGATAAGGTCAAGTTAAAGGAGTTCATCATCACCAAGCCCTTATCATATGAAATGTTAAAGGGACTTTTCTAAGAAGATAAAAACCATGTATAGCAAAAGGACAGCAAACTCACAATTATTAACAACCACACCTAAAACAAAAAACAAACAAACAAACAAAGCAATCAGCTAGAACAGGAACAGAACCACAGAAATGGAGATCACATGGAGGGTTATCAACAGGGGAGTGGGAGGAGGAGAGAGGGGGAAAAGGTACAGAGAATAAGTAGCATACATGGTAGGTAGAAAATAGACAGGGGGAGAGTAAAAATAGTATGGGAAATATAGAAGCTAAAGAACTTATAAGTATGACACATGGACATGAACTAGAGGGGGAGAATATGGGTGGGAGGGGTGGAGGGGAATGAAGGGGGAATGGGACAACTGTAATAGCATAATCAATAAAATATATTAAAAAAAGAAGGCACTGAACTGCTATAGCATATTTTATTCACTAAAACAATAAAACAAGGAGTTGGAGAATGAAAGAGAATTAACTTATTCAACTAGGAAATATGAAAACATGTCACGGCTCAAATAACTATGTACCCGTGTCGGAGGAGTACTAGACTTACAGAGGTGATCACATTATAAGTTATATAAATGTCTAATCACTGGGTTGTACACTTGAAACTGATATGATATTGTGTGTCTACTGTCATGGAAAAATTTAAATATGTAAAAAAACCACACCAACTTTTAAAATAAAAACTCTAAATTGGTATCCAAATCCTCTATCTTGCTTACTGTAGAAATGTATATGCTAGCTTAGGATGGATGATGACTGAGATAGATCTAGTGCCTGATACATTTTCAATATTTAAAAATAAATGTTTTACATGCACAGCTCCTTTTAAAAGACCCTGATAAAACATACTATGGCTTGTAAGATGATAAAACAAGCTATCTTATCATCATCTTCCATTAGGACTTTTATGATAAATTTCAATTTATAGAAATTGCATTTCAAAAAGTTGTCCTTCAATGCTACAGTCCCACAGCCAGAATGACAATGTGCACCAGGTATGGCCACCACCACAGCAGGCAGGGAAGGACATCAGGTGCCAAGGTGTGTCAGCCTCCCAGGTCTCACGCTCTTCACTTCCTGCTGAGGCCTGTTTTGTCTATGAATACAAAACCAACTAGCTTCTTATGACAGGGAAGTTCTGGGATGAATACACTTTGGAAGTACTGCTTAGACAGGAAAGTAGACTTTGCCTCCATATGACTAATATAATAACTGGGTCTAGAAACATTTTGGATCCTTTCCAATAAATGTTCAAATAATGTTTGGATAAATGTTTGAATGTAATAATGAGAAAGAATAATGACTTGAGAAATATTGTGTACAAGATTATATGCCAACATGATTGGCCACAGCACAAACTATTTTGCCCTAAAAAACAAAAAGCAAGGAACAGAGACAGATTGGTTAAAATAAGAGAAAGACTAAAATAATTTTAAAGGAAAAGAAAAACAAAAACAAAATCTATACCTACATATACACGTGCCCAAGTTAGGAGCTTCTGGTGAAGTGACAGAGTCAAGTTTCGTAAGGGAAACAAGGACAACCACATCAAGGTGAGTCTGAAAGTAAGCAAAGCAGGGCAGCCTGCCAATACAGGCAACCTTTCAGAACATAGTGTTTCCTCTACCTCCTTTATCAGGTCATCAGCAAAAGTAGCGTGGACACCCCTGGGTTACAAGAATTATACTTTCTGCTTTTGTCGCTAAGGTGATTTAAAGGACTTCACAACTAAGAACTTTCTCTCCTAAATTTCTTATTTGGCAGGGAAAAAATAATAAGATCCCTAAAAAAAAAACAAAAAAAACAAACAAACAAAAAACAACCCCAGTAAACAGCATATGGGTTATTTAACTGTTAATTTGTACTTCTTAGGGTCCACTGTCAAAGTTTCAAAGTTTAAGACCAGGATGTCCACTTTGAAGACAGATGTCTTTCAAGGGGAAAGCTGTGAGTGCCACACCTTGTAGATGGCTTAGTTTTCACCTTAATGCCACATTCTAAGTATGTCCTTCTCAAAGAAAACTGTCATCATGTATGTAAAAGAATGTTGACTTTATTTATTTATATATGTGTATGTATGTTTGTATGTCCATGTAGTCTCATTAAGGAGAAGCTACTGTGATTTAAAAAGACAAAGAGAAAAAAAGCACAAGTCAGTTGCCTTGTAAAAGAAACACAAGGCCTGGTTTGTATCTTGCTTCTGTCAGTAAGCACCATGCATTGCCTCACCAATTATGGTACCTCCTGGGACCTCCCTTCCTCACCCAGTGATCACTCTGTTGACTATATTAGTTCATCTGGTCCTCACATTTTTTAAATAAGTTATTGTAAGTGAAGAGCATTTTGTTCAAACACTAGTGACTATCACCATCATACAACCAAGCCAGACTTTGAAAGTATAAGTTACTGGTTTGAAAATACATCTGTCTGGCCTTGGCTGGCGTAGCTCAGTGGATTGAGCGCAGGCTGCGAACCAAAGCTTTGCAGGTTCGATTCCCAGTCAGGGCACGTGCCTGGGTTGCAGGCCACAGCCCCCAGCAACCGCACATTGATGTTTCTCTCTCCCTTTCTCCCTCCCTTCCCTCTCCAAAAAGAAATAAATAAAATTTTAAATAAATAAACAAACATTAAAAAAAAGAAAGAAAATACATCTGTCATGTAAGTACCTGTGTTATGCTAGAACTATTAAGTGGGGAGATGCCTGGACAGAGCATGAAGACCACCCCGACCCTTGCTGACCCTGTAATCATGGTGGGGATTTGAGGAGGCCAAACAGGCCACTGTTTTCAGCAGTCACCTAACTGCTGAACAGAGAAAAACTATGATTTAGGGTCTAATTCTTTTTGTAGATATAAGAATTGCTCCAAGCACAATCCCCTTAATTCATGAGTATGCTCATGAAATACTCACATGTAAGCTAAGAGACTGATCTGAGCAAGTGATTGTCTCACACTTTGGGGTCAGAGATCGTTTTTAATATCAAGTTTTCTAGCTGGTACTGTAAATGTTCAGAAGCTAGTGGGGAAGGCGTACCACAGCCCAAGAGGAGCACACTGGAAAGGGAAGAAGGAAAAGGGACCAATACAGTGTAGTACCACTCTCATCAAGCACTGGGCCAGGAACCGTCACTGGTTGTCTCATTTAACTCTCACAAGAAGCTTGGTAATAACAGTCATCTCTATTTTACACATAAGGAAAGTGAGGCTCGCAAGGTGAAATAAGTCCTCCAAGGGTCTGGAGCAAGTAAGCATCAGTTCTAGGATTTGTCTGGGACTTGTTCTAGGATGTCTTTATCTTCAAAGCCAATTTCAATCTCCCACATTGCACTGCCAGATACTAAATGCCAAAAGGAAATGAAAGACCCTTCCTTTTGACCCAAAGAAATGGGAACAATTGACATGGGAAATCCTCAGGAACAGGCCAAGCCCACTGTACACATAGAAAGGAAATTAGAAACCTACCAAGTGACACACTGGTCCTTGAACTGCACTGCTGCTCAGCTACCATGGCAGCAATGGGATTTTCACCCTGTATTATGGCATGGGCTCAGTTCAAAGGAAGGGACTCCTTTTTTGAAGACTTACAGTGATTGGCACTCCTCTTTCCCCACACAACTAACTGTGCCAAAGACTTGTTCACCCTTCCTGGGCCTCAGGCCTGGCTCACCTCCTTGTGGGAGTCTTTGTGGGCTTCCAGAGTCTTCATGATGGTCAGCTCTGCGTAGTTTTTAAATCTTGCTGGCTGGTTTCTCAGGATTTCCCGCAAAACTCTCAATGCTAGTGCTCGAATGGAATGCTGGAGTACAAGAGGAAAGGAAGACATCAGCACTCAGTGTACAGTACTTCACTAAATGTACAGTTGCTTGGGTCCAGGGAGATCCAAGCACCCAGTTCTGGGGTTCACTGGCATCCTGCAGCCACCTCAACACAGATTACACTGCATAACTGACAGAGGCCCTCTAGATAGCCAGCTCTGTGAGGGCAGGCCCTGTGCCTGTGTTGACATTCCCAGGACCCAGCACCTAAGGGGGACCAAATGAAGGTTTCTTGAATGAGCCAAATGAGAACCAAATAAGAACGATATATCTCTGGAGGATTTCAGATTTCCTGAGGCTGAGATATGCACATTTCCCTTTGTAGAACTTACAAAAGGACAGGTAAAAAGCATCTGAACACTGCAACAACATGACCTGAAACACTGTAAATTCTGTAAGGATAACTGGAGACCTGTCATTATTCCCAGCCTTCTGTGTGATGAGATCATGGGGGAGGGGAATCTATACAGGTCCTCAAGTTGCTTGAGGACCTCAAGGCTGAGTCATGCACCTGGAGGAAAGCCATTCCAAACACATTCCTAATCTTAATAAAAGAGAATGGAGTTTATACTAAACACAGCCAAAAAGCACATCCTGATTCTCTGTCACTCACCCGTACCATTCACATACTAACACACCATCTACTGCCCTCTACATGACACCACTCTATCTCCCTACAACAAAGCCCAACCAAGGACAAGTGCTTCGGAAGCCAATACTTTGTTTTAAAAAAAGTTAATACAGATCTTTTGTCACTATTCTTTTCTAGCTTTACTCAGTCCTATACCAAACCACTAATCCGAAGCATCAGAAGTCATCATGACATTCAACCGGCCTCCTGCTCACCTGTCTTCATTCAAGTCACCACCACTGTGACCCCGGGCATGACTTCTACCATGGGCTGTGTCAGATTTCCGTCCGGTACTGCCAGCGGAGATTTTCACCATGTTTACATTATTTGTGTTTCTGCTGGCTGACACAAAGCCCAGTGCAGAGGGGTGGAGTTCACTTCGCAGTCCCTACACTGACTCCTGTCCTGTCTTGTGGAAGGGACCAGCTGAACAAGGGGAAGAGTCAGGACTTTGACTGGATTCCGCCCTCTGTTTGGAGTTACATGGCAGATACCTAGTGCGTCACATTCAAACATCACAGTGTGAAGAGGGCCTTTTATTATAAAAAATAACAACAGAAAATAATAGGCAACAATAACAATCCATGGTTCCTAAACCTATTGCTTGACCATTCCAGGTCACTGGAACTGCTGACACATATAGGAACCAAGACAAAATGTGACAGAATGCAACATTTTGCAGGGTCTTTAAAAAAGGAATTTCTCTGTTTCTCAAGTAAACGTGAAACATAAATAAAACTCACAAGGAAAAAAGTTCATTGTAAAAAATGATACTTTATGCTAATGTTTTAAGAAATTTTGTGTTAAAGTGACCTGATTCAAGAACAAGTTTCCCTCAACAAAGCCAATTACAGAAAAACCTTGCACGTAAGTAGGATGAGTCCTGTCTCTGATGAAAACATTCCCTTACTAACTGGTGCTCAGAAAATACTTCACATGTGTTTTGATGTAAATAGTAAGCACAATACAGACAGCAGAGCAGAAGCCAAACGCCACAAGAACAGGACTGAATTCACCCGTGGAAAGGGGAAAGGTAAGAACAAAAGGAGCTCACATCTTTGTCTCCAAGCGTCTCCAACAACAAGAGCAGAATGGTCTTGAAGTGCTCTTCCCAGACGCCCAGGCTGTCTTCCCGGGTGATCTTGAGCAGCTCCAGGAGGGCACCTTTCCGTTCTTCCACTCGCTCGTTGTGGTTGGATAGCTCTTTCAGAAGGTCGGCCACCAGGTCAGAATGGTCAATGGGCACTGGGAGGCACACAGGACAGAAGTCATTGCACAAGGAAATGCCTGGCTCCAGGTGCCTCCTCAGTGACGTCCTGCAGTCTTCCCACCGCTCTCCAGTCTCTTCCCATCACACCCTTTATCCTAATGTGTGGTCCAGGCCTCACCCTTGGCATGTCATTTCACCAAGCTAATTGTGACAACTGAGGTGGGAGAACAGGTATCAAGCACCAATATTCAATGTCACTCACTACCTTGCCTTACCATCTTTTTCCCTTCCGTTTCAGACAAGTGGAGAAATTGCTATTTCATTTGATTTCAGACAAAGAAGAAACCCTCCAAAAGCCCTTCCATGACTGTCTCCCTTATCCAAACTCTGTTTCCATTGCAATAGTCCTAAGTCAGGCCTATGACCGGAACAGTCTCTGACTAGTACCAAATCCACTGAAGTACACAGATTCTCCTTAAGGCACTGTTACAATTAAGATTCATCCCCTTTCTGGAAATGTACACAGTTTAGGAACTAGCGCAGTAAACCAATACAATCAAGGTAGACTGTAAAACTGGCTGAGATCTCTTAGCATAACTGCTTGCAAGGGCTTGAACCACAGTTCACATGGCAGAAGAGCATATCCTTTCCTCTGCATGTTCTTTTAAGAGACCTCAACTCTGAACTCACTTCAAATAGGAAGGATGAAGAAACAAATCACACAAGTCATCAAGAACTACTTAAGTTTGTATTTGCATATTTCTTCAGATTCTAAAATTGAGAAACAAATGTATGAGAAAGTTTGAAGTGTTAAAGAACTCTATCATTTCCCCCTCCTATCCTACATTTTTCTCTAAGCCTTTTACTATACATTTGCAGAATAAATAACAACCAATATCCTAATCTCTATTCCATCTCCAACAAAACCAACAAATGGCTAAGTTAAATGATGTACCAATTCTATGAGCAATGAAAGGAAATAGTCCAGTACTCTAGAAAGTGCAAGTAATAATAAATTCTGTATCACTGCCAACTGCCCAGTAAACAGATGCTTGGGTATATACTGAGCTGCTATTCACCAGCAATTAGCAATTAACAGCCGAGGATTATGCTTTCAACCACTTGACACAATTTCTGCTTTCACACAACTGGAGAACCTCTCTTCTATCTGAACATTCCATCACAGCTGGGTCCACTGATAGAGTGCAGTTTTCAGTCTTTCATGCCCCACTGAACCCCGTGTATGCCTCCAGCACAGGCCTCCTTCCCCTCTTCCTAGTGTGACCATGCTGAGTCTGTTTTCCCTGACAGGCTCTGAGGTTTTGAGGCCTGGGACCATCTCATTTACCTCTCTGTCCCTGGCCAGCCATACACCTCATGACACACAGCAGGCACTCAGTTAATGTTAGTTGTTTAGAGTTCTAATTTAATTTTTTGTTCAAAATTAAAAAAAACAGGGAGGTAATAAAACTTATTTTTTTTAAAAATGATGGCTAATTTGGGTTGGCTTTAGCTCAAGCAGTTACTCTGTCATGGAAGATAGATAAAATAAATGACTATTAAGTTGAAATAACCCAAAATGTGTGAACATGACAACGAGTTAAAAAGCAAAACAAATAATTAAGTGCCAAATAAAACTATGATCATACCAAAATATACTTAATCACTTGTTACTCGGTAATGGACACTGGTCTTAACATAGTCAGAAAAAAGCCAGACTAGTTCTACTCCATACTAAATACGTTATATTTGAGGCAGGTAACTTAACCTTCCTGAACTGCAATCTCTAATCTGTAAAATGGAAACAATCACCACTATCTCAGTTAGACAAGCCCAAGGTAACACAAATGCTCAGTGAATGTTTGATCCTTTACCAACTACAGTACAGAAGTCAACTGTAGCCACTGCAGGAAAACCTGGTGAATAAACTGGTATGAGAGAAGAGGGGAGGCTTTCAGTGGTGCTTCAGAATCTTACTTGCATAGCTTAGGACTGGCACATCAGGGGCCATTACAAATGCTGAGCCCAGTGCTGGGACTGCTCAACCCTTTGCTCCCCACCTCACTAACTCCTACTCCCCTGTCTTTCTGATCTCCACTCAGGTCCTGGTTCCCAGGGAAGCCTTCACTGATGAGTACAGGTAGCCTTCCTCCGCTGCACAGTTGTCACAGCTGCAACTTGAGGTCATTTGTATGACTGCTTATTTCCTGATTCTCTGAGATTAGACTATAAGCTTCTAGAGGGCAGGGGCTGTGCATACTTTTGTTCACTGTTGTGTCTTCCATGCCTAAGCACTGGTAGGAGCTCAACATGTAGCTGCTGAACAAAGGACTAACCAGAACAGACCCAACATTTCCATTTCCATTTGACCAGTATACCCAGAGTTGGTCTTATAAGAGGGGAAGCCCATGAAAGGAACTTCTGGATGGGGGACAATAGAGCAAAGAAAGACAAACCATCTCGGAGCTGCTCCATGTCATCATCAAACACGGCCTCCTTCAGGGCTGTCTTATCATAGGTGTTGATGGTATCTGAGTACGGATACAAATTGTAGTCTCGCACCCGTGGCCCTGGGAAGGTGCGCGGAGGCTGGGTGTTGAGGAGGGAGGTCTTGTTATCCAGAGCAGTTCTGCCTCCTTCCACCACATCACTGCCTCCCCGGCCCTCAGTGGCAGGGGAGGCAACTCCACCATCCCGGGATACCTGGAGCAGAGAACATTGTCAGTTCCTTTTTAGGACTTTCAACAAATTTGTCTTTAAATTTTCAGAAGTATTAGGAGAGCCAGAGATTTTTTCACTTGAAATCAGGCCATTAACAAAAGAACAGTCATTAGAATTTCAATTTGTAAATACCTAATTCATAAACTACTTTAAAGGGAACTACACATGCTTATATTTTCTTCTCTTTTTTTCATTAATTTACATGTAAAATCTGTTAGTATTTCGGGTTAATCTCACTCAAATATTTTTTGAGAGATTAATAACATGGAAAGTCTCTTGGGAACCAAGGGTGTACAGAACACATCCCCAGTTCTTCAGAAATCTCATGTACCAACACTGTTAGCCTATCACTTTCTTTTTTTATTAACTGTTGTTCAGTTACAGTTGTCCCACCTTTTTTCCCACTGCTCTCCTCTGCCCTGTTCCCCCAACTCCTACAGTTAATTCCCCCTCATTGTCCATGCCCATGAGTCTTCTATTCGTGTTCTTTGGCTTGTCCCTTCCCCTTCTTAGCCTATAACTTTCTTTACAAACATTAAGCGTTTCCTCACTGGGGCCCTGACACAACACCAACACTCCTCCAATAGCCATCACAAGATCTAAAGCAGTTCAACTGTCCAAGAATTCCTTGTATATATTCTACCACCTGGTGAGCCAAATAAGGGCTAATAATCTCTAACAATGGAGGACTCAGTATCCCCTAGGTAGATCATTCTTCCTTTGGATGTTTCTGACTCTCAGAGTTGGTCTTTCTGTTGGGTCAAAGAACAGGTATTTATTATTTTATGAAATTTTTTTTCCCAATGTATCCTGAATCTTGTCTTCAACAAATTAACCCCCTGGTCCTCTGTCCCTTGTGTCATGCTTCTGACTATCTTCACTCTCAGGGGTCCTTTCTTCTAAGCCACAATGGCCTGTCTGGCACCCTTTGTGGGGTGGCACTGTAACAAGATCAAGTATGGGCTGAGCTCTGGGAACAGAGCAAAACTGTCATTCTCCTCATCCCAGACACGAGAAAAAAAACAAGTAAAAACATTCTGGGACAGTCAGACTGCATTGGCACTTATACATGTTTTTTATAAATTGTGGTATAAAATATGTATATTTTAAGCCCTTAATTTTTAAGTGTACAATTCAGTCACATTAAATCCACACACAATGTTGCATATAACCAATACCACTATGTTAGATTTGGTGCAATACTTTTTCATCTTTCCTAACGAAAACTCCATATCCATGATAATAATAACACCCTGACCACCCCTCCCAGCCCTGATGACCAACCTCTATACTACTATGCTTTCTGTTTCTGTGAATATGACTACTCTAGCTACCTCACATAAGTGGAAGCACACAACATTTGTCTTTCTGTGTCTGGCTTATTTCATTTACATAATATTTTCAAGTTCCATTTGTGTTGTAATGTGTCAGTATTATATTCCTTTTTATGGCTGAATACTATTCCACTGCAGGTACATATCACATTTTTTCAATCTATCTATTGATAAATACTGGATTGCTCTATCTTTTGATTATTATGAATAATGTTCCTATTAACACTTATAGAGAAATGTGTTCAAGTCCCCTCTTTCAATTTTTTGGATATATACTGGTGAAATTGCTGGAATGCATTTGGTTACCTGACCCCCTCAAAACTGTATACTAATATAATTATTAAGAGGCAAATTATATATATCTATATATATCTATATATATATGCGCGCGCACACACACACACACCAACATATATTGCATAGATATGAACAACGTGATTTAATTGGCGTTTTCTCTCAAGGAAGATAATACATGAGTGATTTTAATATTTTTCCCTTTGTAATGCTCTTCTAAAAATAAAGCATATAATTATACTGGAAAAAATTCATAGGAGTTTTTAAAGATTAAAGACATTTAAAAAATAAAGCTAAACTAATTTTTATCACTTTTAACAAAAGTTACCTTTTAAACTTTATCACCCCCATCCTTGTCTACATGCGTATTTTATAGCATGACAATCACAGTGCCCATACCATCACGTAGTTTGCTTTCCTTGTAGCATAAGCATGCCCCATGTAAATAGAGTTTTTATAACCATAATGTTTAATCACACCATTATTCCTACTTACTTTTTAAAAATATTTTTTATTTACTTTTAGAGAGAGGGGAAGGGAGGGAGAAAGAGAGGAAGAGAAACATCAATGTGCGAGAGATACATCAATCCATTGCCTCTTGCACACCCCCAAACTGGGGCGCAGACCTGCAACCCAGGCATGGCCCTGACTGGGAATCAAACCAATGATGTTTCAGTTCACAGGCCAGTGCTCAATCCACTGAACCACACCAGCTAGGGCTCTACTTGTGTTTTAATAAGATTTACTCAACGATTCTCCTTCTACTGATTTTTTTTAATGTTTTTTTGTTTTGGCCATAAAACATAATGCTAAATAAACTACTTTGTAAAAATATATATTTTTTGCTGAGTTTGTTAAAAGCTAAATTATTAAAGGATATAAAACTTAAAATCACTTTTGTTAAATATAATTTTACTAAATTCGGAAACTACTGTATCAATTTACCATGCCACCAATATTACACTAGTTCCTCACATCCTTTCTAGCATTAAGTGTTATAATTTTTACCTGAAATAAGGCAGAACAATTTTTAAGTAAAATGGAGCCTCAAATACAGGTCTTGTTCTACTTGGGTAGTTAGTGCTAAGGACGGACTTTCTCCCACGTGTTTCATGTTTTTGTCTCTGCTTTTGAAAACCATCTTCCCACTGAATCTGACGTCCACCCTTATGAACTTCTGTCTCATTAGACTGGGTCTACCAGTCAAGCTTAAAAAGAGGTAGGCTAGCTCCTGAGTCCCACATTCAACAAAGTTTTATATCTACCTCAGCTTCTTAGTTTAAAATTTGGTGACTAGTGGCCAAGATTTTCACCCCACCCCCCTTCTTATGCTTCCACCTCATGCCCAGGTCCTCTGGTGGAAACAGCCTCATCTCTAAAAATCTTACTTTGAAAATTACGTTCAGTTCTCTTTTTAGCCTTGCAGCTCTTGCATTCCAGTCCTTCCAGGCTTCCCATCCCCTTGATAACCCTGAGGCTTCCTGTTCCTGGCTGTTTTTACTTTCTTCCTACCATGCTTCATTCCTTCCAACTTTCATCACAGTATTTTTATGCTTTAAAAAACTGAAAACACTTAAATGTTCCAAAATAGGGCACCTGAGGACTATGGTATATCCATATGGATTACCATCCAGCCATAAAAATTCACATAGAAGAGTACTAACAGAGGAAAGTACTCACCTCCTATGCTAAACAAGATGCCAAGATACACTATGATGCCTGTTTTATTAAAAAAAAAAAAACCACTCTGCATACACCCCAAAACATATTAATATATAAACACACAAAGGAATAGAAAAGTATACAGTAAAATGTTAATGTTCATTATCTCTAGATACAGAGAGTTCTTTTTACATTTTCAAAATATTATATGTTGGCTATATACTACATTTATAATTGGGGAAAGTAATGCCTCAGGAATCTACCTTCTAGGGGTTCCACTGTTCCTGGCAGGACTTCCGTTCACTAATCAGAGCCCCACCCCCATTACCTTGGAAATCTTTTCCACTTTCCTCACTGCAACCTGTTTACCCTCCTTCCTGGCCAAGGCCAATTCCTCTACCAGTGCCCAAACCTTATCCATCCCATGTCCTCAATAACCTGTGTCTACCAATCATCCACTGCCCTCCCTTCCACAGTCAACATTTTTCTTTCAACTGGCCCCATCAGCATTCAAACAGGTCAGGTCTCTGCCGTGTGAAAAGCCCCTGAGCACCCAGTTTGTTACCTGAGTCACTCTTCAACCCTCTGTAATCTGTTTTCCATTTTCAACTCTTCTCTGAACTACACTCACAAAATCCAATGGACTCTTGGAAGAAACTAAATTTTTAAATTGTGGACTGTGACTATGTGTAAAATTTATTTAAGGGGAACATGAAAGTCTAAATGGTGGGCCCATTCTCAAAGAAAAGATCTCGGCTCTAGCAACTAGTCAATTAATGCCTCTTAAATCTCTTATCTACAGACTAATTCACCGGTCTTAACTTCAGAAGGGCATATACACAGGCCTTAAAGGATATGTTTGCTTAGATATTCCAAAGATAATCCCCAGCTTATTTGCCTGCTTCTGCATGTGATTAGAACTCCCAGCCACAACGGTATATGATTCAGGCTTACGTAGGAACAAACATAGGAACAAAAACCACAACATAGGAACAAAAATGTGTCCAGCATTAACAAAAAGCAAACTGAGAAAAAAGGTATTTACCATTCTTCACAAAGATAGCAAGGGAAACTGAAAACTGCCTTGGGCTTCTAAAAATATTTTTGACTACAAGCTAAAAATAATCATGAAGCTCAGTAATAACAGTAGTCAGTGTTCAGAAGAATCAGTAATTATTACTTAACAAACAGTTCTCTATTAGCCTGGGGATACTTACTATATCACAGTCCTTCTTGCCATCTCGTTTAATTGGCTCATTGAGATCCTCTTGGCTTCGAAAACTAAACTTTTCGATGGCTTCTGTTACTCCACGCAAAGAACTATAGATTTCTTCAGAGTTCAAGTTCTCTGTATCATAGTCCAGCATGCTAAAGATCAAAATATTTTCTCTTAAATTGAGGCATATGCATAAAATTGAGATATATGTATAAATTCCTTCCAATAATTTCCATAGTAAAGTATCCAAGTTTGTTTCTTTAGGTGTTTCGGAATGAAAAGGAGACATGTTGTTAGAGCACTAGCAGGGGACAATTAATTATACATCTCTTTGGTCAAATCTGTACATTATATCAGAATTCAATTAGAACCAGGGGAAACAATAACCACAAGAATGCAAGAACTCAGAGAGTGACAACTGGTGACTGAATGCATGCAAGTGGAAATGAAAGTGGAAAAATAATATCTTGAAGTCAGAAAAAAGTAGTTTGGTTGTTACTGGTCTCAAATGTATAAACTTAAATTAAGAGGAATGGGCACTTAAATATAAAGCTAGTATTACAAACAAATTTCAGAAGAGCAAAGCAAATGACTTCAGGTTACGCTCGCCAGTGTCAGAAACTTGTAAATAAAATACTGTGTTAAAAGCTAAAAAACTAACCCTATAACTCAAAGTCAGATCCATTTTACCACTGGGCTCCTCGAGAGTCTAACTCGTATGTTATCTAACCCAGTAGTTTGTTGAGAATATCAAACTCTTCTACATGTTTTGATTTGGAGTTTTATAATAAAAACAAATCTTATAAAGATGAGTTAGATTCCTAGCTGGGTATGTAAAAGCACTTCAAAAAGCCAGAAATATATGTCCCTTCAAGAAAAGTTATGTCAACTGCTGTGCCTTTAAAACATGTATCATAGCTAAACATGAAATGAAGCAAAAATCCTAAATAGCCTTTTAGCGTAATGCAGTGTGTCAACAAGTGGCCTTTATAAGTCTGAAAAATGCACTGAAATAGAAGCTTCTAAGAACAACAACAACGACAAATTCAACTGCCCCTCACTAAGAATGTTAAAAAAAAGCACAAATAAATACACGAGTATAAAGAAAGCAAAACATGAAGCAACGGTCGACAAAGGGCAAGTCAAAACTATAAACTTAGTTTAGATGTCACTTGTTTTAAAAAAATATCCAGGAAGATATCAAGTAAGTTGGTCTAACTTAACTTGCAGAAAGTCTTGAGCTACATTGAAGATTCCTAGCCTAGGACACTCCAAGAATCCTTGGCTGTGTTTAAGTAAGCATTCAACATTACTAAGGATTGCAATCTTTCTGTTCTTCTAAAGAGAAATCATGAAAATTAAGCACACATTGACAGAGCTCTTCCTAAGGACATCACAACCAATCCTGTACATTTTCATATGAGGTAAGTTTCCTATCACTTAGAAACAAGTAACATTTACTATTCCCCTCTCCTGCCTTGTGTTTTTTAAAGGTTTGGGCAGATGAGAAAGTCAAGATTTGGACAGTTCTCACTTGGAGTAGTCAGGCTGGCTTGAGGTTGCAATGACCCAAGTGTTTTCTAAAGCTAATTAGGTTCTGCTAGACCACAAGATCTGAACTCACTCTTAGAGATGGAAGCCATTTGCCTATGATTGCAAAACTGGCCCAGATAAAACTCACTTTTCTTTTCTGATGAAAGAAAATACACACCTCAATTGTACTTGGACAGTTCACAAAAATACATGCCAACTCAAAGATTGGTTCTGGCACCAAACAGAAAGGGACGTGAACTTGAACATGTTTACAGCTAAAACCCCTTGTATATATACAAACAGAAAATGAACTAAGAATCTTGAACAAAATTCAAGATTTCAACTCCTTCTAAGAGGCAATATCCCTTTAAATGGAAGAAGCCTCCTGCTACCCTCCCCTTGTAGAACACCACAATTCCAGATTTGAACAAAAACATTTATACATCTGGCCAATGAACTTTTTTTAAATAAAGACTGAGTATGACTCAAACAAAAAATATGTATATAATATATAAAAAGGGATATATAAAAAGTATTTTAAGACGTAGACGTCTTAAAATACTTTGAACCAAAACAAGAAAAAACAATAACATAACCCATGAAAAGAAAGGAAGGAAGGAAGGAAAGAAGAGAAAGAAAGAATGAATAATGGGGATAAGAGAAAGTCTAGCAAAACGTTCTGCTTTTAAAGGGATGTCACAATATTATTTTTCGTGTCACTTCAGATAATGTTAGCTTTCACATATTTCATCTCGTGTTTCTCAATCTGAACTTTCTTAAAATGTTTCATTTTAGTTCATGTAACTTTGGCATTATAGTAACCTCTTTTTAAAATAAGAAAATAAAGAATCTGCTAGCTAATGTACCTCCTTCTTACTTTCAATTAATAAACCAACTCAGACTTCCAATTTAGGAATACATGTGCATAACCAAGTTCAAGCTGTGGTGACGCTTCTTTTTAGACTCACTAGCTTGAAGTCTTGAAGTATCTCCTTGGTATGAAGCTACAGCTGTGAGCTCAAGGTGAGAGAGAGAGCATTGTTTTGGAAACCATGCTACCTTATAATTGCTATTTTATGCTTTGGCCTGATTTGCCTATTTTCAAATCAGCACCCATGGGCCCTCATTTTGTACAGGAAAAGGAAAACTCCCATGAATGCCACCATCAGGGAATTGTGAACACTGTGGTCCAAACAAGCCATTCAATGTGAAAGCAGCAAGAGAAATGAAGCAGCTTTACTTAGAAGAGACCCAGTCTGTCACCTGACCCCACACTCTGCTCAGAGACAACTACAGAACATAATCCTTTAGGTTAAAGGCCAGGCCCTGGTCACCTCTAAACACTGTGATTAGACCCCAGAAAGGTTTCCTTAGGACTGTTTAGATTAGGAAGTTACTTAATCAGTCAGTCTTCACTGATCTAAGGTCAGGCAAATCACCCAATACTGAAGCAGAATGAAGTTCTGGACTGCTCTGCTGTAAAGGATTTGTATCGTGGGTGGGGAGGCAAGAGGTCAGGTCTCCAAGAAAAGAGAAACTAGAGACAAGAAGTTTGTTTTCTTAGATTTTCTTCTTTGTTATTTTGTAGGAAAAAGATATTAGAGCATGGAAAAAGGTTAACTATTTCTTGTTATAAAATCAATAGGATTTATTGATAGACGTAGATTTCCTCTTAGTTATATGTGACCAATAGGTTTTGTAAATGTAAAAGTCTCTAGTCACCTCTCTCCCACCAAAGTTACAGGCATTTATTAAGCATCAGCTATATTACTGTGCACATATGTGAAAGATGACTCTGAGAATAGGATATCCTCTGGAGGGCAGTCTTGATGGCTGGCTGGGAAAAGTGGCTGAGGGTGAAGCTTGGTGCCAGTATACTGGGAGACAGTCAGTAAACAGGTCTTATACCTTGAGGCCTGGTTAATGTTTAAAAAAAAAAGAAGGAAGTATAGTGGCATGCTTTATTAACACTGAGGACAGCAGTGACATCTCACTGCCAATGTGCCTTTGCCCTAACCTTATGTATTACCTACAAATAGTCATTAAAGGATTCTCTGTACACTTCAGAAGTTACTTTTGCTGTGAGAGTTTTAAAAGAAAAATGTTGTTAAAACATTTAGCTGATTTGTTTACTATGTACAACTTCGCTATGTTGGGGATACAGAAACAGGAATGTAAATCATTACAAAAGCTATCTCTGATGCATTCAAAAGCAAGAATTTATTTTTACCCTTGTCTAATCGCAGTGGGTACAAATTCACCTTACACAGCACAAAACAGCTGGACTGCCCCTGCTCTGCTCCTGTAATGACAGCCTTCTAGCGAAGGGATTCTCTAGTTTTTGAACTTTTATAAAAAGCACTTAAGAGACCTCCAAACAGGTTTCTGTAGGAACACATCGACCCAACTCTACCACAGATCTGCCATCTGAAGGAAGACCCACCCCTTCTTCTAGATTCATTAAATGTTGTCACATCAAACCAGGGGCTGGTGAGGATATCGCCAGCTCTCCTGCCTAGGTGCAGGGAATCTACTAAGGCATAACTGAATGCCATTTTTGGGGCTTCCTTTCTGGATCTCTGTCCTAAGATGATCACTAGGTGACAGGACATTGTGAAAGTTATCAGTCCACATAATCACCAGCAGGACTGAGAGCTGCAGGTGCAGTTTGGAAAGAACAGGTCTCACTTGCTTCTTAGTGGGAATGCCTAACACACATAAGAATGCTAAGGAAATTGTGCATTTGCCTGTTGCTTGCCTTGATTTCACAGCATTGCCTGAGTGCTTTCTGGGGGCTGAGCATGCACTGGGCAGAAGGTTTGCAATAGTACATGCCGATGAATTCTGTCAGTTGATGAAATGGTCCTCTGTCCTTGTGACATGGCAGGAACTGTACTCCTGAGGTTTGACAAAGATCATACCCTGCTCACACTTCTCACTGACACTCTCCTCCTGCTAGTCTAAGCCAAAGCAGTGATCACACTGGAGGCAGCTGAGAGGCTTTTTAAAATAACTGAGACGACCTTGCAAATGTAATAACATTTTGACACCTCAGACAAGTTTAACAGGTAGTCTGTTACCTGGGAGAGTAAGAGCACCTGAGAGTCTTGTGGGAGGGAGCAGTGGGAATGGAGTTAGGCTGAGAAAAGGGAGGTGGGTGCTTCAGTTGCCCATCAGCACTCCAACCCCATAGTTGACTGTAGTGATCAGAAGAGGAAAATCAGAAAGAGAAACAAAAAAGGCAAAGGGAAGGGAGAAGGAAAGGGAGAGGAAGACACTATATTCCAAGTGTCTTAGAGTCTCCTCTTTCCTTGACAAAATTCTATCAAAATTCATTGGAGCAAAATTAATACTTCACAAATACAGAGAAAAAGAAGATATTTTCTCTTATCAATACAATTTGGTCCTTGATACAACTGTTTTATTTCCCTCTCAATCATGAATTTACACTTTTAAATCGCATGAGATTCTGAGTGGAAGCGTGAAGCATGGATGTGCATACACCTATATTGGGAAGGACATTACAGGCACTTAACAAAAATATGGATGTTCACTTTCAGGTAGTGTATCTATTATTTAGGAACAACCAAAGAAAAAAGTATGGGCCTTAATTTAAATGTGACCAAAGGAACTTAGCAGGATGAACCAAAGAATGTTTTGTTCTAACCAGAGGCTGGGATCCAAGCAGATGGAGTTCAGAGGCTGCCACAAGCAATTTTTTTTCCTGAAAGAATAGTATTACCACCAGAAGGCTATGCAGCAACTCTCAGCTAGGCAGCTCAGAGACAGGGGAACCAAAATTCTAATTCCTGGGCTCATATCATCTAATATGACAATTAAAACTCATCAGCAAATATAAGTATCCCTCTTCACTTCACAAATGTCATTTTAAGTGACCTGGGCTTGCAAGAGGCCCTGACAGAGTGCTCTAACAACTGTTGCAACTCAAAAGACCCAGGGGCATAGGAAAGGGGTGAGACAGACTGGCTGGAAATGTTACAAGAGGCCAGGGGGTGGAGCCTGGTATCGGAGACAGTGTTCCTACACAACAGTACTGCCTGCTGCTGGCATTCGTTATAATTCCAAGAGCAGTAGGTATAAAGCTAATCTCCAAATGAGGATAGTTAGGGACCCATTTTGTAAGAAAAATAAAGTGGAGATGAGAGGTCACTGTGGCATAAAAGGGCTTAAAAACGGTCTCTAAACCACACACTGGGTTGGGAGTGGAACTACAAGAGGTATACAGGCAAGCATCTCAGGCTGGATCGAGCTCTACTGGCAGGCAGAGAATAAAGCAGCACCACTGCTACCTCCCTGTGGGAGAATTCCCACTTTGATTCTATGGATAGTCTTGATCCTCTGGTAGGAATAAATGTAAAATCCACCAAAAATTACCTTTTATTGCTAGGGGTAACAAAGACTATCTAGTCAGCACCATTCTGTTCTACAACATGTTTGCCAAGTACCAGAGTGAGGACTGCCATACATTTTTATCTTCAAGGGAATGGATTTCATGTGATTTCTAAAGTCCTTTGCAACTCTGTTTTTCATTTAACACAAATCACCCTTAGTTAAATGAGCTAAAACACATGTTTGATGGTGAAAAACTACAGGTCCTAAATCTCTTCTCAAATACCCAGTAGTATTTGTTTACTAGCTGAAAATTATGCAACGATTCTTCCCTTACACAGAAACAACTCATGGAATGTTTTGCTAAGGTTTAACCTGTTGGCTATGGCTTATCTAACACTATTGGGCTGATAAAAATGACTTCCTCACTAGTGATTAAAAAAAATCTACCAAATTATATTTTTTTCATCATTATAGAATATTTCCTTATTACCACCATGATCCAAGTACAGAATTTGTGGACAAAAAAAAAACGCTAGTTCATTCTGATACTCAAAATTAGATTAAAAAACAACTGATAATAACTTCTCCTCTTAAGAATACAAAGCTAATGTCATATGGTTGACTCAAAAAATGGCAGGTCACAAAAAAAAAAAACATTTCAAAATCACTGCTCAAGAAAACATCTGATATTATATACGGTAGAACTTGTTTACTGCTGCCTTATAAGTTGACATCTAATCCATTTCCCTATATAGTGCAAGAGTTCCTTTCTTTTCAAATTTTCCTGGTAGAAAGTATGTAGTTTATTTGAATATTTCTAGTAATATGATGCTATAAGGCAGTATTTTCTACTTCTAGACAGTTTTAGTTATGAGAAAAATCATTTCTCCTACTGAGTACAAAGTTGGCTGAGGTCATCTGTCTATTATACACTGACTGGGGCACACTGTTTTTGTTTTGTTTTTTTAAAGAAATTAACTAAATAACTAAGTAATTATCCAAAGAAGCATTTTTTGACAAAAAAAAATTTAGGCCACACTTGGAAATTTTAATATTGAAAATAAATCTCTTCACTTCTTCCACTGACCTATAACTCTAACAGTAAAGAGGAAAGTCAGGCCAATTAAGGATAAATGATGACCTGGAAAAATAAATTAAAATTTTTAATAATTTGGGGATCCATGAGATTAATACTTAAGACTATTGTTGGCTCTGATAAATTACGCTGGCAACTCCCAATGATCTTTTAATTAACTCAGTACATTTAATAAAATACTTGAGTTTTACCATTTGCTTATTACCTAAAAAATGTGCCACCCTAATAATGAAATAACTAAAAGATAAGAAGTATGACCTGTGTATTATGGAAGGACAGATTTCCCCTTAATGTTGCAAAGTACCAATTCTAGACAAAACAATTTACAGAGAATATAAGTTTTCCATAAAACTCTCCCCCAAGAAAGAGAACTCTATGACTCTACTGTCAACACTGAACCCTGGTCATTTAAGACAAACCATACACTTCAGATATAGATACAGATGTTAACCTTAAAAAAAAAAATTGTGGCTGAGCCTCAAGTCACACCTGAGAAAGTTAGACATATTTCATAAACTTATGGTCTCAGTTATCTAATTAGAACAGCCTGTTGAATCATGACAACAGACCAAATTTGGAGAAATAACACCATACTTTAATCTACTTAAATATAGTACCAGGGGGGCCTTAGGGTGATTAAAGTAGGATACTGTAAGTATACAAAATACTTTGTTTTACCAAGACAAAAATACCAATTTGATATATCCCAAAATATTTATATAATAACCTAAGGAACTGAAGAAAAATTCATTGGTAAGGACAGAGGAGTATGGGAGACTCTTAATCACTTAAAAATCAAAATTTAAAGGCACTTATGTTTTGATTATCTGCCTACTAAAAGATAATTCTTAAAGGAAAAATGGCATACTTGCAGTATTATTCAGACATAGCCCCTTGATCCTGGTCAGTGATCCCAAAGACCTGGACTTCTTGTGGACCACACAGCATGTATGACTCCTGCCAGTCCAGGCACTGGCTCTCACCTAAAAGTCTGGCCTAGAGAGTCACTACTCTGAGGAGAGGCCATGGGGGACTCCAACACATGCCAGAAGGTCACGAAAGCCACCATGCAGAGACTGCTGAAGGCTCTGGCTAGATGGAGAAGTGTTAACTAAAGATCCTGAGGCAAAGCATTGTTTCTTCTTCAGTCACTGTCTCAAACTCAGCAAAGTTAATGTTCACTTGAATTCAAAATGCTGATTCAAGTTTAGTTCTCAGGTTCTTACTCCCTTCTCCTGAGCAGTGTTCTGCTTCTAACACGAGCCCATAATGAAAGCAACTATGCTTAGAATGGCCACTGTGTTGAAAAACTACACCAGACAATGTGTAGACAGACTCTAAAGAATTTATTTAGATGATTAAATATCTTCTTCAAGTGCTCCTATCACTTAGAGAATAGGTGATAAGTTTCTAGATGATTTCTATGTGTAAGGGTATTAAATGTAACTTTTTAATTTCAAAATCTTTAAGGTACCACAAAGTGTTTAGAGCTACCAGAATTTCAGACAACACTCAGCACAAACTGCTCATTTTACTGTAGAAGTTAACCACTTTGCACAAGATTATTCAGTTTGGATTTGGTTGAGGACTGGAATCCGTGGTCTCCTGTTATCCATACACTTTTTGGTATCAAGCCTGGTATAAAATATAAAAATAGCTACACAGACACATTGGGTGCTTTAGTTTCTTCACTTCTGTTGAAATGGTATTACCTTGGAGACAGGCCCCCATGGGAGCAGTTGGTGGGCGAGGTCAGGGGGCTAGTCCTACTGCTGGTGTGTCGGGAGGGAGTCCGGCCAATTGTATTGCTCGGAGAGCCCTGGGGTGAAGGCAGAATAAACATCATTACTCAAGAGCTAAATATAGAATAAAGTCCACTTTTCCCTTGGCCTTTTTTAAAAATTTTTAAAAAACATTATGCTATTTTTATTTTTATTTATTTTTTAGATTTTATTTATTTTTAGAGAGGGACGAGAGGGAGAAAGAATGAGAGAGAGAAACATCAATGTGCAGTTGCTGGGGGCCGTGGCCTGCAACCCAGGCATGTGCCCTGACTGGGAATCGAACCTGCGACACTTTGGTTTGCAGCCCGCACTCAATCCACTGAGCTATGCCAGCTAGGGCCTCCCTTGGCCTTTTAACCCACATTTAAATAAATGGGCAGAATTTGTGCAATCAGGATCATTTTTTTCTGAATCATTATGGACAATTTTAGGTGCACACTAAACCAAAAATGGGTAACTCACATATAGGCATTCCTGAAGCTGAATGACTGATGTTAGTTGGGCTACAGTAATAGATACAATTGAGCATTTGTATCTCTACAGTATAAAAAATAGGTAACTCAATAAATAAATGACTAAATATAAAAATACAGTCCTGACTCAGTTGGTTGGAGCATCATCCTGTACACCAAAAAGTTGTGGGCTCAATTCCTAGTCAGGGCATATACCTAAATTGTGGGTTCAATCCCCAGCTGGGGCACGTTGGGAGGCAATGGAGATGTTTCTCATATCCATGTTTCCCTCCCTCCCTCTCTGTGTGACATCAATGAATGTATCCTCAGGTGAGGATTAAAAAAAAAATTAAAAAATAATTTAACTGATGGAATTAAGAAACAATGTTTAAATGTCAGAGTCATTCAATCACTGGGAGTATGGCAGGATCAAACCTAGTCTCCCATTCTTGAAATGCCCACAATCTAACAGAAGAAAACAAGAAAGCTGGCTAATAGAGCAGCTCTAGACAAGGGGTCCACAGAGGCCCTGACTGGTTCAAAGGCACCGACTATGACAAAAGCGCTCACCACACTGGTGTTACTGGAATTCTTGAGGTGGTTATGCAGGAGTTTGGTGGCACCATCCTGGAATGTTTTCGGCAAGGCACCAAGTAACATGGTAAATTCAGGAGTGTTCAATTCAAACAGCGAAATTAGCACAATTTGTGCTGCCTAGAAAAAGAAGATGATTAATTTATATAATGTACAATAGCATATCTTGGTCAAAATATTCATTAAAATTGTTTTTAAAAGAAAACATTTTTTGTATGAGTAAAATAATATAAGGACATCTTTGACATAAAAAATAAAATGTATCTGGAAAAAAATTATATTATCAATGATAAATAGTCTCATTTCAATCTGGAAAATAAGTCCTGGTTGCATTTTAACACACTGGCCTTGTACTTCCACACCATGTCAATAATAAATTCCTATAACTTTTCCTATGTTGTATAGCACTGGGAATGAAGCTGGCAAATACCTAAATGAAACAATTAAATTTTAAAGGTTTAAGATTGTTTAATAAGTCAGAACTGGACAGGGCTCCAGTTCTCAACAAGTTCCCACTGAGTCATCTTGAGAAACCACTTTTCCTTAACCCTACTCTTAGAGATTGAGAAATACTAGAAAAAGATGGGAGTTTAAATACATCTGAAAAACTACTTTTATACTTATGAACTGCACAAAGAGACAGTCTTTGGGAAGCAAAGCAGACTTACATGGTACAAATTATAAGCTTATTCTCTGCCTTTTAGAAAACGCTCTACTTTTCTTTATTGAGACAACATACTGCAGGACTGCTTGTAATCACTATAGCAGCAAGGAGGGGAAAAGCAATTAGCTGAAGCAATAGTAGCCAAAGGAGACTAGAACTTCTCTAGCAAGTTATGTGCTTTCTATGGAATGGGTATAGCAGCTGGCATTCTGAACTTAAACACAATGCCTATGGAATCAGTTACATGGGTTTTGATTTAGAAAAACTATGCCAAAGAAAATTTTAGTAAGTACTAAATGGCATTTCTTACAGATTTCTAAGAGTCAGAAGAAAGGAAAACACATTATAAAAATCTTTTAACTAAAAGCATAAGAATATTTTTCCAAAGACTGCAATTTTTAGGACTACAGAAATGATTATGAATATTTTTCCCTATGACACATAATATTACCAAAAAAATCTGCTGAGACATTCTCTGGAAACAAACACCACAAAATGTTTCAATGCCTTTATAATGTAAAAATTAATTATAAGTAAAGTTAAGACAAAATTACTACTTATGTCTGGAGAAAAATATAAAAACCCAAATGTTTACCAAAAATAAAAATTGATTATGAGTTTAAAAATATCAGTAGGATATTTTTAGAGTAATCAAAAATTACTTTTCAACCTGTCAAAATCATTCATTACACACAGCACTGGGCAAAAGTACCTTACTTTTTTTCTCTTGACCTCCAAATATAGGAATTAGTAACCTTCTATCCAAAATAAATCACAACAGGCCAGTTGCTTTCATGACAGGCCAAAAACATAATCATAATTGTACTAAAATATATATTTCTAATATATTTCATTATTGAATTATTCTTAATAAATCACCTAGAGGAATTGATTTCACCACCAATTTAATTTTATTAAGGTATCAATATTTGTAAAAGAGCAAATTTCAAAAATCATGCAGAGTAACCTGTGCATTTTAAAGAACATTTTATTAGATGTTAGAAGAAAAAAATTCATGAATGCATACATGCAAAAAAAAACAACACACTGCACTTCAAAAAGAAAGAAGCAGGGAAGCAAACCAAGCGTTTATTTTCTTGTTGAGTGAAAATGACACTTGAAAAGTATAAAATGAATAGTCTATTTTTATTTGAAATGTGCCACTATTTTCACTTTCCAGAGTGACATGATATCTAATACCACAAACTTGAAGTTTTTCATGAAGCAAATTATAAAATTAGTGGGATCTTTTAGGAACAGGAAGGCTGCAAGATGATAGGCCTAGATTGTGCTAATTCACGACTAACATCAATGACATTTAGTCATGTGGGGAAAGAAAGTGCAGCAGACTTTACCTTTTGACTGACTACCAAACCTCTTGGTAATCTGAAAGTTGAATTTGGATAGGAAATCAAAACGAAAGACAGGGAATTTTGAAACTATAACTGGATGGAGAGATGGCACATGTGTATGATTGATACATATAAGTGAGTATGATTTATTTTTACATTTTCCAAAGCATAAAATGCATATGATTTTATACAGCTTTTGAAAGTCACCCTTTGACTTAAAGCTGGTTTCAAAATATTTTTCTAGTGAGATTTAAGCTCCAGAAATGGATAAAAAGTGTCATTTAAATTTACTATTTTTGAAAATATTTTACATCAAAGTTTTAAAAGGAATAAAAGTATATCGTCCCAAGATATTTTATCTGCAACCCCGTGTTAGTGAGAAGTCAGAATACTAGACTCCAAGAAGAAAACTGGGTTATATTTATCATTACCATCAATATGCTGCCATTAAAGGGATAATTCCAAATATGGAAATGAGTTGCAGAGATTCAGTGAAAAAAAGCTTGGGTCATCGCTCATATTCAGTAATGAATCAAGTGGGTTATATTCTTGTCTCATTTTTGAACTCTTGCCTTCCACAAAAGGCAGTAAAATAGCCAAACAAAAAACTCAAGAGTACTGCTGGCTTTTTCTAATGGACAACTCTAGGGCAATTTATTTTAAAGTTCAAATAACAACTTTAAAAAGAAGTGATTTCCATTCATGCCCTTAACAGTAGAATTTGTGGCGTGAGGGCAAAAGGTTCTTCAAATGCCACTGCTACTGTTTGAAAAGAACTCCCAGCATTATCAGTTGCTTTGAATGCTGTGTACCTTGCAGCAGGAAATAATCCTTCTGGACAAGAGATAATTAAGCTTTGACAGATGCTTCAGTGCGGTATTAATGAGGAAAAACTTAAAATTTGGGAGGAAGAGGAGTCTGCTGATTTATTAAGCATCTATTTTACTGTTCACATCAGATTGTCATTAAAAGTGCTTTAGAAAATCACTGAAAAGATATTTCAAAATCTTCAGACATTTCTTCTTCAGAATCTGTCCTTTACTACTCCATTAAAATATGGTAGGGGTCTGCATTCAACATGGCTATTTTGGGGGGAAGAGAGTTAATCATAAAAAACATACATACCAAAACACAAACATTTGCATAGCCACACGCATATAGGTTCACACGGAATTATATTAATTTTAGGTTTCTTCAAAACTTTCTCGGTGTCTTTACAAGGGTAACCAGTATTAATATTTTAAAGTGCAAACAGCAAAGTATCTTTTCCAAATAAGTGGTTTTAAATCTACCTGTTTACAATTTTCTTCCAAGTTTCCTTCTCCAAGCCCAGAGCAGGTTGAAGCTGACCTGCTGGGGAAATCCTCACCTACTCGACTACGCTGAAGCAGGGACGGACACACAGGAAAGGTGGAGGGATTGAATCAGAGAGAAGAAGCAAGTGCTTAACCCGTGGTTATTGTAAGCTGCAAAAGTATTTTGCTTCTTTTATAAAATCATCTACATATATAATTCAGAAATAAGACTAAGAAGAAAAATAACAGTAACTGCCAGTTTTAAACCTCTTGTTTGTGACTTAAAAATCATAATCCATCCTGGGAAGGTCAGCCATCTTTTATGTGATGAAACAGAAAATCAAAACGATCAAAAAAGAGACCTGAAAGAAGCAGCCATAGTTAAGCTGAGATATGAATCTTATTTGATGGTAAAATCCTTAGCTTTATCATAGGCCATGTTGCCTATCTATAATCAGAAATCTGTATTTTTTTTTAATTTTTGAAATTTCAACTTTTGAAGGCTATTGATAGACTTCCTGCTCAATGAAACAGCCTCTTTATGCTTTGCAGGCTTCTTTGCCATGCCTTCAGTTCCCATTTTTCAAACATTTCGAGGCTAAGTCAGTTATTTCCTCTAACAAAGGAGATGCTAAATGTTAGAGAATCACATATGATAAGCAAACATACAGGGATTCAGAATTCTAAAATATAAACATATCATCCAAAATTCCATTGTCATTATCATACTCCCTTTGACAGGAAAAACCAATCTTCCTAATGCCAGAAAAAATTTGGTTTTCAATTTGTTCCACCACCAACAAAACCAAAATAACCCTCAATAACAGCAAGAGCTACAATAGCAAATGGAAGCAATATTTAGCTGTGTTTTTATATTCTTTATTGCAATCAGTCCTCCCAATAATGCCTAAAGCAAGTATTACTATTCTCATTTTACAAATAATAAACAAGAATTCAGAGGTTAAATCACTTGCTCAGCCACTAAAATGTGGCAGAGGCCAAAGTCAAAGGGAGGTCAACATTTAGATCCTACCTTTTACTGCTAATACATTAGACTACCTTAACACAAATACAATGCCTTAAGAAAGGTCTAGAATACTTTTGTGTCATTTGGTCAGCACTAGTTAGGACCCTCACACTAGAAAAATGAAAACAGTTTCTTTTGAGAATAAGTAGACCAGGTAATGAAAGTCTGGGTAGGGCTTTTCCATTTAATCCCAATCAGCCTTAGCCTGATAGGCACACTGCCTTGTGTTCTGATTTTGGTTGTGCTTCTTCCCTCCTTTACAAAACATCTTAAATATCTAAACACCCCTCTCTCTCCAATATGAAACACCCCAAAACACTAAGCTAAAATGGGAAACAAAATATTATGAATGATAAAGTAAAAAAATCAGAGTTGTATCATATCAGCTTAAAATGTTTCTAAAGCATCTTCCCAAATACGACCTTATAGATGTGGGTAATGGATTATACTGTCTGCAAACTTCCCAAGTATTGTTTGTATACAATCAATATTCTCCAGGGATAGAGCCAGTATGGAAGTTTACTGAATAGATTTTAAACTGAAGGGCTTTTCTATTGTTTAGTATATAATTTCAACCCACTTTTAAGAAGTTAAAGAAAAAAACAGAACTTGGCTCATGATCACAAAGTGCTTTTCAATCACCGAGATTTCCCTAGCACTTGATATACCTTTTAATAACTCTGCAAATGAAAGAGGCAATACATACATTTTAAAATATTTAAAAAAAACAGGTAAGAGTATTTTTAGTGCATTAAATTATCCAAATAAAAATAACCCATTTTACTTTTTTACAGCTTTAAACTGATAATGACAATTTTAGATCCCAGAGCAGAATAGCAAATAATCATAATTTCTAAATATCTTTTTTAGGTACTACACTCAGACAATCTTTCAAATACATGTCAAATTCTTGGGTAAGGCAGCTGCATCACCTATAACAGCATCTATATTAATATAAATGTACAACAGATGGTATATCAAAAACAGAGTACTTAAATAAAAGTGAATCTTTGGAAAGAGTTAATCTGCAGTGCTCTGTGATATGTGGATAAGTAGCTATGTGGCAAAAGAATACATATTTGAATACTGAGCTTTAACACAGCTATTTGAATCAAATCACAGTGCTCTACTAGTCAATGATGGGTATGTACAAATGAAGCCACTGTAGATGATTCCCCACAGTGAAGATGCATCTGCTAAGTTGAACCTTATCATAATTGGAACAGTTTAAAAACCTCCACATTTAATTAAAAGCTAAGGAATTACCAAATAACTATGAAAGATTCCTGCCAACCCACTGGGTAGGAAAAATACTTAAAAGGACCAAGACTCCCAACCTGTTGTATGAAACCTGCACAATCCCCTTCTCTAGAGTGAGTAGAACTTGTGACTATGATGATCACTCCACAGTTACATGGCAGAAGGGATTCTGCAGATATAATTGAAACCAGCTGTTTCTCACACTGAGGCTCTCTTGGATATGCTGAGCAGCTTCCCTCTTGCTGCTTTCTAGATTCTGTCTGTCTTTGATTGTCTTTCTTTCTTTATTTTGTTGTTCAAGGAGAATTTTCTGCCTTTTACTCCCATCCCATCCCAGCCCACACCCCCAGCCCTCGCCACCTCCCTCCCGTTTCCACCCCCTCCCCCGTTTTTGTCCATGTGTCCTTTATACTTGTTCCTGTAAACCCTTCCCCTTTTCCCCTGAAATTTCCTCCCCTCTAGTCACTGTCAGCCTATTCTCTATTTCAGTGTCTTTGGTTATAGTTTGCTTGTTTCTTTGTTTTATTGTTTAGGTTCCTGTTAAAGGTGAGATCATATGGTATTTGTCTTTCACCACCTGGCTTATTTTGCTTAGCATAATGCTTTCCAGTTCCATCCATACTGTTGCAAAGGGTAGGAGCTCCTTCTTTCTTTCTGCTTCGTAGAATTCCATTGTGTAAATGTAACATAGTTTTTTGATCCACTCATTTACTGATGGGCACCTAGGTTGCTTCCAACACTTGGCTATTGTAAATTGTGCTGCTATGAACATTGGGGTGCATAGATTCTTTTGGATTGGTGTTTCAGGGTTCTTAGGGTATTCTGACATTCAATAGTTTTATTACAACCTATCTAGGTATGAAGCTCTTTTTAAATCCTACTTGGAATTTGCTGAGCTGCTCAGACGATGAGCTCCACCAAGTCTGGGACGTTGTTTTCTTACATATTCTCCTGTTGGCTTAAAAGAAGCATGTTGCCATGCTGTGGAGACAACCATGTGATAGGAGATGGCAAGCTGCCTCTACAAGATGAGAATGTACCCTGTTGATAGTTGGCAAGAAAGCAGGCACCTTGGCCCTACACTTGTAAGGAGCTGAATTTGGCCAAGAACCAGTGAACTGGGAGAGGAGCTTTGGCCTCAGATGAGATCGAAGACCCAGACAACACCTTGACTTCAGTCTGGCAAGAACTCGAGCAGAGAACCCAGAGAACACATGCCAGACTGCTGAGCCACAAAACTGTTAGATAATAAATTTGTATAGTTTCAAGCTGCTATGTTTGCAGTAATTTGTTATGTGAGAGAACACTAATATAGATGCCAAAGAGGGAAACTTCCAAGACTCTTAAAAATAATGGCTTCAAAGTGTTACATGAAGTCAGGTAATTTCTCTTTGGGTATTTATCATTCATTAACTCATTCAAAGGATTTATTAAATGACTAGTTTGTTCCTAAAGGTATTATGCTAGATTCTGAGCACAGAGGGTAAGCAAGAGAGTAGGTAGATGGGAAAGGAACTGGGAAATGGCAAGGCCAGGCCTCATCCCGAAGACACCGAGGATCTAGGCTGGGTACCAAAAGAATTAGTGACAACCAGGTCAAGATGACATCAGCAATCTGAATGTCCTGAAGTTCAACACCAGGGAATTCATGTAGAATGATGGGTCTCAATTCTATATATTAAAAATCAGCCAAGAGTGGAGGAAATCTCAGTCAGACACAAAACAATGTCCAAGATATCAATTAAGTCAAATCACCTGGGGTAGAGCTCAGGTATCCAGGCTGATTTTAGCTGCAGTCACAGCTAAGAACTCTTTAAATGTAAAGCTTTTCAGATTCCTGTGAAGATCAAAATTATCATCCCAGACCTGGGTTGGAACTTAGTCTGAAGGTGGGGTATTAAACTGTCCTCACAATGGAGAAGGGTAAGAAGTAAGGGCAGGCATCAGAAGCAGAATGCCAGTGGAGACTAGGCTTTGTGAAAAGTACTGTATGATTCAAAATAATTGAAATTAAGTATTAAAGATCAAATAGTAAATTAACCTTGTGATTATTGGCAATAAATTTAATATCCTGACCATGTCTGACTGAAGCTAGTATTAAAATACGCTGAAATGTTTTGAAGTGCCAGGCTAGATAAGTCAAGGAAAAAAGTTCCTGTAATGTCCTGATTAGAAAAGTTAGGACAATAAATCCTAGTTCACATTTTTAATGTGCATGCCTAAAAAAATGGACATTATGTTCAGTTAGTTGCTCCCAAACAGGCCCTAATAATGGTAATGGGAAGTCTAAAGTATGTTTCTGGAGGGACTACTTCACTAACATTCAGTTACAAAAGCACATACTCACACAGATACACACATACTTATATGTTATGACTAAAGGTAGAAAAGGCTGCACTTAAGGCTTTTGTATTTACTGGCCAATCTTGTAATTTTGAAAATTACAACAGAAATATGAGTAATGTTTTTGACTTACAAACTCACCAAATCATTCAACCACCTCCCACTGCACTTCTCTAATCCAAAACTGGCTTAATAGTTAAAATAAAGGTTGCCAGTAAATGCTCTTTTGATACATGTTGAAAAATTTTACCGAAGAATGAATCAAAAATATTAATATTAGAACAATTTTAAATAAGTGCTTTAATAAGATCTGCACTTGCTCCTTTGACCTTGAACAACTTAAGTTTATTACTATACTATACAACGAATTTGAGAAATACGTAGACTGCAATCCCTCCAAAGAAACCTTTTAGATAATTCTTCAATTCTTCTCCTTGTGTTCCTTTAAAGAAGGAGCCAAGTGTTCACTGGAAAGATACCAACCTTGCTAACTATTCCTTGCACTCATTCTTTCCTTTTTCTCTGCTTGGACCCAAGTGGTCCACATTATCAACTCTGCCCCTGGTAACGATAGCTATGGAACAAGTATGGTACAGAAGAAAAAATATGATCTTCATGATTATACACAAATAACCAAAATTATGTATTCTTAGTCTGAAAACAGAAACTTGCTTTTAGAAGTACTTTTCTATAAAGTCTAGTTAGTTTTGTTTTTTTTTTAAGAACTTACTTTTTTTTAAAGATTTTATTTATTTATTTTTAGAGAGGGAAGGGGGCGGGAGGGAGGGAGGGAGGGAGGGAGAGGGAGGGAGGGAGGGAGAGAGAGAGAGAGAGAGAGAGAGATCAATGTGTGGTTGCTGGGGGCCATGGCCTGTAACCTAGGCATGTGCCCTGACTGGGAATCGAACCTGCGATACCTGGTTCACAGCCCTCGCTCAATCCACTGAGCTACGCCAGCCAGGGTAAGGCTAGTTAGTTTTATGTAATGTAAAAGGTAACAGTCACAGATGAAATTTAAGCCCAGAAGGGCATGACACTGACAGAAAGAAAACAACAGAAACAACAAACACAGTAATACCTGGTATTTGTTTTATGCTTATGATGTGTCACGAATTGGTTAAATGCTCTACATATATTAATTAACCTTCATACTAGTCCTGAGGCAGAATACCTAGTAACAGAAATAATGGTATCTTGTGCTGCTCTCCACTTAATGTGCGATTTCAGAAGAAGTAGCAAATGTTTTTCTTCAGGAGTTTAAAACACAACAACAATGAAACAACACCTTGGCATCAGGGTGTCTCAAAAATCTGAACTCACCTCCCCAACTCACTCTCCAAATCAAAGAGTGTGTTCTTTTTTTTTTAATATATTTTATTGATTATGCTACTATAGTTGTCCCATTTCCCCGTTCACTCCCCTCCACCCTGTATACCCTCTCCCACCCACTCCCCCCACTTTAGTTCATGTCCATGTGTCATACTTATAAATTCTTCAGCTTCTACATTTCTCATACTATTCTTACCCTCCCCCTGTCTATTTCCTACCTACAATCTATGCTACTTATTCTCTGTACCTCCCCCCCCCTCCTCCTCCCACTCCCCTGTTGCTAACCCTCCATGTGATCTCCATTTCTGTGGTTCTGTTCCTATTCTAGTTGTTTGCTTAGTTTCTTTTGGTTTTGTTTTAGGTATGGTTGTTAATAATTGTCAGTTTGCTGTCCTTTTACTATACATGGTTTTTTAACCTTCTTTTCTAAGTCCCTTTAACATTTCATAAAATAAGGGCTTGGTGATGATGAACTCCTTTAACTTGACCTTATCTGAGAAGCACTTTATCTGTCCTTCCATTCTAAATGAAAGCTTTGCTGGATAGAGCAATCTGGGATATAGGTCCTTGTCTTTCATGACTTGGAATACTTCTTTCCAGCCCCTTCTGGCCTGTAAGGTCTCCTTGGAGAAATCAGCTGACAGTCTGATGGGAACTCCTTTGTAAGTTACTGTCCCCTTATCTCTTGCTGCTTCTAGGATTCTCTCCTTCCTTTTTACCTTGGCTAATGTAATTCTGATGTGCCTTGGTGTGTTTCTTCTTGGGTCCAGCTTCTTTGGGGCTCTCTGAGCTTCCTGGACTTCCTGGAAGTCTATTTCCTTTGCCAGAATGGGGAAGTTCTCCTTTATTATTTATTCAAATACGTTTTCAATCTGTTGCTCTACCTCTTCCCCTTCTGATACCCCTATAATTCGGATGGTGGAACGTTTAAAGATGTCCTGGAGGTTCCTAAGCTTCTCCTCGTTTTTTTGAATTCTTATTTCTCCATTCTCTCCTATTTGGTTGTTTCTTTCTTCCTTGTGGTCCACTCTATTGTTTTGAGTCCCAGTTTCCTTCCCATCACTGTTGGTTCTCTGTACATTTTCCTTTATTTCTTTTATGGTAACCTGCATTTTTTCATCTAAAATTCGACCAAAATCAACCAATTCTGTGAGCTTCCTGATCACCAGTGTTTTGAACTGTGCATCTGATAAGTTAGCTATCTCTTGGTCACTCAAAAGGATGAGTTCTGGGGCACTGATTTGTGCTTCTGTTTGAGCCATCTCTCTCCCTGTCTCTTTTTTTTTTTGGACTGGTCGCTCTTGTTACGGTGAGGGGCGGAGCCTTAGGTGTTCACCAGGGCTGGGCACCCCTGTCGCTAGATTGTGATGTTGTATGTGAGGGTGGGGTCGAGAGGGAACAATGATGGTAGCTCCATTTTCCATGGGACCTCAGTCCCTTCCCTGGGATCCTTGGTTGCGCGCTCTGCCCTGCTCCACAATCACTGCCTCACTGGGTCTGCCAGCTGCCGCTTGCCTACTCAGGGTCCACCCGCTGCAATCTTGCGAGCCCCAGATTCCTTACGCGCTCCCGGTTGCCTTATGCACCCAATTCAATTCTCCATGTTCTCTGCGCCGCCACCCCGCGCCCGGCTGCTCGTTTCTGCCCCTCTTACCGGTCTGGATGAACGGGTCTATTTCAACTTCTTGGCTGTCCTACTTCCATTCAGATAAATTTTCTGTCAGTTCTGGGTGTTATTCTACCTCTAAATTGTTGTTGTTCCAATCTTGGTTGTGCATGGAGGTACGGTGTGTCCACCTCTACCTCCATCTTGCTGGAAGTCCCGAAGAGTGTGTTCTAACTGTGATATAGAACTGAAAGTTCCTGTGCTATTTTTAAAATCAAGAATTCATTATATATTAGCAAACTTTCAGCCACATTTTACTGTTTGGCACCTTATGGCCAGAGAGTCTTAGACCTGCAATTCTATCTTCAAAGTACATGTCACCAAACTAACATAAGTGAAACCAGTGTCCGTAGACACTAAACTACTAGTGCTTTCACATTAAAAACATGAATAGCTGTCTACAAAAACCATGAACCCATCATACAAAGTTTCAGATTTTCGATTTAACATTCAGAGCCTGGAATGAGGTAGAGTTGGAGAGAGAAGATAAGGGACAAGGGCAAAGTCTTGGTTTTCACAGAAAAGATGTGACAGAGGTTTGCGTATAGATAGATGTGTGGGGTGGTTTGCAAGTTTCTAGATAAATTTCTTTTTGAACATATGCTAAGACTAGCCTGTCATTAAAAGTACACTGCAGCTCTCTTGGACGTACCTTTCTCACATCTGAACTCTTTGGTTCTGTTGTCCAGGTTATAATTCTAGAAACAGCAAGTCTGGTCTCACTAGAGTTTATAAAATCAGTTGGATCCATCTGCCTGGCAAGAGACTCAATGTACTTCAGGATTGCGACTTTGACCTGAAAAATCCAATAATTATAAACATTAAGTACATTTCATGAATTTTTGAATAAAATTCTTAATTGGTGATCAGAGAAAATTAAACACTATTGAGGAGACACCTTCTTTCACCTGGAGTTACGGTTCCACATGGAGCCAGCATCAATCAGGAGAAAAAGCACGACTGAAAGGTAAGTCTGGGAACTGGAAGAGTGGCGTGCAGCTCAATGCTCTTCATTTTTTGAGTGCTATGCCTACAGAGAAGGCTGCACCCTGCTCCTTGAGTATGCTGCAAGACACTCACAGGGTGGGAGCCCATGTGTGGAGGCTGTGGGATTTCCCACTCTGCCCCTGACTGGGATGGCCAAGTACAACACTGTAGTTAGTTTTGATTTTTACACATTCTAGAGACCAGGAGTCTCCAAGCTTTTGGCATCTCTGGGCCACACTAGAAGAAGAGTTGTTTTGGGCCACACATTAAATACACAAACACTAACAAAAACTGATGAGAATAAAGAGGCTTTAATAAATTTATGTTGGGTCACATTCATAGCCATTCTGGACCACATGCGGCCCGAGGGTTGGATACTTCTGTGGGCCATTTCTTGCAAGGCAGCATGTTCAGTAACCAAGCTGATATTCTGCCCTAACTTCTTCATTGATGTCTCAACTGGTGTTGACCTCAGGGGAAAAGGGTAATTATTAACTGGGCCTATCTTAAAAAGCCAACAAAAGTTTAATGGTTAAAGACCAGAAGGTGTCTACCACCCAACCCAACCCAACCCAACCCAACCCAAATGAACCCTACCCAAATGAACCCAAATCCTCCCTTCAATTTAGTTTTATTACAGGTATGATTTTACAACACATAATGAGTAATTTTCACGTAACAGAAATAATGGCATCCTGTTCTCTCCACTTAATGTGCCATTTCAGAAGAAAGTAGCTAATGTTTTCATCAGGGGCTTAAAACACAATAACAATAAAACACCACCTTGGTATCAGGGTGTCTCAAAAGTCTGAATTCACCGCCTCACCTCACTCTACAAATCAAAGAGAATGTGTTCCAACTGTGGTATAGAACTGAAAGTTCCCGTGCTATTTTTACAATCAAGAATTCACTATTAGCAAACTTGCTAGTATTTTAGAATGTTACTATTTTTAAAAATTTCAATAAAACACCTACCCCAACAAACCAGAATTTTCTAGTTTAAATATTGTGGCAGAGTAACAATACCCAAATGTTGCTAAGGACATGGAAGAACTAGAGTTCTTAAACATTGTTGGCAGGAATATAATAGAACCATTTGAACAGTTTAAAACAATGTTAAACATACACCTCCCCAATAAATCAGCTATTTCTCTACTGAGTACTGAACCAAAAGAAATGAAAACACATCCACAAAGAGGTGAACAAGAACAGTAAGCAGCAGATTTATTCATAACAGCAAATACAAGTCATTGAAAAAAATTGACTTCTAGAGGTTGAATTATAATGCCAAATCATTACCAACCTTGAGGTTAGGAGTCTGAGTTTGATCCACAATAAACCTCATCAAAATATTAAATTGCTGATCAAATGGAAAGGAGTCCCTGGGTTTGAAAAAAAAAAGAAAAAAAAGTGTTTGTTTTTAAAGGAAAGTTTATAATATAGTATAAAACCATACAAAAAGAAAAAATATACTGTTGTAGATTACGCTAATGTATGCAAAACCAAGCCTGTTCCCATTTTTTAAACAGTACTTTTCACCTTAAATACTAAAGTAATATATATTACATTAAAAACTTAGAAAAAGGGAAATCTTATTAAACGTCCCAAAACACATACTAAACTTCTCTAGCTATCTTTCTAAATATTGGTTACCCAGAAAACACTACCAGTTTCCAAATCTGATTTTTACATCCTGATTACACTGCCTATAGGTGTAAGGTTAGCAGACCTTGCTCAAGCTAACTATGCTGTCTTCCTTGGTTCTAGCTGGGTAAGTGCTTATGATCTCTAATTGGTATAGTCATAAGAAGAACGCTTGTGGAATACTCCACAAGAGAAACCCACATTCAGCTACAGAAACCCACGGGCCCTAGAAGCCCATCTCCTGCTCCATTTCTTATCTGTTACTGATCTGATCTCTTTGGTCATCTCACATATATGGCCTCACTGACTAACTCTGAGGGTGTTTGGCTAACCAAAGTCAGAGATCTCCCTCCTTCCCTTAAAATGCTGCTCTTACTAGTAGCAGTGTAAAATTGCACAATAGAGCCCATGTGGATAAATGCAGACAGAAATACCATTGATACTAACAGGAAACATAATGTAATGCAAACATCTATTAAATTGAGGCTGAGTGATTTGCGCTGCTGTCTTTGGACCTTCCTAGAGACTTTTCTCAATCTACAGAAGTATAATAAAAAGAAAACAGATCCAGTTTCAAAAATATAAAATAAAAGGACAGATGTGAAATTTAAATGAAATAATACAAGAAAAATGTAAAGTGCGTGGCACATACTAGGTATTAGTATTAACTTGGCCCAACAGTACATCCTTTTCTACCATATTTATTTGTACCCAGGAAGTTCTGAGGACCACTTCTAGAAGCAAAGTATACTTCAGTATACTACATGATTTAAATAACTCACATGGTTATAAATTTAAAAAACAAGGTTGACAAGCCACACACAGAAATCTTTCTTCATAGCAATTAACTGATATATTTAACCAAGAAATGTGCCCTGTTGTTAGGTACAGCCAAAGGACAGGAAATGAGGCAGATTTGCAATCAGGTCCATCACTGAGCCCCTGAATCCTCATTGCCTGATCCCAAAGAAGCTTAAGCAGTTACACTTCTGCTGCTGAGAAAAAGGGAATGATAAACATGCTTTAGAGGCTTAGACCAAATATAATGAGAACAGGATCCTTAAAGGAAAGAGACAGAAAAATTAACAGAATAATTGTTTTCCTTAATCACCAAAGGTTAGGAATATAATCATAATAAATATTCTTGCCATCCCTAAAAAATCTGAAATGGATCTTGTCATTCACGAATTCACTTAAACTAAGCATGTGACCTATAGGCCAAGTCTGGCTCACAAATGTTTTATTTGGTTTTAACAGTGTCATAAAAAAAATTCTTGAATGTGTTGCCTTAGTCCATATTTCAGACCATCCTTGAAAAGTCTGGTATCACTGGGCCCATGTTCTAGCATAGCACAACTGATTGGACCTCTCCACCCCATCCATGACCCTTGCTCTTACCTACTTCACTCACTTCCTATAAGCTGGATCAGCCCAGACTATTCAGCCAATGCCTTATAAATCCAGTGCTATACTGATGTAGGAATGTTCCCTAATTCTGGCTTATATGTGAAATATATGTTTCAGCCTTTTTAAAAGGCTGAACCCATAGAAACAGAGAGTAGAACAGTAGTTGCCAGTGGTTAGGAAGTGGGGTAAGTGGGGAGATGTTGGTTAAAAGATACAAACTTCCAGCTGTAACATGAATAAGTTCAGGGGATCTATTGTACAGCATGGTAATTATAGTTAGCATTACTGTGTTATACACTTGGAAGGTCCTAAGAGAATAGACCTCAGGTGCTCTCACCACCACTACAACAAAAAAATAATCATGTGAGGTGAAGGAAGTATTAACTAACACTGTAGCGGTAACCATTTACCAATGTATACATGTACCAAAATCATCATGTTGTGCACTTTAACCTTATACAATGTTATATGTAATTATATCTCAAAAACTGGGGGAAAAAATGGTCTACTCGATGAACACTTACCTTGTGACATCTAGAGCCTTCTGGACTTTTGCTTGCACAGATCCAAGTAAATCTGCCCCCATTTTCTTAAGTAATTGTGTGAGAAGAACAAAAAGCCAGTCCTGCAAGTCATCCTTATGAATTATTATAAAATCAACAAGAGTCTCCAAAAACATACTGAAAACCTAGACACAAATGAAAACCAAACATTTCACATGATCCGTAATTTCCTCCAAAGTCTCTAAAACATTAAAAATGCCTACACTGGCTGTGTCCAGTCTCTTACAACTAGGTTAACACTGTTAACAACTAATCACACTATGTAAGACAAACGTATCAAAGAAAAGAAAATAATGAGAATTGAAACTTACTCTCTGATGTGAATTCCACAGCAAATCAGGCCATGCAACAAAACAAATTCCATGTTAGTTCAGAGTGAATTAATACAATTTCATGCAGTTTCTTCAAAGACCTGAAATGGCTACAAATTGATAACATACTCTCTCCTCCTTCAATATGCCTTTAAAATTCAGTACAGAGAAAAATAACTTTGCTGAAAAGTATTAGTTTATTTATTTTTAAGTATTAGTTTAATGTAATCTACTAAAAAATTTAAATCATCATAATTCTATACTATTACTGTTCATTATTTAGCATTCAAAAATACTATCAAGACTTTAAGTCTTAATATACTATCAATACTCGAAGACTTTCCATCAAGATGACAGAATAGGTAGACACCGTACTCGCCTCCTCCCATGACTACATCAAGATTACAAGTAAATTATAGAACAATCACCCTTGAAAACCACCAGAAGACTAGCTGATCAGAAGTCCTATAACTAAGGATATAAAGAAACAGATACAGCAAGACTGGTAGGAGAGGCAAAAACCCAGAATGGGCTTGTCCCACATCCCTGAGTAAAGGTTAAGAATCAGGAGGGATAACGGCTATGGAGGACCCCCTGAGATGCAAGGAGTCCCAGCCCCACACCAGGCTCCCAAGACCAGGGCACCAGAGGTAGAAAGATAAGTCCCTTAACATCAGGCTGTGAAAACCAGTGCAAATTGTGCATGAGAAAGAGGCTTCTAGAAAAGAAGGCACTGCAGTTCTGAAAGACTCAATTGCTCACAAACTCTCATAACTTGGAGCTGCAATGTTGGAGTAGCAGCTCCAGAAGTCCCAGAGACATAAGGGGGTTAACTGAATTGACTGGCTTCAGGGAGATGGCTGCAGGGGCAGTAGTTTGGATAGCTCTCTCCTAGACAAAAGTGCTGGCAGGTGCTAGCCAGTGACAAGTCCAAAATCTCTAATAATCTGGCTAACACTCTTCGGTGCACCCTGATGATTCCGAGAACCTGCTTCACCCAAGTCGTGAGCCTGGCCTGAACCTCTTTCTTTCTTTCTTTTTTTTTTTTAATATTTTATTTATTTATTTTTTAGAGAGGGAAGGGAGAGAGATAGAGAGAGAGAAATATCAATGTGCGGTTGCTAGGGATTATGGCCTGCAACCCAGGAATGTACCCTGGCTGGGAATCGAACCTGGGACACTTTGGTTCCCAGCCCGCGCTCAATCCACTGAGCTACGCCAGCCAGGGCTTGAACCTCTTTCAATGGCTGTTTCATACAAGCAGCTGGACTGAGCCAGCACTGAAGAATTTCCTAAAATCTCTCAAAAATCCACAAACCCCAAACAAGCAGCAGCTGCTCTCAGCATCTCCCATACCTCTTTTAGTGGCAGCCAGCCTCTGTTTATGGCATAGCCACTCCCAGGAGCCTCCAAGGCCATCATAGATAGCTACCAACTGCAGGTCACTTTGTAGCTAATAGGTATTCCCTGGGCAGACACAGGCAGTGGCTGACATGGGTATTAACTGGAGTCCCTCCCAAGAGGCCCCAGAACCAACACACTAGGCAGCCAGTTTCAGACCACATCAGAGCACCACTCAACCATCTCCATAAATGACATGCACAAAAAGAAGACTCAGCAGGTGCCAGAGCACAGTTGCTCTGTGGGGTCAATCCCTGCAGAAGAGTTGGTCACAGCCAGCCCTCACGGCCAGTTTTCCGGAGGGTTATTTAATCTTACACACTGATGTGCCAACAAGAATCAAGGCTACAAAAAAGAAGAGAACACCACACAAAGGACACCTGTGGAACAATCTACTCTGGTGACAGGGAGTCTGCACCGCATGACTGCACAGAACACCTACCTATACTAACTAAGGCCAGTCTGCCAAGACTGGGAAATGTAGCAGATCCACCTAATACATTAAAAAAAAAAAAAAGAGAGAGAGAGAGAGAGAGAGAGAGAGAGAGAGAGAGAGAGAGAGAGAGAGAGAGAGAGAGGCAGCCAAAATGTGGAGACAAAAAAACATGTCCAAAATGAAAGAACAGAACAAAACTCCAGAAGAAGAACTAAAGAAAAAGAAGAACGCCAATCTACTACATAGAGAATTCAAAACACTGCTTATGAGGATGTTCCATGAATTTTAGGGAAGAATAAATGATCTCAGTGTGAACTTCAAAAAGGAGATAAAAATTTAAAAAAAAAAAAAAGGACCTCCGGTCAAGATGGAGGTGTAGGTAGACACACTGAGCCTCCTCACACAACCAAAATAAGGTCAGCAACAATTTAGAAACAAGATAACAACCAGATCTGACAGAAAATTGAACTGTATGGAAGTCGGACAACCAAGGAGTTAAAATAGACACATTCATCCAGACCGGTAGGAGGGGCGGAGAGGGGTAGTGACACAAAAAGCAGTGGCACCGAATGCCTAACACGTCCTGAGTGCGTAAGGCTTCCGGGCACAAGACTGCAGTGGGCAGACTCTGGGCGCACAGGTGGCTGGCAGACCCAGCGAGGCAGTGACTGTGAAGCGAGGCACTATGAGCAAGGCGCCTGGCTGTCCAAGCCACATTCGTGTGCAGATAAACCAGGCAAAATTGGACAGTGAAACAGACCATGCAACCCAGGGTCCCAGCGCCGGGAAATAGAACCTCAGGACATTGATTGAAAACACCTGTGGGGATTGAGGTGACAGGAGAGACTCTCAGTCTCACAGGAGAGTTCACTGGAGAGACCCACTGGATCTTAGAATGTACACAAGCCCACCCACCCATGATTTGCACCATAAAGGCCCAGTTTGCTTGGGGGAAGCGGTGGAAGGGACTGAAATCTGGCAGAGAGAGGAGCAAGCACCATTGTTCCCTCTCAGACCCTGCCCCCACATACAACATCACAACCCAGCAACTGGGTTGACCCGCCCTTGTGAATGCCTAAGGTGCCGCCCCTCACTACATAACAGGTGTGACCAGACCAAAAAAAAAAAAAAAAAAAAAGGCTCCAATGTCAAATGGAAGTACAAATCAAAGCTGCAGAGCCAATACTTTAAGGCAACGAAGAGATAGCCAACCTATCAGATGCACAGTTCAAAGCTGGTAATCAGGATGCTCACAGAATTGGTTCAATTTGATCACAAATTACATGAAAAAATGAAGGCTATGATCAGAGAAATGAAGGAAAATGCATGAGGAACCAATAGTGATGGGAGGAAACTGGTATTCAAATCAACAGAGTGGACCAGAAAGAAGAAAGAAACAACCAAACAGAAAGGAAGGAAGAAAGAACCAAGAATTCAAAAAAATGAGGAGAAGCTTAGGAACCTCCAGGACATCTTTAAACGTTCCAACATACCCCCAAATTATAGGGGTACCAGAAGGAAGAGGAAGAGCAACAAGTGGAAAAGTCATTTAAACAAATAATGAAAGAGAACTTCCCAAATATGGCAAAGGAAATAGACTTCCAGGAAGTCCAAGAAACTCAGAGAGTCCCAAAGAGGTTGGATCCAAGGAGGAACACACCAAGGCACATCAGAATTACATTAGCCAAGGTAAAAATGAAAGAGAGAATCCTAGAAGCAGGAAGAGATAAGGGGACAGTAACCTACAAAGGAGTTCCCATCAGACTGTCAGCTGATTCCTCCAAAGAGACCTTACAGGCAAGAAGGGGCTGGAAAGAAGTATTCCAAGTCATGAAAGACAAGGACCTATATCCCAGATTGCTCTATCCAGCAAAACTTTCATTTAGAATGGAAGGACAGATAAAGTGCTTCTCAGATAAGGTCAAGTTAAAGGAGTTCATCATCACCAAGCTCTTATTATATGAAATGTTAAAGGGACTTATCTAAGAAAAAGAAGATAAAAACCATGTATAGTAAAAAGACAGCAAACTCACAATTATTAACAACCACACCTAAAACAAAAACAAAAACAAACTAAGCAATCAACTAGAACAGGAACAGAACCACAGAAGTGGAGATCATATGGAGGGTTAGCAACAGGGGAGTGGGAGGAGGAGAGAGGGGGAAAAGGTACAGAGAATAAGCAGCATAGATGGTAGGTAGAAAATAGACAGGGGGAGGGTTAGAATAGTATGGGAAATGTAGAAGCTAAAGAACTTATGACACATGGACATGAACTAAAGGGGGGGAATGTGGGTGGGAGAGGGTGTGCAGTTTGGAGGGGAGTGAAGGAGGGAAATGGGACAACTGTAATAGCATAATGAATAAAATGTATTTAAAAAAATAAAATAAAAAAGAACTTGTCACAAATGAAAAACTACTTAAAATAAAATAAAAAAGTGTATTACATGGAATCAGCAGCAGATTAGAGGAAGCAGAGGGCTGAATCAGTGACCTGGAAGACAAGGCAGGAGAAAACACCCAACCAGAACAGCAATATTAAATAAACAAACTAACAAATAAATAATAAATGTAGTTTAAGTGACCTCTGGGACAACTGATGCATACCAACATTTGCATTATGGGGATGCAAGAAAAGAAGAGGAAAGACAGCAAGAGATGGAAATCCTATTTGAAGAAATAATGACCAAAAACTTTCCGTATTTGGCAAATAAAGTGTATACACACGGCCAGGAAGTGCACAGTCTCTCAAACAAGATGAACCGAAAGAGGTCCACATGAGAGGCAAGTAAAAATAGTAGGGATTTCAGAATGTGTTTGAACTTAAGCGACCATCAGCTTTAAAAACAGACTGCTAAAAACACAGCATGGTATATATGAAGCACATGGTAACCCCAAACCAAAAATCTACAGATATACAAGAAATAAAGAGAAAAACCAAACAGAAAGGAAGTACTGTATCTAAATACAGTACTACAGAAAGTCAGTAACACATAAGCGAAGAGAGTAAGATAGTAAGGCAGTAACAGAGAACTACAAAAACAATCATAAAACAATAAATTGGCAATAACTGCATCCTTAATTTTAAATGTCAGTAATTAAGCCCTGGCTGGCATAGCTCAGTGGATTGAGCTTGGCTGCGAACCAAAGCTTTGCGGGTTCGATTCCCAGTCAGGGCACATGCCTGGGTTGCAGGCCACCGCCCCCAGCAACCACACATTGATGTTCCTCTCTCTCTCTCTTTCTCTTTCCCTTCCCTTTCTAAAAATAAATAAATAAAATCTTTAAAAAAAATAAATGTCAGTAATTAATTTAAATATAAATGGACTAAATGCTCTAAATCCAGGGGCGTCAAACTCATTTTCACTGAGGGCCACATCAGCCTCACGGTTGCTATCAAAGGGTCGAATGTAATTTATGACTCTGTAAATGTAACTATTCCTTAACTAGGGGCAAGGAGCTCATTGCTACTGCTGGGTAGAAACAAGGTGTGGGGCTGGATAAAACAAGGTAGAGGGCTGGATTCGGCCCATGGGCCTTGTGTTTGCCACCTGTGCTCTAATCAAAAGACACAGGGTGTGTAAAGGGATAAGAAAACAAGACCCACACATAGATACTGCATACAAGAAACCCACTTCAGATCAAAAGACAGAGACTGTAAGTGAAGGGATGAAAAAAGATTATATCCAAAATAGACTTTCAAACAAAGGCTATAACAAGAGACAAAGAAGGACATCATAATCATAAGGAAATTAATCCAACAACAGGATATGACTCTTTTAAATATTTATATACCCAATGTAGGAGCACCTAAATATGTAAAGCAAACACTGATAGACATAAAGGGAGAGATCTACAGTAATATACTTATAGCCAGGGACTTTAAGACCCCACTGGCTTCAATGGATAGGTCATCCAGAGGGAAAATCAACAAGGAAACAGTGGCCTTAAATGACAGGTTCAACTGGATCATCTTATAATTGTTATTTTTAGGACATTTCACCCAAAAGCAGCAGAATATACATTTTTTTCAAGTGCACATGGGACATTTCCTAACATAGCTGATATGTTAGGCCATAAAACAGGTCTCAATAAAATCTCAAGTAAACAATCTATATACCTGAAACTAGACAAATTTTCTTACACTATATAAAAGAATAAACTGGAAATGATTTAAAGACTTAAATGTAAGACTCAAAACTATAAAACTCAAGGCACTATACTCTTGACACTCTTCTTCGTTACGTTTTTTTGGATATATCTCTTTGGGCAAGAGTGAGAAAACAAAAAATAAACAAATGGGACTACAGCAAACTTAAAAGTTTCTGTACAGAGAAGGAACCACAAACAAAACAAAAGACAACCTACTGGATAGATGAAGCTATTCGCCAATGACATGCCAGACAAGGGATTAATATTCATAATATGTAAGAAACAGCCTTGGCTGGTGTGGCTCAGTGGACTGAGCTCCAGCCTGCAAACCAAAGGGTCGCCGGTTTGATTCCCAGTCAGGGCACACGCCTGGGTTGCAGGCCAGGTGGGGGATGAGTGAGGGGGACAGTTGGGGAAATGAGTAAAAAAGACAAAGGGATTAAAATATACAAATTGCCAGTTACAGAAACAGTCATGGGATGTAAAGTAAATCATAGAGAATATAGTCAATAATATTGTAATAACTATGTATAGTATCAGGTGGGTACTAGACTTAGTGGGGTGATCATTTTGTAAGTTATATGTGTCTAATCACTATATTGTACAACTAAAACTAATATTGCATGTCAAGTGTAATTTTTAAAAAGTTTTAAAATAAAGATTATCATGTGATACCTATAAAAATACTATTATAGGATGAGAGGAAAAGACTTATTTATATTTTTCTTTTCATTCTAGTCATCTATTTTAATGCACACCAGTTTAGATATTTCAACTAACATGTAAAAAGATATTTCAAAAGCCATAAAAAACTTTATAAAAGATTATGGCTTAGAATAAAAGGTACTGACAGCTCACAAATTGTCATGCTGCTGTGTGCTCATTATTGCTAAGATGAGACAGAATCATGGTGGAATATCCCTGAACCAATTTCAGAGAAGTAGGTAGCACCATGCCTCATCTACTTAATTAATGAGTATTGCTCTACTGGGACAACCAGCCACCGTATAACCAAGTAGCACAACAACTATAAACCACCAGGCGTCGCCTGTCAGATAGCTCAGAAAAAAGTCAATGAGCCAAAGGTAGCTAATAATAATGACTAAACTGAGACCTCCAAACTCACTGTACAACAGCCTTCTGATGGAAAGAAATTTCCTTCTTTATCCTCACATTCTGGTTCTGAATCAGCAATCTAGAGATGACAGGTAACAGAAATTTCATCAATGTCCAAAACCATCTAATCCTTTATACTATGAATCCTATGAATCTTATACTTATGATTTAAAATCTTAGTGCTTTTATCACTATTTTAGAGAAAAATCTTCATAATTATATCTTTGGTTATCTATTTGGCCCTTAAACTCAATGTTTCTTGGATCTTATTAATATTGTTAATGTTAATCTTGCTGTGAGGGTCAGGGTCACAACAGGAATCTTAAGATATGCTTCAAGACTGATTTGAGGAGAAACCCTGTCCAAAAAAAGGGGAGAACTGCTACATCCTTTCTCCTATGCCTCCTGTGAGCATCTCAAAAGGCAGAAGTCATATGTCGCTTTCTGGATCCCTCACCTGGAACAGGTACTCAATAAAGGCTGAAAGACTGGATAGACAGACGTTTGACACTTAAAGGACAATTCCTATGAGGAAGAAAGGCTAGGAAAAGAAGGGATATCACAGAAACAGGCTGGACTTTCTGGCCATCACAGGTTTCACTCTTCCAGAAAAATTTACAACAGATCATTTTTACTAGGAAAACTAAAGTATAAGATAGTTAAATCCTGCATATCAAGCAGCTAAGATTTGCTAATGGTGACTAGGTTTTCTCAATTTTTACAATTTAGTTTCTGTCCTTTATCCACCCTTTAACTTTCCTAATATCATCCATTTTCTTTCTCTAAAAGCATCTAACAGCCTCTAAAGGCTTTTTCCCAAACAATGCTAATTAGTTAAAATCTAGACTCCAAGTAAACTTTTGTAAAAGGTCCATCTCTCAGCACCACTCATGGAAAGAGCCCTGTCCCGTTACTCATGGGTATTCTCCTTTAGCAGGGATGCCCTTGTCAGAAAGGCAGTCCTAAGGTTCAGTGTCCCTCCTGGACCCCCAGGAGGTGGAAGCAATAGCTAAGTCTTAGGGCCAGCAAAACTCTATTTGGAGAAATAACTTAACCTGGTTCTCTAATAAGTCTGTTTCATAGATGCTTTCATTTTTCTATCTTGTCTTACATAGAAAAATTCTACCCAGGATGTTGAAAAAAAAATTATATACCTGATTATTTTCTTTACTACTGTAATTTTTTTTAAAAAGGCACTATATTATAATACAATGTTGCATTCCAGCACATAGCCTACTGTTTGGCTAATAGGAGCTACCCAAAGATATTTGCTGAAAGACAACAACTGATTCTCTCCATGGTGACTCTTACTTGAAATGCAATTTATAACTTAAAGTTTCACGGACATTTGAAGTTCCCAAGAATTCCATTTTTTAAAAATGTAACATAAACTACTGCTGAAATTAGTGTTAAATCTGTGAGGTTTTACGTGCACAATAGGAAATTATCTCTCATTCTTCCATAGTATATTATTGAGCTCACACAGACATGCAGAGAGGAATGTAAATAATGTACTGTTTCCAGAATTACCTTACTATGTGGGTCAGCAAACATTCGTGTGAAGATTTCACACAATCTTTTCAATTCTACTCGACTAAAAAAAAAAAGGAAATAAATGTACTTTAATAAGTCAACACTGAAATTAATTACAGCTTTGCTTTTAAAAATCCTTTTTATTTCAATCAACTACATAAGCTTTATATAATTTTTATATAACAAGGTTTTTTCACACAAAGAACTTTCTATTATTTAACTAACACTTAAATTAAACAGGAATATAAAATTGTAATAGTTTTGGCTCTTACTTAAAATGAGGAAAGTAAATCTTAGAGAGTGCCTAAGTTCATGTATGTGGAAGTGGCAATGCCATGAGATAAATAAGGAAAAGCATGTATTTAGAAGTCAGACAGACTTTAAATTTAATCTCAGTTCTGCTACAGAGAAAGTATTCTGATGTTTTTATATCCATTATCAGTCACATATAAGAGCTACCTGGCTGCTGTCAGGATAAAGAAGATAACACATCCTACCTACAACTGTGCCTCAGAAAAACACACTCATTTCACTTTAGGGCTCCTTTGCCTTTTCTTATTCTTAACTGTACTAGTGAGTCTCACTTTCACTTCAAGGCTTGATTAGAAGTGCCACCTCTCCCTAAATCATGCCTGCGTAATTCTCCCTCATACGCGCAATGCAATCTAGATTAGACCAATAGATTTCTACAGTTTATTCAAAGGGTACTTGGTAAACCCTAGGATTCAAAAAACTGGGACCACCAGAATGAAACTGATTCTCAAGATTTTGATCATGAAGAAATAATCACGAACAAATCATATTCATTTTGATTTTAGATAGATCACTACAAATCAGAAGCTACCTACATTTCACAAACCTTCTCAAGACATCTTCAATGAACGGAATGGGATTGAGCTGGGGAGGTGGAATCAAGAAGTAGGAATCAGTAGCGTAGAGTGAGACTGACTTGGTAACCACACTGCATAGTGATCATCTGTCAGTGCCCACTTAGCTTTATAGAACCCATTTAGAACAGGGGTCCCCAACCTCTGGGCCACAGACTGAGCCTGTTAGGAACCAGGCAGCACTGCAGGAGGTGGGCTTGAATGTAATTCCCTTGAATCACCCTAAAACACACACCACCCCCCACCCCCACACCAATTCCCAGGGACTGTGGGAAAACTGTCTTCCAAGAAACCAGAACCTGGCGCCAAAAAGGCTAGGGACTGCTGATCTGGAACTTAGCGGTGTCATAACTTATCTTTAAAAATTATCTGAAGAATATAATATACTGTGAGTCATGGATTTTAGCTGCCCACTTTATAACATTTTAACATCTCTGTAATTGTGAGTTATCTTATAATCAATGATATATTAGTAATGTCAAGTTTAATAAGCAACATTTCTTCTTAGGGGGATATAAAATAATGGTGTCAATGGTGCCTTAGATTTGATGAAATATGGTATAAAAACATACTTTCTGGTATGTATGTAATACAAGTTCATGTTAGAAAATTTATGAAATACAGAAGTATACAGAAAAAAATGCAAAAATAATCAATACTAGGGGTAAATACTGTTTTTATTAGTACTCCATTTTAGTATCTCTTAACCATGCATATTTAAGCTACACATGTATATGTGTAAAAATTTTAGATTAAGCCTGCTATCGTCTTATCCACACCCTAAGGTGAAATGAGCTGTACCGACCTGCAGTTTCATTTTCTTTTCCCATCAACTAAGAGTGACAGCTTCCAGAGTTTTATTTTTCACCTAAATTGCAACCTATGCCAAGATTTCTCAAATAATAGCCACTAGACAAATGTGAACTGTAAGAAAACCAAATGCTGTTATAAATCTAATAGATTACAGAGTATTTGCCAGCTATTTCAAAGTCTTCGGAAGGCAAAGACTAGGTCTTAGTCATTTTAGCACCTTGAGTGCTGAAACTCTGTAAGGACTCCATAAACAGCAGGGAATCCACTCACCCTGCCCCTCTCCCCCAACCCCTGCCACAAGTGTAGTATGGGTCTCAAACTTAGCTCACAACCTCGGTCTTTATCCTTACCTCAGTGTCCTTTGGCTCTTCAGTAAGTTCTGCAGGCCTAGAAGCCCTTCTTTCCTTTCTGACCAGTTTGAACTAGCACAGTGGTTGAGAACTTCTGCTACATCCTCAGTCTGCCGTAGATAATGGGGAATGCCACCGTTCCTGGAACCATATGAGCGCTCAGAGCAAACACTTGAGGCATCACTATTGGCATCATCATCAGAATACATCCCATACGGTTCATATCTCCTCCTCACAGGCTTCTTCTGCCAGATCCAACAAGTGATGGGGGTGATTGAGGAAGAAATGGAAAGATGAAATGACCATGAGTCATACCAAACAAAACCAACAAAAACAGAGAGTTAAATGTAAAAAGACACACATACAATACGCAGATGCACATCTGCCCTGTGTTTACAGATTAGGGAATAAAAACATAAATGCAGACTTCCAGTAGATACAATAAGTAATAAGCAGAGCAACTTGTAGCATAGAGAAAAGAATATGGTCTCTAGCACACTGTGTAGACTTCAGTAAGACAGACTTGGGTTGTAATCCTGCCACCACTGACGGGCTGTGTCACTTCAGAAAACTTCCTGACTTTTCTACTTTGTTTCCCCATCTCTGAGATAACTGTTACACCCTGCATAGGCTGGTTGTGAAGGTTAAATGGAATTACACGTTAAATAACCTGGCTCAGCAGCTGACACAGTGCAAGTGTGTGCATCCACACACCCTTCTCATGCAAAAGTAATATATCTTGAGCATGTTCTATGGGTAAATTTATCTGAATGTTCACACTTCTGAAAGTCTGAAACTGAAAATGTCAGCAGAGTATTTATCTTATGTATAAGGATTCCTAAATTATCTTAGCCACTTTTATTAAGGACTTAAAGTTTTACAACACAAATAGGCTTCCTGTAGACTACAATTTCTCTTACCCTGAATATAAGTTAAACCCATAAATAATATAGCTTAAGCCATAGCTATTTGTTATTGGCTGAAGCTGTAGAAATATAATTTTCTAATTAATGTGGCTTTTACTTACATCCCAAATTTCTCAGAACAGTTCTACCTTATACCTACTGTCTCAGCAGGGTTATTAATAGCACCCCCTTTTCATTCTCCAAAGTATGATCACTTTACTTATACATAAACTAGGTTCCTAAAATAAGAAAAATGTTGAATATATATCCAGTCATGAAATAACAACATGAGAATAGACACAAATGGGGTTAATAAATAAAATGAAAGACTATTGGGAGAAGGCACAGAGCTTAATATTCAAAATAAATACTAAAACAAATGAGAGGTACCTGACTCCATCACTAATAAAAGCTCCACCAGATTCAACAATATCATAATTCAGACCAGAATTTTTATAATTGTACTACAGTTTTTGTTGTTTTCACTAGCTCCTAAAGAAATACTTGCAACAGAAAAAATAAAGTTATAAAACAAAAGTTAAAGCACTGGTACCTTGCTCCTGGAGTCTCCTAACAGCTGTAGGCAGGGAAATATTGAAGGATGGGGAAAAAGCATAGAGAATTATGTCAGAAGCATATGAGGGGATTGTTCTTGCAACAAAAGTGTATAGCAAAACATATTGTAGCAAACCAAAAATACATGGTTAGCAAGCGATTCATTATCAAGTGAATAATAACAAAGAATGTTTTCACAATGGCATTTCCTCACCCTTCTATACTTATAAGAACTTCCAGTTCTTGCTATAATTCTATGCTAAAACTCTCCCCATAACCACTGAGGGACAGCTCTAAAATTACCATTAATTCTGTGGTTTTTCACTACAATACATTCTGTCTCAGAATTGTGTACCAGTTTGCGCTTCCTCTTCTGCAACCAGAGAAACCAAACAATTTAAACAAAAAATAATAAGGGGAACACGAGTGTAAGTGGAGCTAGAGCTCAGAGAAAAAGCCAAGTCAAGTAAAGCCAAGGCTCAGACTCTTAAGACCTACTGTGCCTCCTAGAACTTTGTACACAGTCCCTCATGTCGTTCTTTATAGAACTTCCTCTCCCTGACCCCAGTCTTAACCAGAAGTCCCATTTAACTAAGGATTAGCCCATCCATCATTTCCCACCCCTCTGACTTCCACTTCCTGGAGTCTCTGAATAAATAAGAGACAGAATCTAAACCTGCAACTTAGAAGGAAAAAGAGCTTCACAGAATTCTGTTCCAGCTTATGACTCTGAAGTTAAAGCCATGGCTAGAGCAATTATCCTCAACTCCTGTATCTGCCAGAACAAAGGCCCTCCTACATGTAAGGCTAATGAACAGAGCTGTCCAGGCAGCCCTTGCTTATAGGGCTTCCCCACATCATGAGAGCAGAAACTGCTTGCTCACAGCCGCTTGTCAAAGAATCTGACTGAGCGAGAACAAACAAGGGAGAGACAGGAAAAAGCAAAAGTCAGAATCACTGTAGCCACAGATGTGAATTTTGATCACACAACACATGGCCAAATTTCAAACTTCAGGGTCTGAAAGTAGGCTATTTCCTCAGAAGAGAAGAAATCTTCAAACAGCACAAGCACAGCCAGATAGTGGTTGTAAAGAATACCAAGTTTAAATGAGCGGACAAATCAAAATATGCAAGAGGCTGTGCTTCTCTATAAGCTGAAATATATCTTTAAAATGCAATTTGACCACAAGCAGATTCAACTAACGAATTCTTTGGTATAACAATAAAGTAAGGACCTCTAATCACTTTATATTGTTTTTTTAGATATTACATTATAATGATGCAAAATCATTCCACCAGTGCTTCATATCCTCAAGGAGTTAATCTTAAATTTGGGAAAACTTTCCTTAAATAATGACTTACGAACTCAATAAAAAATAAAACATATGGAACGACTAGTGAGGTAATGGAATAAATGCAGATTTTCAAACCACAAAGTCTAATATCTATTCTAATGATTTGTTTAGGTTATGCCATCAAAGCTTATAAAGCAACAGAAGAAACAGAATGAGAAAAAGATGATGCTGGAAAAAAAAAGGAAAAGAAGAGACACTCAACGGCAACAGATAAACCTAATGTCATCAAAACTTCCTTGATACTGAGCAGTACTGAAGAAATACATGATGCTAATAATTTTTGTAAGGCCAATTTTCACTTATGTGCAGAGGTAAAAGTTTAAGAAAAAACGGAAATATAAATTTACCCTATATTTACACAATTTTAAAGGGTATCAAAGATGATTCAGTAACCTGATTTGGAGGCAATTTTCTGTTAAGACAGAAAACAATGAGGATAAGTAACTCAAAGAGACTCTACACACACTGTGACTCTTACCAAAGCATCAGCAACAGCAGCTTCCAGGTCTGTACTTGTGCTTAAAACACGCATGGCATTCACAGAACCAGGTATTCTTCCTGCCTGGCCAAACCCAAACCGGTCTATTTAAAAAACAAAAGCAAAATCTATGTCACTTCAATTCACATTTTCTCGATCCTTTGCAAAGGTTCCCATCTCTTCCCACCTACAAACAGAGGCATTGAAAAATTTCTAGCCAATTTTAACTACATTTGACTTATAGTTTTAACTACCTGTGTTTACCAGTGGCAAAGAATAGGTTGTTCACACTTAATACCATTGTGCTATGAAACATCCTGACAATTGAAATGATTCTTTAACGACACTTTACCTTTGAAAAGTGTTGAGACATGGGAGAGAGAGTAACTTATAGAAAGGAGTTGAGGTAGAAGTTGAGTCTTTTAATCTATTTAGCACTCCCTCTAGAGCAGTGACTTTCAACCAGTATGCTGCAAGAGGCACACTGGTGTGCTGCAAGAATTTTTTTAAAATGTGTAATACCTGACTATTTAGTCAAGAGCACTGACCTCCTTTTCCCTTTGACTGTCAAATTAAAACAACAACAACAACAACAACAACAACAACAACAAACCACCAACATGACAATAGCCATTTGGTGTGAATGAATCAAAATTATACCTATTTTTTCTTGTCAGATCTGCAAAAAATATATATTTTGGTGGGCTGCACAATTTTAGTAATTAGTTTATGTGTGCCATGAGATAAAAAGGTTTGAAATCACTGCCCTAAAGGAAACTGGTCCTAAGGTCTGGTGAAACTAATTAGAAAGCCTAGAGGTTTAACAAATGAGTTCTAATGCAATATGCAATAAAGTTAAATTTTGAAACAAATGTATTAAATTGATTTCTGTGCAAATTTTCATTAGTGTCACTCCTGATTAACTATTATTAAGTTCAATTAATTTTAGGCATATGTTCATCTTAATTCCTGTGTTACCAAAGGTCATTTAAAAATCAATTTATTAAAATTCTTTAATAATCACCACAAAAGCTAGCATCTTAACTACAAAATATTAATAATTCAGATGATATTGTATACATTTTTCCTAAGTCCCTCAAGAATTTTTAAGTGATATAGTCTTTACACATGTAGAAAAAATGAATAGAATCCAAAGGATTTAAAACAAACTTTACAGTTCAAACAACTATTCTAAGATTGCTAATAATCATGGACAATGAAAAACTAACTTTTAAAAGTCCCTTTAAATCAGTTGACTAGCCTTCCTTAAGAAGTACTGAGACTTGAACTATAATAGGAGAAAGTCAGTGTAAATTATACTTCACAAGTACAATTTACACTTCACAAGTATAATTTACAAGTTTAATACTATCTCTGGTAAAAGTTTCTTATTTAAAATGCTAAGATATAAAAACATTTGGAAAAGTGTTAAGGTAAAATATGCTTTTTATTAACAAGTTAGACATTGGACAAGGAAAATGTCTGTTATTAGCCAAATGAAGCATTTAGAATAAAAGGAAAACTAGTATTTGTTTTACATGAATTAGTTTTTCCTATAAAATGATATATATAAGATTTTAGATGTGTAACAAAATATCACCTACAAAACTGGTGAATTTCAAAACTGAAGTGTTATTTAGCTTTCTTAAAAGTCAGTTTCAAAACATTACATCTTCCATTGCCACAGAAAGGAAAATAATGCAAACACTGCTAAAGAAAGTTATACAGTCATGAATTTTTATAAAGAAATAAAAATTTTATGTTATACTATCCCCTTTTTTAATGTACTTGCCGATCACATTGTATGTCATCTTAGCCATTTAAGGCAATTTAATGTGCCATATAAACTAAAGAGAAACCACAGAACAGTTGTATCTATATGTCTATATAAATTATCAGTTGAAATATGAAAAGTATAAATTTGAGACCGTGAACATTGTTTCATAAATGATCTTTGTTCATCTTTTCTTTCCATTAAAAAAGGGTAGATAATAAGGGTCTTATGAGTAACAGAATGAAAGTAATTCAGTTAAAAATCATTTAAAAATTACCCAGCATGAACTTAAAAGTCTGTAAAAATTAAAAAAAAAAATAGATCTCATGCCAGCGACTCTTGCTCTAGGGATAATACTAATTTTTCCAGATACAAAATTAAAACTCTAAAAACAATGCAATCATTCTGTGCTTCCCAGATGTATATAGCTTTTTCATAAACTGATTGCATGCAGATCATTCTATATATATCATAAATAATCTGAATTCCAAATCTTAAGGGGAAATGTTTGTCTGGGTCTAAGCAAAATTATGTCTTTTATTTTAACCACAGCAAAATCTGTTCTACATTCTCACTGCTCAGATACTATTGTGAAGCTCCATTTTCCAAGAGATGGATGCATATTACTGTACCCTTAGTCTGGCCCATAACCTTCAGGGAAATGCGCTAATCAAAGCACATACTTAAAAAATGCATAGCTGGCTTCATTTAGAGGAAGAATGGAGGAAATCTCTAACTCAGTGAATTGGTCACAGTTTTCACCTGTGATTTAATAGACTGTGCTTTACTCAATACTGTAGTCATTAGGGATTGTTAGCATAACAAAATGATGCCAGTTAAATCTGGCAAAACTTATATATCATTGTATGCTTACTTTTGGCCCAATGGCTGACCAGTGATATTCTAGTATTGCCAAAGCAGGGCTGAGATGGAAAGCTTGGGTTCCAAAGGCTGCAAAAGCTACCACTAGCCTGACTATAATATCTGAATCATATTCGACAATCCATTTATTGTTATATATTTAAAATTATATTTGATATAATTTGATAACTAAATAGTACCTCCAAATAATTATAATCTGACACTAATAACTAACATTAATAATCACCACTTTATTTAGAGCAAAGACTTTGGAGGTGAAAGATACTGTTGGATGATATTCTTACTCTGTTCCCTATAAGGGTCCTTCTGATACCTAGAGTTTGGGTTGTTTTCCTGGGGAAGGGAGCAAAAGGAAGGTAAGCTGCTTTCCCATCTTGTTTTTTTTTTTGCTATTAACATAAATACAAACACTGGAGAAATAATGTCAAACAGGCTATAAGGCATCTACAGCCTATGAACAGAATCATAAACATTCAACAACTTAAAAAAATAAAAGCATGTTGAGGAGAAAATGAGATGCATACATGCCGAGTGCTAGCCAACACTGATGAAAACGAATGTTAAAATGAGTATGAAACTAGAACATAATGAGGAAGCCAAGTCATGCAGTTAGCACTTGTTCACCTGACTGCCCAACAGATTCAGCAGTGGAGAGAGCACTAGTGGACCTGGAATGACGTCGAGAGGCTGCAGGTAAAAGGAATGGCAACACCCATAGAATTAACAAAGAAGTACCCAAGACAGAAAATGCCACAGTCCAAAGGAAATTCAGGGACTGCTACTAACAGGCCATGTTTCCTCATGAAAAGAAATGGTGCTAGATATGAATGGATAGCGAGTGCCAATCCTCAAATTCCATGGCAGCCTGCTGGCTCTCACACAGCTATTAAACACACAGGCACAAAGTTACTCTTTCAAGTGGTCCTTATGCATCAACTAATTCAGACTCCAGTTGGTATTCACACCATGAAGCCTCTATCAGCCATTATGAAAATACGCAACATAAGAACATCAGGAGCCACAGAGTACCATCGAAATCCTGGAGTAGAACAGCAGTAGAAATGGATTAACTCAGCCCACAAGATGTCTCCATCAGTATGTGATGCATATGCAACCATGCACCAAAAACAAAAGCATAGAAGTTCATAATGTTATTTTGTACAAAAACAGAATGACATTGCAAGAAGAGGGCTTAGCAACTGGAATTCCACTTTCCTTAGTCAAAATATTTGTTGCTCTGTTGCATAAATATCCTAATTAATGAATTTACTTAAATTTAAAAAAAATTATTGATATCAGAGGTAGGGAGGAAGGAGGTGAGAGGGGGAGAGAGAGGGAGGGACAGAGGGAGGGAGGAGGGAGAAAGAGAGGAAGAGAGACAGACAGACAGACATCGATTTTTGTTTTCCACTTATTTATGCTTTCACTGGTTGATTCTTATATCTGCCCTGACTGGGGATTGAACCAGTAACGTTGGTGTATCAGGACAATGTTCTAACCAACTGAGCCACCCGGCCAGGGCAGAATTTACTTTTTAATTATTGAAAATGTAGTATCCAGTTTAATGGCCTTCCTTGGAGAGGCATTTGCAGTACTATGATTATGAACACTGGCTCTGCAATACAACTGGGGGCAAATTCTGGTTTGATCACAAGCCGTAAGACCTCAAGCAAAGTAATTCTGTGTCTCAGTTTCCTCTCTCGTAAAATGGTGCTAATAATGGTACCTACCTCTAGGGTGTTAAGAGAATTAAACGAGATCATACATAAAGCAAAAACATAATGCCAGGCACAGAATAAACAGTGGTCAACAGTCATAGTAGTGACGCTGGTGGTGGTAGTAACAGGTAAGAGTAAATTCCAACTTACATTTAAACACTAAATATTGCTTTATTAGCAAGTACTCATAATAAGCATACTAACTCATCAATCTGAGGAAATATATGCTAAAACTGTCCTCATGTGGAGGGAATGTTTAGAAATAATTATGTAATATAGACTTGATTCAAAACATAAGTTTATTGACCAGAGTGCCACATAATATATGGCTTTTCTTTACCTACAAGAAGATAATATGCTTTTATTCATTAATCTGAAAAGAACATGATGACTGCACCATAGAAAATTCACAGGTTTAACAACGTATAATAAGCACTGGTACTTTTCACACATGCTGCTACATTATAGTATCCTGAATACATTAACATTCACACAGTCATAAAATATCAAAACCTCTTCAATATAATTTTATATATTTATGATATATCACTTTATGGAATGCACATATTTGTGGTATATGTGGTATTAAATAGCAAAGTCTACTTGGTCAATAAGGACAGATTGTTACCTGCCTGCAAAAAGAAAAGAAAATTTAAAAATTCTTAATTCTTCAAGAGCACAAAAATAAATCAGCAATCTCTAAAACAGGTATTATAAAATAATCACTTTTCTCAAATAAGGAAGTTGACAAAGTATTTTGCAAGACTGAAACAAAATAGTCATTTTATTATCCAAGCACATCAGTATCGCTAGATGATTTAAACCAAAAACAGCTTTTAAGGAATACCTGATTTAAAGGTTTATTATAAAGTTTCCTTTGGTTCTATTTCAACCAAATATTCTACAGTACATCTGTCTGTCATGTAATGAGTCCTTTGTCACATTCTCAGTAAATACCCAACAATGAAATTGAAGGTGAACCCATTTACATCAAAGCCTTATTTACAAGTGCTAGGGCCCTGAATTTCACTTAAAACTTGTCACTGTAACCATAAAAATATATATTCACGCTACTAAAATGGCCCAAAACAATGCTGTGATAAAAACACTTAAAGCCAATATACACTCACTGAAACATAATTACTTTCACCCCTGCCCCCTTTTTTTTAAAGTGAAGGTTGCTCATAGGAACTGATACAAAGGGGCCCTAACACACACAGTCACTACTTTATAAAGGGGGTGGGAAGTGATTATTCAAATGAATTAGGAAAAAAGAGAAAGTTTCACATTCTTTGAAGGGCGTAGTGCATTCCCCTGGAAACAACAACCTTCTGGGACTTATCTATGAATTCCCAGGCCCTAACCCCAAGCTTGGAAATCACAATTTCACTGAGCACTATTTGCCTAGGCCTGGAGAGGCCTCCTAAAAAGCACTTAATACATTTCAGAGGAACGAATGAAGGACATTAAACTATCAAAACTGTTTTCAAATGAGGCAGAGGGATAATACCTGTCCGGGAGGGACAAGGGATTATGGCTACCGACTGCTCAGATGCCAGGTGCCAGGTACAAGGAGAACAAAAGTTCCACAAATACATTTAACTTACGGAGGGAGAAAAAAGGCATGTTATCAAAATTCAGTGGAAAAGATGTTACTATTGCCCTGACCACAACAAAACACAGGTGCTGATGCTGGAGTTCATTAGGAAGGGGAATTAGCTGCATCCACATCTTCTGCCTTGGTGGAAGCAATTATGCATTTCAGCATTCTGGGTTGTCACCAAGACACAGAGCAGAACCACTTCACCGAAGAAAGTGAGTAAAAGACTAGATCACTCAACTCCTCTGGGTTCAAATGGGACCTCAAAAGTGCAGCACAGGTTGGCTGGTTCACAAACCACAAACTGAATTACAAAGGCTGCTGCTTCTATGGACAGTAACATCCCAGGACATGTATAAACAAAGACTGAATTGCCTCTAAGAGACAAAGTGGCCAATAAACAGACTCATTGTTCACTTACATAACAGGTTTTCTGGAAGGTCAAATAGTGAGCAGTATGCATAGAAATAGAGCCTTAATTTAAAAGGAAAAATCACCAGTTTGTTCAGAAAACAAAAAACAAAAAACAAACCATCACTGCCACCCTTGTTTGTTGAGAATTCTGATCTAATGCTTCAGATTGCTGTGAAAGAGCTATAAACTGTGTACCAGGTAAACTGCCCAACTTAGGTTCCTGTACTAATCAGGCAGAATTCCATACGAAGGCATCTTCTCACTAAGTCAAGTGAGTCATCCAGCAGGGCTTTTTCATCTGTTACCTGCTCTTCCTCAGAACTTCAGAAAAGAAAATGTGTCATAAAGAAGTGTATCTCGACTTTGATTATTGATACTGATTGGAAAAAAGGATACTGGGAAGAAGTAAATGACATCAGTAGGCAATAGAAACAATTACTAAGACCTTATGGTTTAGACATTTTTCTACTTTAAAGACCAGTTATATGACAAATTACAGACTGCTGCCTTCTACAGTTCCATACAACTTCAGGACTAGGCCTAATTATTGTAAAATGATTTTTACCTGCTATGCTTACTTATCAAGAGGAAAATATACAGTTACACAGAATTTTATCTGCCAAAGACCTATGACCATTACTGAAGATACAAAATATTTTTAAAATATTTAATTTATTTATTTTTAGAGAGGGAGGGAGGGAGAAAGAAAAGGAAAGAAACATAAATGTATGGTTGCCTCTTGCACGCCCCCTACTGGGGATCTGGGCCTAAATCCAGGCATGTGCCCCGACAGAATCAAACTTGAGACCCTTTGGTTGGCAGGCCAGCACCCAATCCACTGAGCTACACCAGCCAGGGCACAAAATACTTCTTTTATGTAAAACTATGTGTCGACAGATGTCTTTGGGGATTCATAGTTTGCACTATGTAAAAAAGTAGTTTGTCTGTATTAGAGAAAGGCTGAACTATTAAAGCTAAATGAAAAAGGTAAATAGAATATTCTATAATGGACACATGTTTCTCTTTTTGTCTTGTTTCCCTAAATCCTAGAAACTATTAAAATACAAATTCTGGATATAAGAAAAGCTGAAGGAGTGGCGGGGAATGAGCAGCCCCAAATGGCACCTGGCTGGTGATCTGAGGTAGAGTACTTATACCACCTTATGGCAACCAAATATTGTGATTTTTTTTGTCCTGGGATGGTATGAGGTCACACACATTAAATAGCCTATTGAGATCAGGATGAATGAACATATCTGATTAACAATAAGCATCATGAAGTTTTGTATGGTGTTATATACCTAAGCAATTTATGAAAGAGCTATTTTTAGATTGCTTTAAAGAAAGCTTTGAAATGACTCAGTTAACATAAGCATAGCTAATTATTCAAGCTGCTTTTTAAACTAATATCATCACCCTAAAACTAAGCACATTTAATGGCCTACATAATTATCATGATTTTACTTTTCTTCCTTTGTTGAACTGAATCACATATGGCCTAAGCTCTGGTAAAATTAAACACAAATTGTAGAAATTCAATGAGTAAGGATAAACTCTGTGTTAGCTCTACCATTAAGCAGCAATAAACTTGGGCTGAGCTTGACCTTATGTTAGAAATTACCACACAGATGGGCTTGCCTGGCAGCAAGTGAGAGTAAATGACAATAGCACAGAGTGAAGTGATGCTTTTTTCCTCTGATATATAAAAACTGGAAATTGCCAAAATTCAAGCATGCAGAGGGGAACAGCAGTGGGTAACTAATGAAGAGGAAAAAAAGAAGAAAGGATCACAATGACAATAGAGGAGGGAAAGCAGGTCATTCCACCTAGCAGTGTCTGGGACAAGCGCTTGGAGCAGGGAAAGGACTCTGCTCCGAGAGCCAGTGCCTACATGTACTCACCCAGTGGAGGGAAGCCCCGAGCAGGGCTTGTATCTCGGCTGCTCTCACGGCTGGTATCGCGGCTGCACCCCTGACTCATGCTGGGTCGAGGGATACGGCTGCTCCGTGCTAGTGTGTAGCATGAGGGGTTTCAGAGAAGGTGAACAAGTTTAATGAAGACAGAAAAACTTACAAAATGTCAGTCACATTCCATTAACGTAATCATGACACTGTCCACGACTGAGCACCTATTCCTGCTATGGTCTCACTGACTGACGTGTCAACAGGAGAAGGTCTGGATAAAAACTCAGCTATGCTCAATGCCCCAGAAAGCTGTGAATTGTGGTATGAAGGAGAAATAACACAAAAATATAAGAAATGAAAAGAAAGCTTCCAAAGAGCAAACTGGCATCAGAAAATAAAAGCTCAAAAGCCTTTTAGAAATGATCACTTTTTATGGCTTTAGCAAACTTCTCCACAAGAAGATAAAAGACAAAAGCCATTTTCATGTGCAGTGGGTTCTTAAAAAAGATAATTTAATTTGGATTAAAAAACAGAATAAAGGTTCTTGGTTACCGAAATTCACGAACTTACCTAATTAAAAGAGAGCTCATGTCTCAGCCTGGCCCTCTTTAAAAAGAGAAGACATAAGGACTGGCACAGATAGAGAACCTGCATACTTTGAGTAAGTGTATATAGATGCTTCAACAATATTCATTATCTAAACCAACAGATATAAAGAGTTGGGACAACATTAATTCCTGCTTTTTCTATGGGAATCCAAAAATCTGCCTGTGGTCCCTACTCAAGCACTTTCACTCATCTTCCTTGCACTGGTCCAATGGTATGTGCACTGATAATCCCCCCACTGACATGAAAACAGCCAATTATGATTATCTATGGGTAATTCTATTATACTTACATTACAAAACACTGAAAACATGGTCACATTAATAGCCTAAGCTCTAACAGAACTTGGCTGTAAAAGCTGAGGAAAAGACTGTGTTTTTTCATTTAATTTGAGAAAACAGAAACATAGTACTGGGAAAATACTAGGAAACAACTTGGCATACTGATGCATGTATCCACCAATAAATATAACAAGTGATGGGGACAATACCTATTTCCATCTTGAGAAGATTTATTAATTCTGGACTGGGTAGGCCTTCTTCAAAAAATGTGGGAAAAAAACTTGATTCACTGATGTAAAGACAGGGCTGTTTTCCCATCAATGAGTCAATGAGCATGGCCTATTATTTTAGAGCAAAGGTGTATTTATTGTATGGCCAAACCATAACAAGAACATCTTACAAATCAGGATCATGAAACCCCCCTGATAAAGAAAAATACAAAAGCAAAAACCAACAAACTTCTGACTATGGTCTTTCTCAGGGCTAGAGTTGAGTTAGACCCTAAAGGTATGTCAGTGGTGTTCAATGGTTTAGGTTTGCACTGGCAAGCAAGGAAAGATCAAGCACAGAAATGCAATCTGAGAAACAGTCAAAACAAGAGCTGCATTTGGAATTCTTCAGTAATTCCTAAATTCTCCTTCATTTTGCCATAATGACATGGGAGCACTGAGTTTCTACTCAAAGTAGCAGTGACTATTTAATCAGCAATTTTTTATAACATTCTAAACAGCTTCTATAATGAGAGCAAAAGCAGCAGGTGCCAAATTAAACCCTTAAAAAACTAGGGAGTATCTACTGAACCCACCAATACATGAGAAAAGTCGCACAAAACTACAAAGCAAGATAGCTTATCCTTAGAGGATCAATACCACATCTACTTTATGAAATGACCTCTGCAGTGTCACGCTAACTCTCTGGTTCAGCCTCCCCTTAAGAAGGTTAGGAAAAAAAAGTCACACCACATAAGAGAGAAGATATTGTGAGATAAGGTACATATACTAAGTAGTTCTGAGTTCCCTAAAGAAAGGCATAAATAAAAATCTTATCTATTCCATTGCCTACTCCAAAACAAATAATCAAAAGTAATAAAAACAGTCCTTATAGTTTTTAACATCTATGTATGCTTAGTTGAGTATTTTCTTCTAGTTCTTGCCCAATTACTTTTGAAATTTTACCCAATTCCCATTCCCTTCCTTGAATTCATAGCATACATGCTGTAGCAATGGGAAATCTCTGTTCTCTCTGAGCTTTGTGAAGGCAGTAAAGAGTATGAAGAGGAATAAATAGATATGATCTGAAATAATACTGCATAATTCTTAATGAGGTTTAGCCTCCTAGTATTTCACCCAGAGAAAGTTCATTTGCTAAAAGATCTGACTGGCTCTTGTAACATAAGGCTAGTAGTAACCTGTGGAAAAAGAATTGTTTACAATCTTGTAAAAATCTGCCCATATAGTTCCCCCAAACCTCATTAAAGTACATCCAGTGGTTATATCAACATTTCAAATGATGGATAATTTAAAACACTTAAAATACCACTCACTTCCAGAGACCAACCTACAAGAAGGATTTAAAATAACTATATTAAAAAATCATTACTTAGGTGGTCAAAATAAAAAAAAACAATATACCAAATCAACTTATCTCTTTATTGGGTGCCAAAAGTGAACGTTCTATGTGAGAATATGGAGGAGAAGGCATACACAGGAAGAACAAATGATAAAAACATACTTGCTCTTTGAAGTTTCTAAAAGCAGTATTTGTAGGTAGCTCTGAAGTTTTGTGCTTACATGAAATGCTGGGATGCCTGGAAAAACCATTTGATTGGTTTTCATTTCTTGAGACACACAGTGTTTTAAGGGTAAACCTGACTTTTTTGCCTTTTAAGGAAGAATACTACCAGAACTTACACAGAAGTATGAGAAGAATAATGAAAAGTACCAGAAGTTAAAGACATAAAGTATCTCTCTAGGTTTGGTAGTAGTATGATATTTTAGCGTTCCACATAGTAGTCTAATTTAACTGCTAAAATTGATGATTAATTTTTAATTCTTAAAATTATTTTAAGCCAAAGAATCTGAAAACATTCTAAGCACAAATATAAGTTGCAAAAAATCAAAACCTTTTTTAATCATTTTTCAACAGATGAGTAGGAAAAGAAAAAACAAAAGGAAACTTCCAAAATATAATTGCTATAAACATTAGCTATTTATGTGATTTTGTTATTTGTAAAAATAAACACAGAAATAAAATAATTTACAAATAGTGTATTCTGCTTGGTTGATGAAACTGAAATTGTCAAGAAAAAATAGAGTAGCAGGGTTTTATTTATTTTTCTATTCTACGTGAATTATATCTTGTTTTGCTAAAGTAAATGCTAATAAAGAAGACTGTAGCATCATTTTTATCAGATGAGAAAGAAAATTGATTTAAGAAATACTATTTCAAACAAAAAATTGTAACTGAATCGAACATACTTTATAGATAACTGAAATTAATTCTCAGCACAAATTCTAAGCCTAGTTTAGCCACAGTTAAAACTATTAATTAGTTTAGGAATTATATAAAATATTCTTACAAGATGATCCCTCTGTTTTTGAATATTTATACTCAAAGTTGTTATGCAATGAACCAAATATTTAGATATAACAGGCATATACCCAGTATATACTAAATGATCACAGTAATATGAGTATATAATCTATTACTTAAAAATGCTAGTATCTGATACTCTATAAAATGGAATCTTTAAGATTAACACAGGCAGAAGTGGGAAGACATACTTTAATCATATATATATCTTTATATCTATGTGTGTGTGTGTGCACATTCTCACAATGTGCAGAAATTTAAATAAGATAAATTCCTTAATCAGAATTATGTGTATTACCTCAAAACTTGACATATAACTAACTAATCCCCATAATCAGCATGAAGGAAATAACTTCCTTCAAAATAGTGTTTCAAATTAAGAACTCTTTGGAATGGAACAGACTCGTATTTAGTTCTTACTGATGGATGATGCTATTTCATAGTACCTCTTTTAAAAGTTTATTAAATGTGGTATTTTCAACTATCCATAATACAAACTTCATAGTTAGAACCATGGAATATCAGGTGCTAGAATTATGTTAGATAACTACAGTTGATTTATTTTCCAATTTGAAGGTAAAAATGGCATCTTTAATTAATATAAAAAGTAAAATTCCCCTCTCCCAAAATTTAAAAGTATGAAACCAAATCTAGATTGCCAAGAGACATTCTATGAACTTAATTAACTATGGAAAAAGGACAGTGTAAACTGCACACCCAGATCTGAAATAAAATCTGTTTTCAAAACATACCCAGATCTAAACACTCATAATGTTACAGTATCAAATCTGAAATTTAGATATTCTGACTATCACTATTTTCTCTGGTTGCATCCATATGACTTATTACTGGATCTAAGTAACTTGTCAGTTCAGGGACAGGCTACATAATGCCAGCAAAAAGTTGTCATTATTTAGAATTAATAAAACCACTGCTTGGTTACATTTCTCACTTGCTTTGGAAATGTTAGTCAAACCAAATCCCATGCATTCTACTTCTTATATTTTGCCTGTGCCTTCTCACGGTTTGGGCAGCCTTCAAGCACTTTCATGAGCTGGATCCTACCAACTCCTCTGCCTTCATCTCCCATCCAAACCCAATAAACTCCCTTTACTGTAGCCAAATGAATTACTTGTGGTACCCAGAATGCACTATGCTCCCTCTTAGCTGACTGCTTGTGCACATGCTTCTCTCTGCCCTGCAACAATATTCTCCTCACCGTTCCACCCTGCCTAATCCTACCTTATACTTCATCAAAACAGAATCTATTCTAGGGAGCCCTTCTAAGTAGGAAATCTGAGAGGACTGGGGCAGACAATGCCCCGAAAACACTCCTTTTCTAGGACAATTCTTGCTTTCAAGTAAAACTGTGACTCAGAAGAAAGCCAGACACCTTTGTGCAGCTGGTATGCGAAGTACTGTGGTATTCTGGGGACTCCCACTTCACTGGGATCCAGCAAAAGGGTTCCAAAGCACCAAGTCATAGTATTTGTGACACTCTATACATTTTCACCTCTAAGACTGCAAGCTCTTTGAAGTCAGAAGCTCAATCTACTTTATTTATCTTCAGTCCTAAAGTCTAACAAAGTACACAGCACATCACAGTAAACATTCAAGAAACAGGTGTTGAGGAGATAAACAAATAAATGAGAAACAAAAGCCAGTAAGATTATAGTACTCTTGATTTCATATTAATAGATTTTTACTCTTAGGAAATAGGTAAAAATATAAGAGAAAGTATAAACAGATTTTTCATAATATACTACAAAAGACTTCTACCTCTTATATTAAAAGGTAGTGTACAAAGTAGATTTTAATAGAACTTAACAGGTCTTTAAGCTACTGAGAGTAATTCTACATACTATTACAATAAAACTCAATACCAAAACACAAAAATATCATATATTTAGTTTTTATCTATTTATAGTTTTTATGTTTGAATAACACTATATCAAAAGTAAGTATATACACATATTCTTTGACTGTCAGTTTCACAAATCTGGTTAGAGAAAATCAGAATTAAAATAAATGTGGACCCTATAAATTGCTTTTGAAAATGTATATAGGTTAATAGCTACTTAGTGCTATTCGGTGAAAGAAAAATGAAATGCAAAAATTGCTTAATTGTAAAGTAAAAAATTCTGCCCATTCCCCCAATTCTAGTATTTTGCAAAATGACTCTGAAACACAAAAGCCCTCAATGATACAATTCTCTCATCAGTTTGAACCGTAAGCCCCACACCCTTTTCAATTATAACTGAAACCTGAACACATATAATCTGTAAAAAGGACAAATCAAAATGTCTTTTTAACACAGGCAAAATGACATCCTCAGTTCAAAAATGGACCTCTATTTCCTAGATTAGAAGTAGTCATTAGATTATAATAAAAATTCAGAGCAAGTTAGAAATGGTGTTCCAAGGTCTTTGAGAATCCTTACCTAATCCTATTCGGTTTGGACTTGTTTCTCGGCTACATCCCTGACTCCTGGGTATCTTGCTTCGTTTTTCTGAAGAGGATGTCACAGATGGGCCTCTTGAGGAACCCCCAGCAAGGCCACTGTAACCACTTCCCAACAATTTCCCTGGGGAACTTGACCGGCTGCCAGCTAAAAATGAAGCAAAACCAAAACTGAATAATGGATATAAGCAGGGAATAAATTATAAATAAATTGCTATAATAAAATAAATTGCTATAATTGCTATAAATTATAGCAATTTCAGATGCCAGTTTATACATTAATTTGAATCCAATATAAAAATAGCTTTGTAGCTGGTGTTAATACTAATTTTTTAAAAATGTAGGAACATAAAAGAACATCAAATTATCATAAAAGAATATTTATACACAGGAGATTTACTGGTAGAATGTTATAAAAATAACTAAAATTTGATTCAAAAGAGCAGACTGAGTACAAACAGCCTCCCTGTTCCACAGCAAATTTCTAGAAATAACCAAAAAAGTGTTTATTATTTTTTTACTGTCAGAGTTGACATGTCAAAACTTTTAAGTATAACTGCTAGAAGAGTAGAAATATAAATATAACAGGAATTTCTTAAACATTAGTGGTCAAAAATGGATCCAAGAAAACCCTATTAATATAACAAATGGAAGAAAGAAGAGGGAAGAAATAACTAGAAACATGATAAATAAAAATTATAAAATAAAATGCTAGACATAGGTTCAAACCTATCAGTAATCATAATAAATGTGGCTAGATTAAAATCACCTATTAGAAGACAAAGATTTTTGGATTGGCTTTAAAAAAATAAAATTAAATCAACTGTATGTTGTTTATAAGAGACAAACAACACACCTAACAACAAAATAGAATAAAACATAGCATTAAAACAAAGGATATTTCATAATGATAAAAGAATTGTCCATGAAGATATAATCATGAACCTTTATGCTCCAAATAACACAGCTTTGAAGTATAAGACTAAAGTTATAGGAAGAAATTGAAACAGTTATAATTATTAAAATACCTCTCAGAAAGACCAATAACTACTGAAAGGCTCTTATACCTCTCAGAAATCGACAGAGCAAGCAGTCAAAATTAAATAGGTATGTATAAACACATCTCCCACATATACATACATGTGTAACTCAACAAACAGAATATACATTCTTTCCACCTTTCCACACGTTACAAACCCCAAATGTACACTAAGCCTCAAAGGAAATCTCAAAGATCTACAAAAGTAGCCCTGACTGGTGTGGCCCATTGGGTTGGGTGTTGTTCAGTAACGGAAACATTGTCAGTTACATTCCCAGTCAGGGAACATGCCTGGGTTGCAGGCCAAGTTCCTGGTTGGGGGTGTGCCAGAGGCAACCTATCAATGTTTCTCTCTCAAATCATTTCCCTCTCTCTTGCTCTTTCTCCCTCTCTTCCCCTTGGTCTAAAACATAAAATCTTTTAAAAAAAAAATCTACAAAAGTAGCCATCATACAGACCACATTCCCTGAGATGTATGAGATAAATTAGAGATTAAAAACAAATGATATGGTTAGCAATTTTCACTATGGCTAAGTGGCTAAACACCTAAATAACTATTTCTTATGGGACAAAATTAGAGAAAACAGCAAAATTTTAAGTATCATAATAACACACCCAAATGGCAGCCATTTACTTAGGTCATTTATTTAAGTTAGAAGGCAATAAAATTGTAAAACATAAAATGCGCATTATTATTTACCAGAATAAGGATGAACCAAAGGTAAAACCTTTGAAATAATACAACTGGAAATTAAACACACACACACACACACACACACACACCCATCATTCAAATGAATCACCTAGGTGACTACTCACAAAAATCAGTACTTTATAATGATTTAACTATAATTTAAAGTGATATTCATTGTAAAAATCACCAGTACACATTACCATGAAAAACCCACCTCATGATCTACTAATTTGCCCACACAGTTTGAGCATACAAATATACTATTAAGCTATGTACAAGTAGAAAGGAAATCCATTTCAAACTCTAGAATTTCAACATACAGAGAAAATGCAGGAAGATTAACTAAGCTCATAATAAAGAATTTACCAGTAATATTGTGCAAGGAATATGGGGTGAGAGAGAATGGACCAAAAAAAAATAAAATTAGCAAGAAGAGAAATGTCTTACCACCAGCAGGATTAGCAGATCTGGATCCTTGATTAAGAGAGCAAACCAAAGAACAGGCAAAAAGTGGATTAAAAGACAATACAATACAGAAGGTCAGCATGCAAACACATGTCTTTGTTCACAAACACATTAGCAAAATAGCTATTTTTTCTACATCTTGTTCCTCCTATTTTTGTACTCATGTTCATTATTTCATATATGTCACACTATTTAGCATTTATTTCCCAACTATACATGAAACACAAACCTACAATGTGCCAGGCACAGTGCCTGGTGTAGCGGATGCAGAGAAGAGTAAGACAGATGTCTTACCCTCTGGGAGTATACCTGCTCTCTTGCTCCTAGCAACCTGAGAGAAGTGACTGTATGTTACTAATCTGTGTATCACTATCATCTGAAACAGGGCTGACCAAGTGCTCAACGAACATAAATGAATTAAAAGGGGCTGCTATTAACTAGTTTCACCTTAAGTGCCTTATGCCAAATTCTCAAATATTTAAATATTAATCCTCAAGTATTTAAAGACTCAAATATTTAAGTCTTCAAATATTTAAAATATGCCAATTGTTAAGGGCCCTAAATATATTAATAAAATCTACTTACTATTACACCAGGACTCTAAATACTAGTATATCTACATTTGTAAAATACATAAATATGCTATTTTCTTCCTATTAAAATGTTTTTTAAAAAATATTTAATTCCTATGTATAAGTTTAAGATCCAGGCTTTATCATTTGTTGATGTTGTTTCCTTTAGTAAGTAAAGTGAAACTGAAGAGTTTTTAAAGTGGAGGCTTAAATCAGGGACGGTACAGTGTTTTTGTAAACTGAAGAATTAAAGCTTATCATCATCCTCACCCCTATTCCAGAAGGACTTTAATCTTGGTACCGCCTCCTAAGCAGAGGACCCAGCTGGAGGCAAGGGCCCCTGGCAGAGGCCAAAACCAATACACAGTGGACATAAATGAAGATATGTAAAATACTATTCAACCCTCACTCTCTAAGAAAGGAAGTAATACTGCACAGCTAAAAGGGTCAGACATTTTTTATTCAGCTCCGTTTCCACATATTGAATTTGCAAGAAAAGGGATCATGGACTCCAGGCAACACTATGGTTCAACAGAATAACCAGAACCAGAGTATTGCTGCCAAGGTTCTAGAAGCTTCTGGATTACACCTGTACAATCCATGCTGTGTAGTATAAAAAATGGGTTTCAGTGTCAGGCAAGCCTGGGTTCTATACTCTTACTGATGGCAGCAATACAACTGACCTTGCATTTTCTTTTCAGAAAGGATATAAGCTTTTATTTACCATAAGGACTATAGTTATCAAAGGGACAGGAAAAAGTATCCAAATTCAGAAGGAGCTGAGAAAGGCATTCTAAATACCAAGAGGGAATGAGGGTTGGGCACAGACTAAGTGTTGTCTACAAACAGGAAGGCAGACACATCAGCTGAAGAGTGCTGTGTGGAGAGAGTAATTGTAGCTTCTGATGAAGGGAACTTCCTTCCACACATTGAGCTTGCTCAGGCGAACCCTGCCACCCAGCTCTACTTTTCATGCACAGAAAGGGAGCAGGTGACTCAAAGTCACATGCAGCTGAGAAATGAGACACCAGGGTTAGATCCTAGTACATTCATTCCATCTATGGCTGCTTTCATGTCTCAGGCTAACAAACCACGTGACTTGACATATACAGAGAAGCAATAATGGAGGCAAGGGCCACTGTGCAAAGCAAGGGTTCACACAGGCAAGAGGAGAAAGAAAGCAGGCTGTGATATTAGAACAGAGGGTTAGCAGGCAGAGCTTTTAATGGATTTACTTATGACCACTGGAAAGAAGACTTGGCATTAATAGTCATCTTTCCAGGTATGGCTCTTAAATTACAACAGGAGGATTGCTTATCAATAGAAAAATGGGTCACGGTCCAGGTATGTTTCAGCTGGAGAGGCTTGAGGAGAGGAAGAGAAAGTACATTTTAACCTTTAATGAGGAATGATAAAATATTTAAATCACCTGGGCAGGAAACAAAAGTCCACTTGAACACTCCCATTGTAAGCTTACCCAAGAAACATCAAGACTACTCACAGTATCTTAGAGCCACAGAAATTTGTTTTCCCCTGGAGTCAATGAGAACAGGCTATTAAATAAAACCAAGATAACAGAGAGCATGAAATATACTTCTTACGCTGGGACTGTGAAACTACTTTAGCACGACTGCGGCCTCGATTATCAGAAGGTATAGAAGCGACATTGGTGGCACTCCCAGAGTTTTGTCGTCTTGTGCGAATCCGACCTGGGGAATACAGCAGAAACAGTGTTTCCATAGGTTTTCAGTAAGTATGACCTACACGAGGAAACAACCTACCCATAAGCAAAGTGCACTGACTTGGCCACCTACAGAGGGAGCAGTCTTCCCCATGTGTGGTCCTAACATGTTTCCCTATGCGCACACACATGCATGGGATCTGTACACACAAATTCTAAAAATGCATTAGGAACTCCTGAAAGTGAGCCATGAACCTATCAGGTGCCAATATTTTGATGACTTTAGCATGTCATATTTTCAGATGAGGAGGTGACATTTATTTGAGGATTTTTCTCACAATTTTTTCTGATTAAATATGCTTTTTTATTGGCTACAAATGTCAAATTTCCAGGAGCAGAAAACATTAGCTGTTGTCTTAAAAATACCATAGAAAAAAATGAGTAAATGCAAAATATTCAGCAATCAACAAAAGCTACAATGCCCTGGATTATAAATGTGTTTTGATAAGTAGCATTAAACTCCTATTATAAAGCATGTGTGGCCATAAATTTCTGGGCTGCAAAAAATAAAAAGAATAAATATTCACATCTGAAACTAATACAAAATAATAGTGAATGTGAACTGTAATTGAAAAATAAAATTTTTAAAAAATAAATTTTTAAAATATAAGTATTAGAAGCACCTAGAGAAATGATGACCTAAAAATAATACCATGTTGTAGGCATTTATGAAGTTTCCCACTCTAGTGGCCTGTTAACCCCAATTATTGAACCATGAAAAGATAAAATTAAAAATAAATTCAGAAATGTAAATCACTGATGAACAGACAGACTTGTGTGATTAGGAACTAAACTTTAAATTCAGGGATTTTGTTGCTTCAAAGGGGGTACAAAATGCCTCTCCTGCCATACAGCAATCTGATAGAGAGAACACAAACCAATCTGAATCCCTAATGGCTTCTCATATTGTTCAAAATCACTTCTAGCTCATCATGAGAGAAAGCTTGCAGAAAAAGCAACACAGTAAAACAAATCTTAAGGCTTGAAAAAGGTTCAAGAAAGGGAGGTAAGAAGCAAGAAAAGTATTGCATTAAAAGAAAACTAAAATGAATGACTTTTAATAGCAGTTTAAGGAAAGACATACACAAATTCTAGAATCTATACTAAAATTAGGAGCTATACTATATATTACACTAAGAGTGTATATGTATGAACTCAGAATCCTCAAAACAACATATAAGTAATTATCCCCATTTAAGAATGAGGAAACCAAGAAATGGGAATGAATTAATCTGTCCAAGGTCACATTACTGGTTTGGATACCTGTGCCTGCCTGGCTTGTTGGCCTATGAGTGAGGACTTTTTACTTTCCTATGGACATCACCGAGCTAAAGTAAGACAGGCACCAAGGTAGAGTGAACATGAACAAAGACTGAATTTCTTATTTTAAATTTATTACAAAATATTTAAGTCAAAAACTGATTTTTTAAATGAACATCCATACCCATTCAGCTTAAAAAATAAAAATCTTCTTTGCTCTCATCCTTATATCCTTTATCTTCCTCTACAATTGGTAACATGATCCTTTACCCACTGTTTACCATTCTCTTGCATTCTTTATATTTTTAAAAGTATTTTTTATTGATTATGCTCTTACAGTTGTCCCATTTTTTCTCTCCCCTTTGTCCTCATCTGCCCTGAATCTCCCCCTCCCTTCAGCACTGCCTCCTCCTTAGTTCATGTCCATGTGTCATATATATAGGTTATTTGGCTTCTACATTTCACATAATATTCTTGACTTCCCCCTGTCTATTTTGTACCTACTTTTATGCTTCTTATTCCCAGTACCATTCCCCCATTTTCCACCAGTCCCTTCCTTGATAACCCCCTCCCATGTGATCTCCATTTCTGTGATTCTGTTCCTGTTCTAGTTATTTGCTTAGTTATTGCTTTTACTTTTTAGGTTCATTTGTTGATAGTTGTGAGCTTGTTGTCATTTTACTGTTTATAGTTTTTCATCTTGTTCTATTTTTTAGATAAGTCCCTTTGACACTTCATATAGTAACGGACTGCTGATGATGAACTCCTTAAACTTGACCTTACTTGGGAAGCACTTTATCTGCCCTCCCATTCTAAATGATAGCTTTGCTGGATACAGTAATATTGGATATAGGTCCTTGATTTTCATGACTTGGAATACTTCTTTCCAGCCCCTTCTTGCCTGCAAGGTCTCTTTTGAGAAATCAGCTGACAGTCTTATGGGAACTCATTTGTAAGTAACTGTCTCCTTTTCTCCTACTGCTTTTAAGATTCTCTCATGTTTAATCTTGGTTAACTTAATTATGATGTGCCTTGGTGTGTTTCTTCCTGGATCCAATTCCTTTGTGACCCTGAGCTTCCTGGACTTCTGGGAAGTCTATTTCCTTTACCAGACTGGGGAAGTTCTCCTTCACTATTCAAATAAGTTTTCAATTTCTTGCTCTTCCTCTTCCCCTTCTGACACCCCCTACGATTCAGATGATGTAGCATTTACAGTTGTCCCAGAGGTTCCTCAGCCTCTCCTCTCATTTTTCTGAGTTCTTATTTCTTCATTCTGTTCTGGTTGAATGTTTATTTCTTCCTTTTGTTCCAAATCATTGACTTGAGTCCCAGTTTCCTTCCCTTCAGTGTTGGTTCCCTGTATATTTTCCTTTATTTCACCCTGTATAGCCTTCATTTCTTCCTTCATTTTGCAACTGAACTCAAATCATTTCTGTGAATAACCTGATTAGCAGTGTTTTGAACTCTGCACCTGATAGGTTGGCTATCTCTTTGTCGCTTAGTTCTTTTTCTAGAGTTTTGATCTGTTCTTTCATTTAGGCCATATTTCTTTGTCTTGGAGCACCTGTTACATTGTAAGGGGCAGAGCCTTAGTTATTCAGCAGGGCAGTGCACTGCATTGTGGCACTGTACGTGGGGAGGGATCAGTGAGGGAACAATGCTGCTTGCTCAGCTGTTGCCCAGCTTTCGGTCACTTCCCCTGCTACCCACAAGTGAAATGGGCCCTTCTTGTGCTGATTATCAGATGGGTGGGTCTGTGTACATTCTGGGACCCCATGGACCCCTCTAACAGACTCTCCTGTGAGAGTGGGAGTTTCATTGGCTATAAGCCCTCAGGTTTTTACAGCCAGAAGTTTTGAGGCTTTAGTTCCCCGTGCTGGAACCCTGTCTTGCTCTCCAGTTGTTCCTCCCAGTTTATCGGCATGCAAATATGGGACTGCCTCATCTGCCAGTCACTGTCCTCTCCCTGTTCCCTCCCACCCTGTTGCCCATCTCTACCCCTGCTGCCCATTTCCACCCCTACCTACCAGTCTGGATGAATGTTTTTTATTTAACTCTTTGGTTGTTGGATTTTGATACAGTTTGATTTCTGGCAGTTCTGGTTGTTTTTTGTTTTTAAATTGGTTGTTATTTTAGTTGTATGAGGAAGGAAAACATATCTACCTATGCCTCCATCTTGGCAAGAAGTCCCCATTTTTTACAAAAGATATGCTTTACTGCCCTGACCAATGTGGCTCAGTTGGTTGGGAATAGTCCCGCACAGTGAAAGATCACAGCTTTGATTCCTGATCAAGACACACGCCTTGGATGCGGGGTCAGTCCCCGGTTGGTGTGTGTACAAGAGGCAGCTGATTAATGTTTATCTCTCACATCAATGCTTCTCTCCCCTCTACCTTTCTAAAAATTTAAAACTCTTAAAAAAATGCTTTACTAACTTTAACATTAGTCTTATAGATAAAAATAATACTATTAAGAACATAACTTCTATTAAATCATGCTTTTGGAGAAGTGGAGTAGTTTTAAGAGCTTTATTTCTAAATTAAACTTACTTGAAAATAATTGTAGACTTGGATGTAACTATATGAGTACAGAGAGATCCTGTTTGCACTTTACCCAATTTCTCTCAGTGGTAACACCTTACAAATGTATTGTATAAAATCAGAGTAATAGATTAGAAGTATTGTGAGCTACTGTGCTGAAACAACAATTAAAATAAATAAATAAAAGTACTATGAGCTAAACACATCAAGATAAAACAAAGTCTGCTTCGCAGGTTAGCTTTTTACAGTAGCTAAATAATATATGAAAGTAAACTAGCAGTTCCTCATTGTGAAATCATAATCCTGAGGGTAGGTGGTTCTAAGCCACTACCTTAAGCAGATGAAGATATCCTAAATTTCAATTATATAAATCATCATCTAGAGACTTTCTATCTAGAGACTTTTCAAAGGGATGATCTTATCTAGCATGTGCTAATCAAAGACCTGTACAGACTAGAATAGCTATGTCTAAAATTCAAAGGTCAGTGCAAAGTCAGCAAGGCCTTCTTGAGAGTGATGTAAAAACAAAAAGTGTATCTGGATACGTGCATTCCTTTGACCATGCTATGTCCTTATATGTATAGAGCACACAGCACTTAGAAGGCACTTACTACATGATTGATAAGTGAACGAATGAGAATAAATGAATGAATGGGGTACTGTCAGTGATACCAATAAAAATGGTATGATATAATTCAGTAACATCATTAGGGGAGAAAAATGTATTTTAAAAAATGTCTGTAAATTACCTGGTAGAAAGTCTGTATGAGCCTTTAACCTGAATAATTGACACAAATTTATTTTCAAAACAGGAAAGCAAATTCTGAGAGGCCCACAAAAGCACAAAAAAAAGGAAAGGAACAGAAAGGAAAGGATGTAAAAGTCAGGTGGTGCTTCAGCAGTAATGGACTCTGAGACGAGCAGCCAGGAGGACAGCAGCACACAATGTCACACCAATGCTACTCCCCAGTGTGGGCTCAAAGTCAAAAACTATGTACAGCATTCTTAAGTGCCAAAATTCACAGGAACAACAATTGAACAAGAAAGAAGGAGAATGTGGGTAGAGGTAAAGCAAAACCCAGTAAAAACAGAACGAAGAATGAAGGGAAGAACGTGCAGTCTCATGCAGGGACCTTAGTGAGACAAGTGGGCAGGAGGCAATACTTGGCGAGAACAGAGGACTGGGGAGAGGGAGACACACCTCTATCAAAGAAACAAACCGCTTACCCTCTGCTTTAGTGGCAGTACCATCTTTAAGCAAATTAAAAAATAAGGGAAGGGATAACAGGGAACAATTAGTAACATTAAAAAACTTAAAAAGCAAAATGTTATTAGCTACTAAAGAAAGCAAAAGTACAATTTAAAATAAAACTAAAAGGGAAACAAGTTCAATAGCAAAGCAGAATAAAAAGCAAGTAAAAGTGCCTGATCTTAAAGTCAGCTTAGCATCATGGGCTTTTGCCTTTGGAAAACAACACAAAAAAGGGCAACCCAGGGCAGGGTCTCAGTTGATAGTGATTGTTGTTTTTTTTGTTTAGTCAACCTTCATTCCATAAAGAGTTCCTTATTCTTGGAACAAAGTACTACCAAAAGGGGTAAGGAGGAGGACACAGGACTAAAAATCAAACTACGAGTCACCCAAAGGGCAGAGGCAAGTGAGAAGTTCAGAGAAGCTCGCTCTAGCAATGCCTATCCCAACTACTTATCAGCAGCAAAGCTGCATAGCATGGTACCTGAATCAAGGCCTACTGATTCCACATCTTCCCTCACGTGTCTGGACTCTAGAAGTTCGGAAAAGGATCATCAACTTTAATGCTATACTTCTGCACAGATGTAAAGTATCAACCTAAGTAGTAATTGTAAAAACTCCTCAGTAGGATGATGTTGTATTTCAGGGTAGTTTTGTTTTTTGTTGTTTTGAACATAAGGAGAGTTAGAAGTAGTCAGGAAAAGGTAAGAGAATGGGAATACTCCAGGTTTTATTATTTGAAGAGGTAACACTGGGCTGAAAATTTACCAGTGAAGGTCAACTCTACATCACCAGACCAAAAGACCAGGGTGCTTTGACTAGCACTGAGGGACAAGTACATGGTCCATATTAAAATATCCCAAATATGAACAGAAAACAAAAGCTACTTACTGAGGGCTCTAAATGGTTTTTACTCAAGTTTTTTAGCAATGAAACAAATACTAATGACAAACTCTCAAGTGTAGGTTAAATACATTGGAAACACAGGAAAGTACTTAAAAAACTGAACTAAAATTAATAGAACTACTTTACCATAGGAGAGAGTACTGCCTTCCCTCTAGCAACATAGTGTCATAAAAACTCCTACATAATGTTATATCAGTTAAATGGCACAAAAGGAGAGCTCCTGTTGGGTTTCTTCCCAAACTAAATGCATCCATCATGTATGAGGTATTTACATACAGAAAACAAGACTGATTTAACAAACAATCCAAAGTATACACCTTTCAAACTAATAATGTTCCTGTTATAATTAGTTTCTTTCCCTATCATATATCTGAGTTAGGTGGCTATTATTACAATAATGTATGGGTATAGGACATAGGCGGCAAACAACAGGGCCCATGGGTGGAATCCAGCCCTCCACCTTGTTTTAATCCAGCCCGGTGCCTTGTTTCTATCGGGTGGTAACACCAAGCTCCCGCTTAACTGTTAAAGAGCAGTTACATCTATATAGTTCTAAAATTACATTCTGCCCTTTGAAGGCAACCACAAGGCTGATGTGGCCCCTGGTGAAAATGAGTTTGACACCTCTGGTTTAGGAGATCCAAAGATTCCATGGCCTTCTCAAGGTTCCCAGGCTAATGAATGGCAGGCCCGGGATCTCCTTTTGGTGTTTGTTCTATTATTATGCTTGCATGTACAAAACATTTTTAGAACATTAATTTTGGAACTGATTTTGGAATATGTAAATCACATAATTTCATCTTAATGTTTCATGAAGTATAAATTATATTCATTTCCATAAAATCCAAAATAAAACCAATCCAGCAAAGTCCCCAGAGTTTGGCCTTGGACAACTTGGCTTTAACAAAAATAAAATAAATGATTAGCCTTACGTATGGTAGATATGTAGTATCTGCTGAAAACCTGAGAAAATGACATAACACTCTGCCAGATATTAATTCTTTTGAAAATTGTTATTTTTTTAATCTTTGAGGCTATTGTTAGAGCGTGCACTTTAAGTCCACACTCTTCCCAAAGTGGTGCGTGGAAAGACAACACTCTTGTGTAAGTACGTTGGCTAATAAGGCCAACAGCCCTGGCTAATGTAGCTCAGTGGACTGAGCGCAGGCTGTGAACCAAAGGGTTGTAGGTTTGATTCCCAGTCAGGGCACATGCCTGGGTTGTGGACCAGGTCTCCAGTGGGGGGTGCACAGGAGGCAACCACACATTGATGTTTCTCTCCCTTTCTCCTTCCATTCCCTGTCTCTAAGAATAAATAAATAAATAAATAAATAAATAAATAAATAAATAAATATCTTAAAAAATAAGTCCACCACACTCCTCTGAAGATCCCTACCCTGTTGTCATCCCTTTCCTGCTCCTTCCACACCTCCCCGCTCCAATTACATTCTCAAATTAGAAAATATCTAATTACAGTGAGTACTTTGGTGAATTCCTCACTAAACCCTTCCCCCTCTGCTCCCACCAATGTCAGGAGGGAGAAATGCCAGCTTTGGCCACATGGGAGGGAGCTGTATGAGATGCTATCAAGTGGGGAGTGAAGCTGAAAGAAGGCCGTGCTCAGTGCCACACACCATGCGAGCACCAGTGTACCTGCTTGTCACTAAAAATTATGATGCTCCAGAGGAAGTGAACTCTCAACAAAGGGGAACTGTTAATCAGTAGTAAGTGCACCAAGTCACTTATACTTAAACATCAGCACTGCAAGGGTGACAATTTCTTCAATTACTGCCTTTTGTAATTAACTAAATAAATCTGAGTAGAGGTACATGTCATCTCAAACGACAGGACTTGGGGGAAGAGGTGGTGGGGATTTGGTTACCTAAGGATGCATATGACCCTGGAGGTAAAGCTGCTGCAGAGCTGAAGGGCGTAGCTCCTGAAGCTGAGGAGGCTTTGGATTTGGCACTAGCTGCTGCATTTACATCTATATCACTTCGAGATCGCTGGAGGGACCCAGTTGTTGATGTAGATTTGGTACTGACTGAAGAAGCTGTAGTGGTAAAGCAAAAACCATTAGTAAGAACTACACTAGAATTGTAAATATATATCGCTAAAACTACTTTGCTTTTCTTTACAGCAAATACCAAGTTTTAAGAGAGGCTGGAACACACAGCACTAACCAATACTTCCTCCTCATCAGTAAAGACAAGTTCAACCCATGCTGAGGAAATTCAAAATGACTGCCATGATATATACCTACTACATTTGTCTTGCTGTAATCAAAGATTATAATAAACCCCAAAGAAATTAACATATTTCTGGTTAGTATGAGAAATGAAAACAATAAAACATTGTTCTCATCTGGCTAGCTTCCTCATGATGTGGCAAAAACGTGCACTCTTACCCAGATGCCTGACTTTTTCAGGAAACATTTCACTCTCCTGCCTCGAAGGGCCACCACACTATTGCCGCTGCTCAAAGCATCACAACTGTCTTTACTCTCTGACCAAGTGACCAGAGTGAAGCTCTGTACTGCCTGTGGCAGGGTCTACACATGCTGGAGGGAAGTGAGTGAGAAAAGGTCACAGGGCTAAATTTCTGCCTGAATAAGTCCTCCTGACAATGTCTCCCTCACCGCTAACAGCTCCTGGAAAAGTGGGGCTCCACTGCGGGCAGCTGGAGCGCAGGGCAGAGCAGCTCACTCTGCAACCCTAGCGAGGAGCAGAGGGCAGCCTCTCCAAGCAGCTCAGCCCACCTGGGGTTAGTAATAGAGGCCTCCATGGACTGCCTTCTCCACACTGTCAGTCTTACCTCTGGAGGTGGTACTTCCAGTAGAACTTCTTTTGGCAGAGAGCGGCCGACTAAAAATAAAGGTATACACCTGTTTATTATCAAATGTGCACTTTATGTGCATTAATACAAACACAATCTATAATTGAAAATTATGAATGAAGAAGTACTTAAGAGTTTTAAGAATTTCTCAGGTAATTTGGCCCACAATCTTTTAAATACCCATTTTCAAAAAAGCTTTACCATTATATTTTGGACTATCTCCCAAACACACAGAGATTAAGTCCTAACTAGAGACAGACATTATAAATACTAAGTGAAGATCTTACATTAAGTCCCAGGTTTTGAACGCCCTCTCTTTATAAACTTGTCTCCAAGTTAATACGTACATGCTCTTAGAAGACACTAAACAATTCACTCCAAAACTGTACTATTATACTATCATAAATTTAACTAAAAACTACTTACAGCAGAGACCAAGGCCACCTGTTTCTTACCATTCCCATAGTATCTTACCTAGTATCAGAATCCATCTGAGGTAATGGGGATTTATAACAGGCACATATACGTACAAACACAGCTAGAACTTGCATTCTCATGCAGCAAATTTCTAAATATAAAATCTCACACTAATGAATTCCTTACTTCAGACTCTCTTGAGAGCTAGAAGATGACCGATCAGATTGCGGCAAAGACACAATGCTGTCCGAGTTCTTCAAGTGGGACTGCAGGGCCTTCTGGTAGGAGGACTCCAAGGTGTGGTATAAGTGCTCTGCTTCTCTGCTGAAGTGACTGTGGAAACCCCAGTAACACCTCGGGAGAACCACACAACTTCCTGTTATAGCCAGTGGATCGTAACAGGTATTTCACTGAGCTCTGGAGTACACTACATAACATTTTCAAGGACTGGAATTCTGTTTACCTGTCTTATTTGCAAGAAGACTGGGGGGCCTTAAGGAAGATGGAGCTAAAACATCCAGAACTAGCCTAAAACCTGAAGAGGGCCTCATCAATGGTAGTTTTTATCAAGGCAATTTGACACTTGTTGATTTGAGGTATTTAAAAATTGCCTTAGATAAGACGTACCCCCCCCAAAAAAGGGGAAGTTGTTCAGAACTATTTAAAACTGTTATTGCATTGTAACTGAAGAACTAGAAAAATTGGAGGAGGGGAAGAATACAATACAAGGATAAAAACAGCCTAAGTAGATCATTAGCAAATATATTTCTAATAGTTTTTACCAACTATTAATTTTGTGACTTATTTTGATAGAACTACAGAAGATAAACTTGTGGTGAGTGCTTCAGTGTCAGTGTGAGATCCTCTAAAAAAACTCAGAAACCAAAAAAATATAACTTAACTGAGAGAGCAAAGAACAACAAGTATTTGATCAAGGCGTATTATTGTGGCTATGTGAGACAGTCATATTCCAGGCTAGGAATATTAACCTGTGTCTAGGAGAAGAGCTGGTCAACTACAAAAGCATAGAAAAAATCACAGGTACAAAACAGTACTTGTCCATGCTCTCCCTGCCTGAGAGAAAGACTTAGCAAGAAATTTCTGGTATTTATGGTCATACTGGCAAAATTATTCCTCGGGAGATACTGAACGTACGGTGCCACAGCCACATGACTGGAATGTAACTGCCTCAAATGTGGATGGTAACAGCTAGTCAGCACTGTGATAATCCTGAGCCTCAGCTCACCCCGCCACCCCTGACTGTGATGCATACTTCCCAAACAACTACCTGATACTTGCAAAGATTTGATCACAGGAAAAGAAGCCCTGTGGATCAGGATTTTTTCACAGTAAATCAAGAAGTCAGTTTGGATTATGACTTGGTTTTTAACAGGGCTTAATGAATAAAAGAGTACACTGAGCATGTATGTAAATGCTCTTCTGATTCATGGGATAATAGTGTCTGTCTCACAACTTTAAAAATGAGCATTCTGTTTTCTACCTCAGTTCTGATAATATTTAGATAATATCAATCACTCTTTCAGGCCTAGGCACTAACCAACCTCTTAAACTAAAAACTATAGAAAAATTATGAAATGCCCTTTTATAAGTCATGATTAACAAAATATTTTGACACAACTTAATGTGTTTTTAATAAGGCAATCTAGTGCATATGAAAATAAAAGTAGTGAATAAAAAAGTAGTGTACAAATAAGCACTTACTTTCTAGCTTCTATTCTTGCTTCAGAATCGGCATCATGTATTCCCTTCTTTATTGTTTCGGCTAATACTGATATATGTCTAGGTATTTAGAGAAGAAAGCAGCAACAATCATTAACATATATGATATACAGACTGAAACAAGCATGAGAAACAGCTTCAAAATGGCAATGTGAGAGCCTCCGTGCAACTTAACAAAATCAGAGCATTTTCTGCAAGTCTTCTAATCCCATTGCAGTGCCCTCCCTGCCCCACCCCCCACGTAAGTAGCCTGGATAACCCTACTTGCTGGTGTGATTTTTAAAAAAGTTATTGGACTTCTGGCCAAGATGGAAGCATAGGTAGACACAACCAAAATAAGATCAGCAACAATTTAGAAACCAGATCTGACAGAAAATTGAACTGTATGGAAGTCGGACAACCAAGGAGTTAAAAAATACACTTTCATCCAGACTGGTAGGAAAGGCAGAGTCGGGCAGCCTTCAGAGAGAGGTTGTAGCACAAAAAGACAAAAAGCTGTGGCACCGGGCGCATAAGTCATCCCGGGCGCAAGACCACAGTAGGCAGACCCTGGGCACATAGGCATCAGGTAGACTCAACGAGGTGGCAAATGTGAAACGAGGCACTGTGCACAAGGCGCCTGGCTGTCCAGGCAGTCCCACATTCACACACAGACAAACCACGGGAATTGGGCAGTGAGACAGACCACGCAACCCAGAGTCCCAGCGCCGGGAAATAGACCCTCAGGACACTGATTGAAAACACATGTGGGGCATGAGGTGCAGGGAGAGACTCCCAGCCTCACAGGAGAGTGCGTTGGACAGACCCATGGGGTCCTAGAACATGCACAAGCCCACTCACACGGGAATTAGCACCAGAAAGGCCCAGTTAGCTATGGGGAAGCGGCAGAAGGGACTGAAATCTGAAGGACAGCAGAACAAGTGCCATTGTTCCTTCTCAGACACTGCCCCCACATACAGCATCACAACCCAGTGACTGGGTTGCTCCACCCCTCATACCTAACAGGTGCAACAAGACAAAAAAAAACAAAAACAAAAACAAAACAAACAAACAAAAAAAAAAAGGCCCGAATGGAAGAACAGATCAAAGCCCCACAGCAAATACAACTAAGTGACCAAGAGATAGCCAACCTATCAGATGCACAGTTCAAAGCACTGGTGATCAGGATGCTCACAGAACTGGCTGAATTTGGTCACAAATTAGATGAAAAAAATGCAGGCTACAATAAGTGAAATGAAGAAAAATGCACAGGGAACCAATAGTGATAGGAAGAAAACTGGGACTCAAATCGATGGAGTGGACTAGAAGGAAGAAACAACCAAACAGAAAAGAAGGGAGAAATAAGAAATCAAAAAAATGAGAGGCTTAGGAACCTCCAGGACATCTTTAAACGATCCAACATCTGAATTATAGGGGTATCAGAAGGAGAAGAGGAAGAGCAACAAGTGGAAACTTATTTGAACAAATAATAAAGGAGAACTTCCCCATTCTGGCAAAGGAAATAGACTTCCAGGAAGTCCAGGAAGCTCAGAGAGTCCCAAAGAAGTTGGACCCAAGGAGGAACACACCAAGGCACATCACAATTACATTAGCCAAGGTAAAAATGAAGGAGAGAATCCTAGAAGCAGCAAGAGATAAGGGGACAGTAACCTACAAAGGAGTTCCCATCAGACTGTCAGCTGATTTCTCCAAAGAGACCTTGCAGGCAAGAAGGGGCTGGAAAGAAGTATTCCAAGTCATGAAAGGCAAGGACCTATACCCCAGATTGCTCTATCCAGCAAAGCTTTCCTTTAGAATGGAAGGACAGATAAAGTGCTTCCCAGATAAGGTCAAGTTAAAGGAGTTCATCATCACCAAGCCCTTATCATATGAAATGTTAAAGGGACTTTTCTAAGAAGATAAAAACCATGTATAGTAAAATGACAGCAAACTCACAATTATTAACAACCACACCTAAAACAAAAACAAAAACAAAAACAAACTAAGCAATCAACTAGAACAGGAACAGAACCACAGAAATGGAGATCACATGGAGGGTTAGCAACAGGGGAGTGGGAGGAGGAGAGAGGGGGAAAAGGTATGGAGAATAAGTAGCACAGACAGGCAGAAAATAGACAGGGGCAGGACAAGCATAGTATGGGAAATGTAAAAGCTAAAGAACTTATGACACATGGACATGAACTAAAGTGGGGGGAATGTGGGTGGGAGAGGGTATGCAGGGTGGAGGGGAGTGAAGGGGGGAAATGGGATAACTGTAATAGCATAAAATATATTTTTAAAAATTTGTGGCTTATTTTTCTCATGCCATACTTACTTAGCTCAATCTTTTATAAGCCAAAACAACAAAACCCCATTTTTTTCATAATCAGAACTAGTTTCTGTGGACATTTTAATGAGATAATTATAATCTTAATACTAAAGAGACCATGTGCATCACATTTCTGTAATTAAAGACAATGTTTTTCCAAGCTCCACTACTAAGTATGATGAACAATTTTGTAAAATTATGTAACATTTTATAAATAGATCTTCTTTATTTATGTTCTACCCTAGATCAGAAAAAAACATTAAATTGTCTCACTGTCTATTTCACAAAGTTTTAAAAAAAGGGAAATGACTGGAATGAATAGTCTCATACAACACAGAACTACTGATTTTACCAGCCCATTCAAAGTCTTTACCTTCACTCCTTCATTTATTCAATTAATATGAGTACCTGCTCGGTGACAAACACTGAGGAAGGATGAAGGACTACATGGGGCTACTTCTGAGTTCTTCATGCTGTTCTGTTCTACTTGCCTATCCCCACATTAAATCCCTCTTTCCACTTTCCACCTCTAAATTCTTAAACTACCAACATATAAAGAGGATATAATACTCATGAGATTAAAAAACAAGAAAATATTGGGAAAAAAAGTAAGACTAACTTCTAGATTCAGAGTATTTTCAGATGAAAATTTACCTCTGGGAAGCTAGGTTTGTTTCATCTCTGACCTTTGCAGTATGGATGGGACTGTCAGGACAATTTATTAAAATTCCACTCTAATAAAATGTTTTATATGCTGTGAAGCTCTTCATAAACTATATGACATACCATTAAAAAATGGGCATAACATTACCATTTATTTCTCCAAATTTCACTCAGAAATAACAAAAAATGACTCTCAGAGTTCAGAGGCATGCTTTTATTTTTCAAGAATTCTGTGATAGCCCTGGCTGGTGTGGCTCAGTGGGTTGAGCATCGACTAGCAAATCACAAGGTCACAGGTTTGATTGCAGGTCAGGGCACATGCCTGGGTCTGGGGCATGGGAGAGGCAACCAATGGATGTTTCTCTCCCTCTATTTCCTCTTCCCTTCCCCTTTCTCTAAAAATAAATAAAATCTTTAAAAAGAAAAGAAAATTGGGCTTGAATTAAAAAAAAAAGAATTGTCATAATCCTACTTTTTTTATTATGATGATATAAAACACCAATCTGAATAAAGAGAAAACTGCTGACTTCCTAAAACAGAGGGATCAAAGAGGAAACTTTCAAACAAGTGAAATTCCTATAAGACCTAAGAGTTAACACCCTCCCTACAAAGAACAACTTTAAACACTGATCTCACTGGAACTGACAGGAATGTCAAGCTGCAGAATCAGAGTCAATAAACAGTTAATCCTGGCTTTGTAGTGGTGATAGTGCACAGGTACCTACATCTCTAGACACCTTAATATTACAATCAAGAAGATTCACTAAAGGCTTCTACCAATATTATGTGGCTCACATCAGTAGAAATAACAGAAGTAGTCATGAGAACAAATACTTAGATTCCTTCATTTCTGATAGAAAGTGGGTTGGACCATTCCCTCAGTCATTAAATCTCAAGATTCAATTCAGGAAAAAACAGCACATCAGATGCTCACCGTTCCAGTGAATGTGTTTGCCATTCTTGTAAAAGTAAATCTAAAAATTCAAAACAGCGTCTGAAAATTGTAAAGGAAAAATATGTAACTTAGTAATTTGTATGTTAGTGAAAATAAAAGCTTTTTTCTTAAGTGAACCAATGCTACTTTTTACAATTGATAAATTTCTTCTTTCATGACTGAAAAAAATGGAACATAAAGATGCAATCAGAATTGACACAATCAAAGCAAATAAAAAAATTAATCATCTCGGGCTGTGAACCAAAGTGTCGCAGGTTCGATTCCCAGTCAGTGTATATGCCTGGGTTGCAGGCCATGACCCCGAGCAACCACACATTGATGTTTCTCTTTCTCTCTTTCTCTCTTTCTCTTTCTCTTTCTCTTTCTCTCTCTCTCTCTCTCTCTCTCTCTCTCTCTCTCTCTCTCCCTCCAACCCTTCCCTCTCTAAAAATAAATAAATAAAATCTTTAAGGAAAAAAAAAGTCCTTTAAAAAATTAATTTATGGTGGTCAAGAGGAAAAATTACAGAGATATAGGCACAGGATATAGGAGTTCCCTCCAAATCAGAAGCCTGAGCTTCATGGCAACATTGCTAAAAAGGTACACTTTTGTCATTTGTTTTTATACTACCTCAAATAATACGTGAACACAGTATGCAAACATGCACAAAAGATCAACGTACATTACAGAATCAGGCAACTCAACTGGTCTTTGTATTAATTTTATAGAATGCCTTGCACATAAAAAAGTAGAAAAATACACTGAAAAACAAAAAGTGTTTGCTCAATTTTCTTTCTAAGAAGGTCCTGGGTAGTGCTTACAATAGATTTTCTTTCCGAGCTACTCAGCTATTTCCCTCTCTTCATTATTTCAGTACCCTTTCTTTTCCAGTTTTTTTCACTTTTGTGATCCTTAGTCTAATTTGTGCACAAAAACAATTCCAGTCTCATATCCTTTGGATTACATTACCATTTCGGGTGAAGTCCAGGATATCCATCTTTATAGGAATAAATCTTTATAGTCTTGGGAACCCATTCAAAGGAACAAGTCAGTAGGTAATTTTTGTCTAATGACCAGACTTTCTTTCCCAAGAAGTTCCCAATTCAAAACCTCATAATTCATGCAATTGTTAATCACTCAATAAATCTTTAATAACCCCTTATCCTATGTTAGGTGCTAGATACAAGGTAACCAAGACATGACACAGCAAGGACAATAGACAAGAAATGGTCTGTGTGCAAGAGCACAGGGGCTCTAGAACACACAGGATAGCAATTAAACTCATTCCTAGAGGTAGTAGGGGACTGTGGGGGTTTATACAGCAAACTTTCTCCAAGGAAAGACTGGTGTATGCCTACATCCTTTTCCCCCCTATTGCTTTCCCCACCCCTGCCCCAATGTAGGCCGTTGTTTATTCTTTTTCTACCCTTTTCCTCATGTCATTTCCTGGTCTGACTTTTCTCATCTCTCTCTCTCTTATTTTAAACGTGTGTGTGCATATGTTTATATGTATTTATCTCAGTGAAAAGAGACCTTTAGTACTAATTCTTGTCTTATATATTAATTTAAAATATCACCTGTAATTAGGTTTTGTTTTCAACTTTTTATACTAACAGCACACACAGAGGTCTATCAAAGTTGGCATTATTTAAACACATCATTAATTACAAACTTCAGATTAGAGCTTGTCTCTTTTCTTCACGTACTTTGGCTCTCTACCTTTCTAAAGGCAGGAGGCCTAGGCGAGATGGTCTCTTTTTTCTTAAGAGACCATTAAGAGGCATTAAGAAACATGGTTCTTACTAAATATAGGAACAGCAATTTGGGTGTGTATCTCAGAAACTGATGAAGGAGGTGCCATTTCTGTTGTCACAGCACTTGCAGGTTACTAGTCACATTTAGCACCAAAGGCCAGAACTGTTAAATGCTGTATACTGAGTTGTGTTAACCCAAAATTCATATGTTGAGACCCTAACCCCAATATGATGGCATCTGGAAAAGATGGGGCCTTCAGGAGATAATGAAGTATGGTTCTCATGATGGGACTGGTACCCTTCTCAGAAGAAACACCAGAGAGCTTGCTCTCTCCTTCTCTCCCTCTCTCTCCCTCTCTCTCCCTCTCCCTCTCTCTCTGTCTCTGCCGTGTAAGGACATAGCGAGAAGGCTGCCTCTGCAAGCTACCCTCATTAGAAGCGGGCCACTGAGGAACTCTGATCTCAGACTGCCAGCCCCCAGAACTGTGAGTAAACCCATTTCTATTGTTTTAGCCACCCAGGGTATAGCCTTTTGTTACAGCAGCCCAAGCTGACTAATTAATCATCCTGTAATGTTCCACCACAAAGATCTGTGACACTTCACTGCAGCAACTCTACCTTATACAAAGGAAAAACACACTTTGAATCTCTCTTGGAGACCTAAAACAATACTAACAACAATCATAACAGCAGCAGCAAGTATTAGCCAAATTCTAATACTGGCTATCATTTATTAGATGAATATTACTTTTACTAAATGTTAAATCCTTTTACCTAAGACACTGTAAATCTGCAGAACAACTCTACACAGGGGTAGTAGTACTGGGTTGGCCAAAAAGTCCGTTAAGTTTTTTTATAAGATAAAAGACACATTTTTCATTTTCGCCAATTATTTTATTGATTTGGATATTTTGAATATGTTGGCCTTCTGCTATTGGCTTCTAGTGGATAGAGGTCAGGGGGGCTGCTAAACATCTTCCAATGCATAAGACAGCCCCACAGCAAGGATTGTTTAGCCAAAATGTCAGCAGTACCTAGAAACTTCGCAAACCACCGTTGACACATTCAATGAGTCAGTCACAGCACCTATTGCATACACTGCATAAATCTATTTTTTACATTTAAGTTACATTTTTACCTTCCTTGAAATAGAGCATAATACAATTAAGATATTGCATATTTTCTTCTATCTTCAATATTAAAATGGCTGCACAAAAATTCACCAATTTTGATAAGTTTTTTAAAAGCACGCTGATGTGACATCTGTCACAACATAATCTAACAAAATTGTTTTGAACGAAGTTAAAGACAACTAAGCACTACTTGTGCCATCATACTGAAAAAACTAAACAAACTTTCTGGCCACCCAATACTTTCATTCCCAAAAGGACAAATAATTAGCACATGGGAAGAGATGATATTCCAACCCGAGTCTGTCTCTTCTAGAATTCACTATCATCCCTCTACCTTGCTGACTTCACACTCTCATCTCTAAGAGAGCTGAAGCTACTCCACTCTATTTCCAAGGAGAAGCTGAACTGTGGGTCAAGGGCAGACTGCATTCCTTAGCTATATACAATTTGGCCATTTAGCTCAAAATAAAGCTATTTCAGTGGAAGGAGCAAATTTCTTTTTTCTTAGTTTTATACAGTTGGATTATTTCCCTTCTCTTCTTCTGCATGCCTTCCATGAAACTGTAAGATGTAAATGGAGCTGCCTCATGCTTAAGAGGCTCCCCTAGGCATAGAAACCTGGCAGGATCAACATGACATCCTAGAAAAGGATGGCAACAGTGGGCAGCTAAGGTACACTGGGTGCAAAACCTGAGAAGGCCTCTTTCACTGGGCTCGAATCAAGACACAAAACTACAGGAATGAAGCCAAGAGGCTGTTGCCCATTAATGTACACTATAAAGCTCCTGATATGATCCACTGAGAGGCTTCAGTGGTATCCATAAATCCCCTGAAAATCTACACAAAAACCACCCTTGTGTATTTACATTTTCCTGGCAAAAGGGGCCACAGATCTGAATAGACTCTCAAAAGACTCTGACTCAATAGTCAAGAATCATGAATCCCACCTGGAAGAGCCCTTATTTCTCACATGTCATCTAAGGCAGCTCATCAGGACACAAGAAAAAACAGGGACTTAGGAAGAAAGCCCTAGCTAGCTATCCAGGTTGTATCTTCTGGGTGTATCTTCCATAACTATGAAAAGAGGCAGGTGATTGGTCAGGATTCAGAATCCCAAAAATCACTATGGGAAGATGCAAATACACACCTATGTTAATATTAAATAGCTGCCATTATTTTTTTTCTTGCATGTGTGTAGTTACTACCTTCATTCAAAGAATGGGTTGCTCCAATGATGTAGGTAGAGAGATCTCAGGAAAAAATGTACAGTGGGGTCCTCTACCCTTCCTCCCCACCCAATCCCAATTAATTCACACACACACACACACACACACACACACACACACACATACACACAATCATTCATTCTCTCTTTCTCACATACACATGCATATGCACATCTGTAAGCACAAATAATAAAGGTTGCCCAAATATACTTTCAAAACTATTTAGATCATAATCCTTCAATGCAAAGGTACTGCAGCTACCTTAAACAATATTAAACATTTCAAACACATTTTTCCCATTGAGAAAAATTTAAAATTTGTTTTGGTTTTTAAACAGTGCAAAAATAATAAGGAAACTATTTAAAAATTTACCTTCTAACTGCAACAGACTTAGAGGTACAGTTGCTTGTTATGACAGGTATTAGCCTAGGAATGTGTGTGTGCTGTAGAGAAGAACAAAAAAAGAGTGAACACCTGGAAATATAAAAATAAAACATAACTGAGACAAACATTTCCTTACTAACCTACCTAAAGCACATATATCATCAAGTTAGAATTCCACTGAGTTTAGAAAGGAAAAAAGAATATCACCGGATATTGCCAAAGGCCATGACAAAATTTACATAGTCAAAACAAACAACATGATATGTAAATAAGTCTAAAATCAAAACAAATTGTTGGTATAAATTCTAAACCGTCTGAGTAACAGAGGTCTGAGTGAGTTCAAATTGGATCACCAGACCAATTTATTTTGATATTGTTTCAATAGAAATGTCCAGTAATAGCTCTGGGTTTAACATTTGAAGTAGGCAGTGCAAACAGTAAAAACTAAAACTAATACAAAGTAACCTACAATGACCAGGAATATTCTGGGTTGATTTTAGTTAACATCAAGCCCCAGTTGCAAGGGTTGCCTCTGGGAAAAAGGGACTTACTTGAGGGTGGGGAGAGGTGATACAAAGAACTGTCATTTTAAGCTTTTGTGAATGACAAGGTTTTACTGAAAACTTATACATAAAACACTCAAATAATCATTTAAATCTAAATAAATGTTTAGAAAACAACTGAAGAAAATATTGTTTTTGTGCTTGCATGCAATTAAGTAAATAATAATTATAGGTGAAAAAGAAAACCACAAGCACAAATACCTAAAGTGGAACAAATGGGGACCAAGAAGCATAGGAGTGTTATCTGGAGATATAAAGAACAGAGTAGAAACTCAGAAGCAGATGGAGATGTTCGAGTATTTAAAAGCAATAAGTCAATGGTCAATACCTCACTAAATATACGTCATACACAAAATTCACATTATGAGATGTGAAAGGCTCACATGCTATAATTAAGTGACATAAAAATGGCCAATACTATATATACAATATGATTCTAACTATATGTAACCACTCTAATGAAAAATGCCTCTGAATATTGCTTATCAACCACTGATATTTGCCACTTGCTATTCTATGTATGGCCCCAAAACATACCTACCCGAATGATTAACCTAACAGCTACAACACCAGAAGTAGCCATAATTTTGGCACTGTTTGGAATTAAATTAAAGATAGTTGGCATAATGGCTTCAGCTCCATGGTCAAACTTATTCCCCAGAACTGATGATAGATGCCTGCAATAAGAAATGAATAATGAACAGTAGTTACATTTCTTGCAAATAGTGAAGCTTATAAATCCTCTTAACATTTTAGAACCTTCATTTAAAATTATCTAGGGATAAAGGACAAGAGTCTCAAATCTTTCCAATATACATGTAGAGGACATAGCAAACAACAATTAGCCCAAGAAAAGTGTTCCTTTTTTTAAATAAGTCATTTCCAACTAATTACACTTCACATAGCAAAAAACAAATTATCATATATTAACAAAACATAAACATGAAAACATTCCCTCACCCTTTTTCCCCTTCCCTTTTATTTTTAACACAAAATATACACACTTCAACGTCTGCAACCAAAACTCTTTTTTATGGGGGGTGGGGGGGGAGCCAGTTAACACAAAGAGAAATGTCTTTGCAACATTTTTATTTTTAATTTACTGATTTCAGAGAAAGCAAGGAAGGAAGAGAGAGAGAAACACTGATCTATTGTTCCACATATTTATGCATTCATTGGTTGATTCTGGTATGTGCCTGACAGGGGCTTGAACCCGTAACCTTGATGTATTAGGATAATGCTCTAACCAACTGAGTTACCCTGCCTTGGCTGCAGCCAAAAGCCAAAACTTTTAAACACCCACAATGCCACCTTATGTTGCTGCTTCTTTATTATTCTGTCACACTAACACAGAAGTTACAGCTTCAAACATTGATACAGGTTTAGACAGGATAGAATTTTCCTGTAATACAAGCCTTTAACTTGAATTTTATAGCTACAGCACTCTTCTAGAAACAAAAATTCTGATAATCATACTACACCCTGCCAGCAAAATCAATGAAAAAGCTTAGAAATGGAAGTTATAAATTTCATTTTTACATATTAATAATAACAAGTGCTTCAATTTTAAAATAGAGGCTTCAGAGCTAAGTTACAGAATAAAGTTTAAAATCTGTCACACTGGGTGAGAAATACTGTAAAAGTACTGACAGAAGTATAACTGTAATGGGTCTTGGAGACTAGTCAAACAAAGTACATTAGAAAGACCCATCAGACAGATTCAATGAACCATCTCTGAAGCCTCTGATGAGACTATGTTATGATGTGTGAGAATCTGGAGCATTGAAGTCCTTACCCCAACGTGATACAAGCCTCCCGCACTACCTGAGACCGCAGATCCTTAGCAGATAGTTTAAAGGCTCCGTCCAAAAGTCGCAAATGTTGAAAGAAGTTATCATACTCAGCAGCACCAGCCAAAAGTAAAGATCTAATCTTTTTTAGCTAATGGGATAGAGAAAAATGAGTAGATATACAAAAAACAGCACACAAAACAATAGAAGCCATCAAATGAGATCAACATTAAAGTTAAATGATATGGAAATCATTTTCCAAAAGGAATTCAGCCAATTAAATGTTAGCTAATATCCTGAACCAATCTTCACATCTCAAATAAGAACAAGTAGTTTTTTAAATGTAGTATGTGATACATACTTGGTTGGCCCAAAAGTCCATTTGGCTTTTTTCTCTGTAAGATTGCTCTAGTAGCACTTAGTTGTCTCTAACTTCATTCAAAACAATTTTGTTTGATTATATTGTGACAGCTGTTGTATCACTGTGCATTTAAAAAATAACTTATCAAACTGGTAAATTTTTGTCTAGCCATTTTAACACTGAAGATGGAAGAAAATACGCCAACCATTTTGGCATATTATTATTTAGCTTTATTATATCAAGGAAGGTAAAGATATAACTGAAATGCAAAAAAAAAAAGATTTCTACAGTGTATGGATAAGGTATGGTGACTAATGGAACTTGTCAAAAGTGGTTTGCGAAATTTCCGTAATTTCGTGCTGGAGATTTCTCAAGGGATGATGTTCCATGGTAGGGTAGTCCAACTGAAGTTGATAGGGATCAAATCGAGAAATTAATCGAGAACGATCAATGTTCTACCACACGGCTAGCTAACATACTCAAAATATCCAAATCAATAAAGTTATTGCTGAAAGTAAAAAATGTGTCTTTCACTGTATCGGAAAAGCTAAAAGGACTTTTGGCCAACCGAATATATTACAATTCTACAAAATGCATGTTGTAACTGAAAACATTTTAGTGTGTATAGCCTATCCTAATGATAAAATAACTAAAACCTTCATTTTTACCTTATAAAAAGCTCCTCTCCCTCTAAGCTTACCTTTGCCCACACCCCACTCCAACTGCCACTTATTTAACAAAGGAAGAAGGAATCCTACAGTCTTTTTTTTAGTAACTTCCGCTTACCATTACTACAAGGCTGGTCTAAATTTGAAATAGAATACAATAGCTTTTTTCCCCCCACCCCTCTTCTTGCCAGCCAACCACTGAAAAATAGCTTTCCTCAGGTAAGACACACCTTCCCTTTAACGTGCAGTACACTTACTTTCATTAATCTACTTTTAAAAATACACATATATTTCTAGCAAGTGATGTCAAGATAGGAATAGAAGAATACACACTGAGAATGACACTAAAAAGCAGCTTCACTGGATAATAAACACAGATTTAAATCTTTACCAAGGTGAGAGAGGAGGGCATCACCAGGCATTCCACAATTAGGTCTTAGTTAAAATACAGGATATACATAAAGGTATAAGTAGGCATGTTTTAAAAATAGCAGTAGAAGTGGGATATTCTAATAAAAAGTAAAGTGTTAATGCAGTAATTTATATTTAAAATATTTACTATTTAAAATTCATTAGAGTTGTGTTCTTATTTCATAATAAAGTATTTAGAAAAGATAAGTAAATCTAATGAGATGTAATCATATGAAGTCAATGGCTTACCGCATTTACTCTTTGCTCCCAATCATGTTTATCATCAGATAGTATTTCCCTAATCTTGTTTATAGATTCCTCAAGGTCTCGGCTGGAATAAATCTGTAAGCAAAATTAATTTACAATCAACATAAGAAAATTCAAAGAATAAAAATGATTATTTCTTAATTACATGAAGTCAAGAGCATTTAGTAAGTTTAGTAAAATAAATCACTTCATTTTCCAGAAGGACCTATAAGATAACATCTGGCCAGATTTGTCTTAGAATGAGCTTCCTTCCCATTGAGAGTATATATACTAGATATGATGCCCAGGTATGGATGACCTTGCCTCAAATAAAGCTTTACTGTAAACTTAAAAGATGAATTCACATATAAAAGAGAAACATGCCTACTGGGGAACTGTCAGTGATGTACAAGTCATTTATGACCCTTAGTATTATATATAATACTACATTATACATACTTAACTTTAATCACTCCCAAAGCTACTTTCTTGTTTATCCCCACAACTGATAAGACAGGTGGGGGAATAATCAACTATAGGAGACCATTCTGCATGGCATGGGCCTGGCTCCCACTTGGAGATGCACAGGACCCACGCCCACAGATAGGTTCCCATGGGGAATCAGGCCTGCATTGTACCTAGGCTGCTTTGAGACTTGCTTTTTGCTAAAACTCCCTCACCCTGAATTAAGGCAGCAAGTGCTTACTGTAACTTCCTAAAGTCTGTACTAAACTTCCCAAGGATGAGTGTAACCAGTTCAACCACTCTTCCCTTTGCATTTGCAAATATTCTTCTTCTGTGATGTGATTAGTGGCATCGTCTCCTTTGTTTTCTGTAAAAGATAACCACCTAAGGCGAACCTGTGCATAGTAAATGAGGACCATCATGCAATGTGACCAGAAAAGCAATAAAAGCCAGTCAAGGCAAGAGCCGAGGTTTATTCTCCTCTTGAGAGAGAAGCCAGGCCGTCCCTTTTCCTCCACAGGACTTGGTAGTCCACGTGAATTTGTCTTATATCTCATCCACAATGTGGAAGACCCCACTAACTGGGGTCTGCATCAATCAACCAAGAATGAGGTATGCTGGGAAGGTCAAGGACTTAAGGACAAAGCTCAGCCTAAAATGCCTACCTATTATCTTATTTATACATATGTGACAACCAAACAGCAGGTAACAAGCGATTACTTTATACATTAAATGAAATGCTACAGGAATCCAGAGGACGAAAGATCAATGTAGGCTAAGAAAAGTATTGTTAACCCCAGTTATTTACAGACAACACTGACATATTCAAAGCAGTTAAAATGTGTGACTTTACACCAACTTTTATAAATAACTTTTGCATCAGCTGTTAGGTACTTAAGTAAAGCATCAAGATGGTGTAAACTAAGCTTTTATTAAACCATTCTTCATAGCTTTTCAGACACTGAAATCCTTCACATTTATAAATTTTTCTTCTTAAGAAAAATCCCTAATAAGCATGTTTCTTTGCTCCCTTGTATAATCTAATCACTTTCCACTCCTCTTTTATGTAACCTGGCCCACAAATTTATTACTAGAGCAAGCAATTTCTCTCTGGTTCTTACTGAAAGATCACCTTGGGCCTTGACTTTTACTATTCATTTAAGCTCTAAAAGATTCCAACATTTTGTAGTCTGCAACCTCAGAACTCCTGTAGTCATGATAGTTAAAATTACCTTACCTAGTAAGGAACGTCACACATCACATACTTGAAAAATGAAATTTGAAGAATAAGCCTATCCTTGTTTTTAATCATACTCAAATATCCTCACTCACCTGCACTATAGGTACATCATCAAAGGCTTTAATAAAATCTTCTTCATCAACAGCACCAGCTCCTTCTTTTGCAGCTATAAAAAAATATTTAAAAAGAAAACAATGTATATTGGAAGATTCTGAATATATACAACAAAAATTACATTTTGATAGACTTGTAACCATACAGTTAACACTTAATAAAAATTTAGAAGCCTGTGGTGGGGGCTCAGCTGGTTGGAGGGTTGACCCACACACCAAAAGGTTTGATCACCAGTTGGGGCACGTATAGGAGGCAACTGATCAATATTTCTCTCTCTCTCCCTTTTTTCTCTAAAAATCAATAAACATATCGTCAAGAGAGGATTAAAATAAATTTAGAGTACTGTAGAAGTGACAAATATTACTTAATTTTGATAAAGATGAAGTATAGTAATTCTACAATATTATATACATTAACTTAAAAAATTTAAAGAGACTACTTATTTAAGGATGGACAGTCTAGCCTTTAAAAGATTCAGATGGTTTATATTCTATTAATGTATAAATCTTTTAAGAGATTCTAATAAACAGATGTAATACAAAATTTAATTCTTCAGGGTATCAGTTTATTTACTTTTAGAAATCTAGCATCACAAATTTATGAAATACTCAAGTAAGTTCTAAAAATTTAATAGTTTCATTTCAACTTTATATTAGTCTCAAAACATTTTCATTTTCTTTGAACTCATGAGAACTGTGTCAGTTTTTCATTTATGCATCAGTAGCAAGGTTCCCCTTGTCGTAAAATGCTTTGTATACTTCAAAGTTAATGCTATCATTTAGGATATGAACTACACAATCTTCTGACATCTCATGAGGCTCCTCCCCCTCCAATAAAGGTTTCAAAATTGGTGTCTATTGTTGACCTTGTAAACCCTTATTAATGATTTACAATGATCAGTCTGAGCAATCTTCTAGAGCTTCCTACTGGACAACCTCTCTGGTGTTCGGTATCCTGATGGAACCTTGACAGAAAAGGGCTTTATGGATGACTCCTGGCAGCAGTACATGTATGCCATCACCCTGATGAACAATCGCACTGCACCTATAGGCCAACTGTAGACAGTGGACAGTAACACACTGAGACGTGGTGCTCTGTATCTGTTCTAGCATTAGAACTGGATCCCACTGAGCAGACAGGTCTTGAGGGCCTTCTCTGTGTAAGGCACTGCGCCACATACCACATATGGAAGAGGACTCCAAGACCGAAGGAATCTGACGAGAAGGAGCCAATAAAGAAATTCATGACCATGGTGTTAAACAAAATGGGGGAAAGATGAGATCAGGGGTAAAAGGGAGAACAGGGCTGATACCACTGCATAATTTACACAGCTGGGATTTTTGGAAGAAAAAGAAATGGTCTGATCATGCAGAAATTTTCTAAGCCTTGTTTGTAGAACTGACGCCACCCAAGAACAGATCAAGAAAGTGGAATAGAAGATTGATACATGCTACAATATAGATGAACCTCACAGGGATGTGTAACCTGTGGCCCGCAGGCTGCAAGCAGCACAGGATGGCTGTGAATGTGGCCCAAAACAAAACTGTAAATTTACTTAAAACATTATGAGATCTTATTATGATTACATGGCTCAGTGTATGTAACATGGGGCCCAAGACAACTCCTCTTCCAGTGTGGCGTAGAGATGCCAAAAGGTTGGGCACAACATTATGCTAATTGAAAAAAACCAGACCAAAGATCACATGTTGTATGATTTCATTTCTCTGAAATATCTAGCATATGTAAATCCCAGGGACAAAATGTAGATTGGAGATGGTCAGGAACTGGGGAAAGGAAGAAATTGGGGGCAATGTATACAGGGTATGGGGTTTTCTCTTGGGGTCATAAAACTGCTTTGGAACTAGAGATGTTAGTTGCACAACACTGTGAATATAGTACATGCCACTGAATGTAGTATAAAATTAACCATTTTACAGGTTAACGATTTTACCTGTAAAATAGTTAATTTTATTAAGCTCAATAACAACAACGACAAAATTTTTAACTGCATCCCCCCAAAAGATTAGAATGTCACTCTCTGCCATCAGTACAGCTCCTTTAGTACAGACAGAGATGCTGGTGGCAAAGGCGCTACAGTGCTGATTCATCCAGTCAACACACCAACACTCTAGGGCCAGTTCAGAAAGCATGCAAGAAGACCAGCAGGAAACAGCCTTCTGATACTAATCCTGACTTCAGTATTAACTTAACTCATCTAGCAAGCTTAAAAGCCCAAAGCTAACAGTGAGCAGGGTTCTAAGAGGAGTAGCTACATAATATTTTAGAAGTAAAGAAGCAGGAAATTTGCATGTAAATTTACAATGGGACAGCAAAATGAAAGTATATAGTAAGAATTCAAACTGTCTAAATTGGGGGGAGGTGGGAGAGGCGGGATTTAGAGAGGAAATCTTTGTTAATCCATTTTTAAGCCTCCAAGAGCTAATCCCTACCCATGTACTTATAATTCAATATCCATACTGATCTCACAAGGAATAATGCTACCTGGAGTAACAAAATACATTTTAAAAACAAAAGGTACAACTTGACTTCTGGATAGTCTCAGAAGTTTTTTGATGAACAAAAACTGGCTCGACAGGCCCCATTGTAGTTTCAAGCACTGCTAGATCCCAATAATCAAAAAAATGTCATCAGGGTACCCTTTTGGTCAATTCCTTTATCTGTCAGCTATGGTTTTCTCAGTGTGGGTTTCATTCTCCTACAAGCTCTGCTTACCAAAAGATGGCAACACAGCAGCTCAAATTTATATCCAACCAATGCATTAGCATTAACAGCACAGTAATTAAAGAACTGCCAACAGAAACATATTGCGATTGAGACTGCTTCACTTCTGAAGGACATGGAAGGCAAATACTATGCATGTATGGCTTCAAAAGCTTGCAGAGCTGACCCAAAATGCCACCTGGGGCTTGGTCTTACCTGAAGACTTGGATCCGAGAGAGGATGATCCAAGCCGACGGGTAGTCCCCATTCCAACATTTCTCCGTGAGGTTGCTGGAGCTTTGGATGATGTAGAACTAGCAGAGGAAGGTCTGTTACCATCCACAGAATCTTCATCATCAAAATTTTTATCTGAAGAGTAAGATCAGAAATCATTGTTTTAACAAAAAGTACTTTTTCACCTAAAATTAAAATAACTAGCCTTAGAGATGAATGGTTTGCCTCCTCTTTTGGAATCTGAGGTACCCATCCAAGGTCTTTCCAAGCCTAATACAGGTACAAACATCAAGTTCACTTTCATATACCTAGAACACTTTCCCACCCCATTTTCAAAAATAGAAAACACAAGAAGAAGAATGCAATCTCTCATGAAACCACAACCTAGAAACATTTTTGGCATATTTCTGACTATTCTGTCATTTTTAAATAATAGCTGGCATAAGACTATATTACATACTATTTTGGAATAGTGCTTATTTCAAATAAGTCAATTTTTCAATGTGGAAAAAACATACTTCACAAACACCTTTTAATGGTTGCATGGTACTCTGTAACTGGAAAATGTCAGAACTAAAATACTTTCATTGTTAGACATTTAGAGTGGTCCTAATATCTCATTAGAAATAATATTGTAACACCTTCCTACCTGCATTTTTATTTGAATTTCTAACAATTTTAAGAAAAACATCCCTACAAGCCAAGTTACTGAGTCAGAGTATAAAAGTTTCTTGATGTATACTGCCAAACTTATCTTCAGAAAGGTCATATAAACCTTTCTTTTTCCTGGAAGTTCAAAGACACCCCCATTTTCCCACACTCTTGCCAAGACTAATTATCATTTTTAGACTTCAACCAAAATTGATAGGTAAAAAAAATGCCTCTTAATGTTATTATCTTTCTCTTTTAGTGAGGTTGAACATTTTTAAATAAGCTTACTAACTTTTAAATTCTCTAAGCAGTAGTGGATCTGACAATATTCCTCAAGTTGCATTTAAAATTAAAAGAAAAACCCTATTTAGGCTTAAAAAAACCAGCATATTTGTAAACAACATTTTGATGACACAAAATTAAAGTTATCATGGTGCACAATACAGAATACTAAAGGCTTATACAGCATGTGCAAGTCATTCAGAAGGGTAAACAGAACTGAAGAGTATTAAAAACAAAAGAAAACTAACATCTGTTGCTGGCAATATTCAAGATTTCTGAAAAAGGGTGCTAGATCTTTACTGGTAAGTTGAAAGTAAATAACTGTTGACCCCAAAACAGATATAAATAACAATTTGTTTTTCTCAATCTGTACCTTCTTATAGCTCAACTATCAACAGCAAAATCTTGTGTGTAATGTTCCTTACAACTCACGAACAATCCACTTCAAATTACATTGCTTCTTTTACTCAACACTGTGTGTGTGTGGCGGGGGGGCCTATACTTACAAATGCATATCCTTCTATAAATCAGATTCCTTCAACATGCCTTTACATTTCCCAGAACACCTTATCAAAGCTATGCTTACGCTGTTTCACATATAGTTCTTTCAATCCATGTATCAATTTCTTATTGATTTAGAGTTAGTGGTATATTAACATAGACTTCCCAAGTGAATTCAAAAAGGTGATTCTTAAACTGCAGAGCACATTAGTAAGGCCCTTCCCAGAAGTAAAATTTAGTCTAATGTACAGGACAAGAACAACCCAAAGGAGAGGTCACCCACTGAGCATTGACAGCATTAGCAGTGACAAGGACTCCTCTCAGCCTATCTGTCCTCAAGGGAGCTCCAAGAGCATCTGAACCACTCCACTGTTATTAGTCAACAATGTTGAAGAACTCCAACAATTACTCTTCTCAGAACAGTAACAGTTCAGTTGGTAGAAAAGGTTAAGTAATGAATATGGGAAATGAAGACACTATTATACTCCATTCAAAAATTCATGTAAATTGTCTTTCTAACATAGGCAGGTATGCCATTTAGAATTGCTTTCAGTTACGGAAAAGTACTTTCAATGAACCAATTTCACTGGAATTCCTGGGATTTCGGCTTACAGCAATGATGGCTTAGTTAAATCTTCTTGTGTAGCTAAAACCCAGAGAGAATATATAAAACTACTTTCAGTCAGGACAGCAGACAGTGAAGAATTTTGATGCCTGAGAAAGAAAAACAAGGTGAGCTATATAATGCCTCCTTCTTTCTGCCTGGAGACAATTTCCAGGCCACAAAGTACAGGGGAACCCAAATTGAACCTGGTAGCCAAATTGAGAAAATGAAGATCAGAGTTCAGAAAGGCTGAGGTGGCTGGGAGTTAGAGAAGAGTGCTAGAAAAGAGGAGGCTACCCAAAAAGAGAGCTCTAGAAATGTACTTAAAGTTCTAGACCATGCATGTGTGGGTGAAATTCCACAAAGCAGGGCAAAAAATGACCAGAAATCTATAGACTGACTCTCAAAGTTTACATAGAAGGAAGATATTCAAGCACCAGTGTTCTGTGTAGCTCAATGGAGGCATTCAATTAGAGACCTCCGAAAGGGAATGCCTTAGTAGTAGAACTGAACTATTTCTGGAGTGAAGGCTACATTAAACCTGACTGACCAGAGTTTTAAAACAAGCCTCAAGGATATTACACAGATCTGCAAATACAAAGCATAACATTCTTTAAAGGAATATATAACGAAATGCAGAAAAAAAACAATGTAACATTCACAATACACAGCCATCTAATCAAAATTTCATAAATACTATGAAAAGCAGGAAAATGTGACCTATAATCTGGAGAGGGGGGAAAAATAAGAAAATAGTAATGACAGAGATGATGAAACTAGCAGATAAGAACATTACAACTGCTATAAGTATTGGGTTGGCCAAAAAGTTCGTCAGGTTTTAAGTAAAACTAAAAAGACACATTTTTCATTTTTACCAATAACTTTATTGAACATACTCACCATTTTGTTCCACTATCTTCTGCCATCTTTCAGTCAACTTTATAATTTTATCATCCCAAAACCTTTTTTAGCTTTTTGAGCACAGAACTATCCTTGGTGCCTTTTTGCAGTCTCCCAGGGAATTATAAATTTTCAATTAAGAGGATTTTGTCAAGACCGGAATAAATGGAAATCTGAAGGTGCACTGTCTGATGAATACAGCAGATGAATCAGAACTTCCCAGTCAAATATAATAGTTTTTGCCTGGTCATCAAAGTAACACGCAGTCTTGCATTACCCTGACAGAAGATTATGTGTTCCTGTTGACTAATTCTGCATGCTTTTTATCAAGTGCTGCTTTCAGTTGGTTTAACTGAGGGCAGTACTTGTTGGAATTAATCGTTTGGTTTTCTGGAGCTCAAAAAAAGAGGATCCCCTTTCAATCCTATTATATATACAACATCACCTTCTTTGGATGAAGACCAGCCAGCCTTTGGTGTGGTTGGTCGTGGTTCATTTCACTGGTCCCACAACCTTGTCATTCCACATTATTGTTAAGTATCTACTTTTCATCACCTGTCACAATTTGCTTTAAAAACGGAACATTTTCATTACATTTAAGTAAAGAATCACATGCGGAAATACAGTCAAGAAGACTTTTTTTGCTTAACTTAGGTGGAACCCAAAAAGCAAAGCAATTAACATAACCAACCTGGTGACAATGATTTTTGATGCTTGATTTTGATATTTAGAGTATATTGGCTATCTCCCATGAGGCAGAACACTGTTTTCAATTAATGTCTCAACAGGATTGCTATCTACTTCAACTGGTCTACTCGACTGTGGAGCATCGTCTAGCAAGAAATCTCCACCTCATAACTTTGCAAACCACTTGTGACATGTTCGATCCATCACAGCACCTTCTACTTACAATGCACAAATCATTTTTTTGCATTTCAGTTGCATTTTATTCATGAAATAAAAAAGCATAATATGCTAAAAATGTTGCATATTTTCTTCCATCTTCAGTAATAAAGTGGTTACATAAAAATTCACCAATTTTTTAAAAAATGCAGGCTGACATGACAGCTTTCGTAATACAATCTAAGAAAATTTTTTCAAATAAAGTTACAGACAACTAAGCGCTACTAGAGCCATTTTACGAAAAAACTCAAAACACATCTTTAGCCACCCCACTATGTTCAAGAATTAAAGGACTACATAGATATAATGAGACAAAAGGAAGATTTTTTTAAAGAACCAAATGGAACTTTTATAAATTAAGAAAATATAGTACCTGAAATAAGAATTACATTGAATGTGATTAAAAGATTAAATAGTGCAGGGCAGAAGAAAAACATCATGGAATTTAAACACACAGCAATAACATTTAACCAAAATTAAGCTCAGAGATGGGAGAACGGGGCTGAAAAAAAAAAAGAGTCTCAGAAACCTGTGGGATCTTATGAAGCAATCTGACACACATAAAAATGCAATCTCAGCAGGAGCAAGAGAGGAAAAAGACACATACAGAGGAATAAATAACAGCAGGCTTCATCAGAAACCACATGTTCTAGAAGATATTCAAGTGACACTTTGAAAATGATTAAAAGTATAAACGTAGAATTCTATATCCAACAAATATATCTTTTTAACAATAAAGGCTAAATAAAAATTTATTCAGACAAACAAAAAAAGTATTTGTCACCAGGAAACTGACCTACCTGCACTCCAAATGTGAAAAGATGATCTTCAAGCAAAAAGAAAATGGAAAATGGAAACAAATTTACATAAAGAAATGAAGCACACTGAAGACAGTAAATACATGAAAAATATAAGACTTTCCCCTCATATTTTAATGACTGCAAAAGATGATTGACTGTTTAAAGCAAGAATAAAACACTCAACATTTAGTCTCCACTCTTTATGATCTCATGTTATGGGCAGATAACCTCATGGCCAGAGAAGGATATACACTGACTTATGCATATCTCGGCGCTTTACATATCTGCTGCTGTATAGGATGCCACACAAAAAACTAGGAAAGCATGAAGAAAATGGAAACAGTTCAGATTCTGTCCTCAAAGAGCTTATCTTTTTAAAAGATAATTATAACTTGTCCAAATTTACTGAAGATTTCACATAATGGCGTGCTGCAGTGAGAAGGCACATGTTTAATCTCCAATTTCTATATGGAAACACCTCCCAAGGAAGGGAA